AAATGTCATACAATCGTTAAAATAAAGTGCCTTTCTTGTAAAATAATACTAAATGTGAAAATTATGAGAAACTATTTAATACTTTTGTATTTTTGTATTTAGATAATAATTATTATCTAAATACAAAAATACAAAAGTATTAAATAGTTTCTCAACGCCAATATTTAAAAAGTTTTTATGAACATTTCGCCGGCAGTAAACTATAACTTAAATTCGGGCACGGACTCCACTGTAAAGTCCTCATAAAACGTTTTCTTGACTTTCACTGTGAAAAACTGACAATTTTCAAGAAATACATTTCGATTTATAACCTTTATAATCTGTGTTTATAAAATAAAAATGTGACATTTGACGGTGACACACAGATTCCCCTATTGTTTCATAGATGGCGCTCTATACAAATTTTTGTTTAAATCGTTTTAAGATAATAATAAGTATTTGTCGTAGAAAAAGTATAGTATGCACCTCGTTTATAAACTTTTCTATACACTAAATTCGTGTATAAAATGGCGTTTATGAAACTTGATACATAATATACTATTAAATTAACTAAATAAAAAATATCATTTTGGCATAAAAATTAAATCTAACTTTTAATCAAGCAAATTAAAAATGTGTTATCTTATGTGATATTTTATATCTTATTGAAAATATCACTCTAGTGTTAAGTAAGACAAAAATATTTCCTGAATAAAAAATAAAACGGCGCCCAGAAACAAGAAATGCTTCTTAAATACAATGTTGAAAACTTTTCTGAATGCATTTCTTTGTTCATGACTTAATGACGTTTAAATCCCGGTATTAAACGGAGAAAAAGTCGTGATCGGCTCGGAGCAGCGGTTGAAAAAAAAAGTTTTTTAAGTACGCGCGCAGGTCGAGAGAAGAAGGGAATAAATTTAAATATCCAGTTCAGAAATTGTAGCATTGCGCTCGGTAATTATGTCAAAACGAACCCCGACGGAAATTTATGAAAAAGTGAAATCGACCTCAAGAATTGATGGTGGCTCGGGAACGCGCACAGTGGGGCGAACCGAAGGGACAAATTCGGATTTTATTTTCTTTGTTCAAAATAGGTGTCCCCCAGAAGAAAATGCAAGAATTTTAAGAAATCATACATTTTTAATATTAGAGCTTCACGGAAGATAGCTTCACGGAGGTTAGGATTTCGTATATTTTTTTTAAAACACCCCTTTATATATTTGTAACAAGTTATTGTACCTTAATATTTTTTAAAAATACAATTGTACATACATAAAATATTTATAAAACAAATCTACTTACTGAGATATTACACTTCACGGTGGATAGGTTTTTAAATAGCAAATTAATGAATTATAAAACAGCAACACTCTCATCTGCATATAAATTCTAACTGACCTTCAGGAATCACATGCACCTATAATGTCGTAAACAGAGGTTTTTGCTTATTTAAAATGATTAAAGCGCCATCCGTTGCATAAAATTTAAAGCAAAAACAGATTCACGGAGGGTAGAATCAATTTTTGTAAAACCTACATAAATGGCTATAAAAATTATTTATTTTAATTTTTAATAATATTTTATATTTTATTCGATTGCTTTGGATGTGTTTAATTTACTTAGTGAACTGATATTTTTACTATGCTTTTACTACCTCAGATATTTGAAAACATATAGGTTAACCCAGAAAGAGTAAAAGTCACGGAGGATAGGTTTTAGACTTTTAAAACATTGTAAAAAATAATTAAAAATCTGGAACCTTAGCTGAAATATCTACTTTTTTATTTCCAAATTTTTATAAAAAAAAAATTATTCCGGTACTGGGAATCGAACCCTAAGAGACATTTAAAACATTTCTTAGATATCCCATACGGGATTAACTTTTAAAAGAATGAATTTATCATAAACGTTTTGAAAAAAAATAGTCATTTTTTAAAACAGTAAAATTAAAATTTTTAAAACATAAAATAAATACGTTGCACTGTGCAACAAAATCGTTTATTCTTTTTAAATTCAATATATAATTAGGAACTCCGTGCAGACAAGTTAACTTAAAGAGTAGGTATCCCCTTGGGCTATTTTTTTTATTTTTTTTAATAACCGTTTCTTGGAATTTTAAATATGTACTGTTTAGATAAATACATACATATATGTAGGTACTCGAATCTATACGGCAAATTGTATGCTATTTTCTTTATAAAATTATCTAAAAAGAGATCAAATCAAAAGGAAATAAATACTATCAATAAAATTGTAAATAACTTTATCTTAAGTATAGAAGAAAATATTATCTTTTTCAAAATATTTGGATTTTCCTTTCCGAAACAAAAAATATCATTGATCAAATTTTGTAAATTTTACAAATTCCTTTTTATTTTTTTTTTATAATATTAATAAAATTTATGTAAATTTAAAAACAAATTAATAAACTATTCTCATTGTAACAATGGTCACATTTTCAACCTACTGTTGGGTTTTGGGTAGTTTTTTTTTTAAATAATTGCAAGGCATTAAAACAAATTATTTATTGTAACAAAAAAAACATATATGATACGAAATAAAAAAAATATAAACTCACTTTTTAAACAACAAGTCTGCTTCGTTTATAGAATAGACCTTAAATATTTCTTTTAGAAAACGTCGAAATTTTAATTTTCTTAGAGATCATTTTGATATTTTTATCATGCTAGATTTTACCACACTTCACTCGCACAAGTGAAATAAATAAGATTATAACACAGACTGTGGATTATACAGTTATGTTCACCAAGGAGAGCGCTGGCCCTTTCCCCCTCTTTTTTAAGGAAAATAACAAAAATTTTGTTACCATTGCAAAACAATAGTAAATATTAAAAAAGTCTTTTTATAGCAATAAAATATTTTTGTTATTGTTCTTAGTAAATGATAATTTTATTAACTGTAAAAAAAGTTTATTCCGAAAATAAAAATAATCGCATTACTTTGATAAATCGTAGGTTTTTGCCTTAATAAGACACTGAAAATTTAATAAAAATTTTAAATTTAAGTTAAATAATATTATTTTATTAATAGCTTACAAAATTAGTTTTATTATCAGTGCATGTACATTTTTCTAGTTTTTGGTTTATTTTACCCTTTTTAACTAGGTACTTTTTAAGTCTTAAGTCAACTATAATTTACCAAATATGTATGTGTTAAAGGGGGTATATGTATACATATACATTAACAGGATTGGAGTAGACATATAGATTTTTTTTATACCATAAAACTATTTATAAAACCTTAAAAAAAGAAGTCACACAAACACTTAAAAGTTTGTAAATAACCTAATCTATAATATAATTCTCAGAAATTTAATTTCCTCCATATCCGCTGCTGAAATAAATTGGGAATTACCTTTATCTCAACAAGAACTATATAAAACCGCTTCCTCGCCCAAATTACTCATTAATTTACATTGCATATCCCGAAGATACAAGTATACTAACCTACATACAAAAATGAAATATTTTGTTACTATTTTTATTTTTTCCGTAATTATTTCGGCCGTTCTCTCCGAAATAACGGTCGTCAGAAAATCAGGTAAGAATATTCGTTTTAAAATTTTACATGCATTATTTTACATAGCATTAAATGTTTTTAGATATTGAGAAATATCAAAATAAAATTGACTTAAATGAGGATAAAAAAGATGTTAATGATGACGTCGTTGCATTGATTTTTGGAGACAAATCAGCAAATAGTAAGTTTTTAGTTGTTTTTCTTTGTTACTTCTTTTGCATCACAAATGTTACCAGGCAGTTAATAATTGTTTTTATTTTCAGAAGTCTCAGATTGTTCTTGGGGCCAATGTCAAATACATTGTACTCCATACATTGGAATATGTTTTAATGGGCAGTGTATTTGCAAATAAACTATGTACATATTTTTTTTCAGTATTGTAATAAATGGTTAGAGTTATTATTGTATTAATATTAGAAAACAAATTAAATTGTTGTTTATGGTAACAATATTGTAACAATAAAATTTATTTAATAAACTCTTCTCTAAAAGAATTGTTTAAGTACCTACCTATCTTCATTGGAACTTTCCACCTCTTCTCAAGAATTTTTTAATAAATTTCTACCTGTCGTATCGTAGGTACCAATTGCCGGAAGCAAAATCCTTAACACGTAAACACAAGAGCATAATATCTTTTAAATTATAATGCCCTTGGCTCTGAAATTTATATACAGCTTGAGGTTTCAGAACAATTTGTAGGTAACAAAGAGCGAAGCATATTTTATGGTTTAAGACGTATTTTTACTCACTGTTACCTTTGTTACGTTCTCACGCCTTAGAGATTTATCTCAATTGATTCCAATAAAAAATATTTGTTCACCCTCGTTGATACGCCACTGCTTTCATCTTCAAAATTGTTGAACGAGTTAAATGTTTTTATCACGCTACAGTCATAAAACCGAAATTTCCATTTTTTTCCATTAATCATTAATAGAAAACACAAAAGGAATTAGGTACCTAACACACCTACATGCTGCGCAATGTTAGCTTAATAAATTGATTTATTAAATATCATTTATCAACATATTTCAATCTGGTTTATAATATAAATTATATTAATATTAAAACGCTCGTTACTTTCTTGTTTAAACATTATTTTATAATCCAGTTAGTTATAAAGTACATAAATTTAACTTTTTACAACAAGGTGGACGTTCAGTTAACTTATAAAGGATGTGAATATTAAAATTTGAATGAATTTTCATAAATTATGTAGTTCACTTCATCTTCAAGTCATTATTTATAGTATAGGCAACCTTGATAACAGTAAAATTCGAACATGAAAATATTATAAAACTGTTCATGCTAGATACAAATAAATCACGTCAGCAAATGAAAACAGGGAATTATAAGGTATTTATACATGTTGAATTGTTATTGCCTTGTTTACTTATTAATTAAAAAGTACGTTTTAAAGTATGTAGCGTTCCAAGGTTGGCAGCCTTGGCTTAGAATGATTGTTTCTTCAGTTGGCAATGCCCGCAGAACAAACCATCAAATGTGTCAAAAAGAATTTGTCAAAAATAAACACAATTCAAATTAGCTATTGTTAGAATGTTAAGAAAAAGTGATCCTGTTAATGAGAGGGACAACATTTTCCACGAGTTGATTGAGGAGTGTAAAAATGCTGCGCCAGGTGCTAGGTTATCGTATCAGCTGAGAAACAAATTGGAAAAATTGCCTGAAGAAACCAGGAGAGATATTGTGAATCGGGTTAAAGTTGGGTGTTCGCCTTTATTTATATCATGCATGAAGGGACAAGCCGAAATTGTAGAATTTTTGATTGTGAAATGTGGTGCCAATCTGGAACAAAGGGGTTTATACGAAGTACAAGAAGACAGGTAAATCTATTGTTATGTAGTGTGTTATAGAACTCTGGTGCTGTTTAAAGCACTTTCCAAGAAGTCGTTTTTTTGAATTGTAGGTTTGTTTTCGATATACAGTGGATTATTATATGTATAGTTTAACCGACCCATTTTGGTATGCCACTGCTTTAAATAGTAATATAAAATGTTGAACAAATTAATTATTAACATTTTTGAAGAGTTATGGTTCAACCTTAATGTTTGCACCAGTCAGAGAAGTTTGTAATTTATTGGGGCTGTTTTCAAAAAATTTTATTGTGAGAATTTTTAAATTGGGTTCCATTGTTTAGGAAGTTTATCTTTATAATGTATTCAAATTTCATTAAGACACAGCCAAAACAAAAAAAATAATGTATCTTTTATCAAAAAACTTTTTTTTATAAACAAAATCATAAATTGTATGTAAAACATTTTTATATGACAAATGTAATACCTACATAGTTTTTAACAACTTTTTTACATAAGACATTTTTTAGGACATTTTGGACAGCCAAAACATATAGTTCTCAAGATAGGTATTCTGCCGTGCTTAATGAAAACGCCGTAACCAACAATTTTGATATTTTTGTTTTACGGCATTTTCTACTAGAACAATTCATCCTGCGTCTATCCCCGGTACTCAAAAAACCGTATATATATAGATACGGTTTTTTGAGTACCGGGGATAGACGCAGGATGAATTGTTCTAGTAGAAAATGCCGTAAACCAAAAATCGCAAAATTGTTGGTTACGGCGTTTTCATTAAGCACGGCAGTATTTAAAAATATGAAATAATATATTTAATAAAAATTTTATTATGTTGAGAATTTTACACCAATTGTTCTTTTGTTTATTTATTTATATGTAACATAAGTTTATTTCTTATTAAATATCTATAATCATTCCAAATATTTACGTTAAAAAATAATCTACATTTTTAATAAATATTATTTATTTTATGGTTACATAAGCCATTTTTACAAGGTTGTAAATTCCAGATTAACCAGGATATATTAAAAAAAACATAGAGTTTCTTTTATATATACAAAATTTTTGTTTCATTTAACAATCTACTGGAAAATATTATAACTCCTTAAGAAATTCGAAGAGAATTTTCTCTTGACATGTTTTAAAAATTTCCAAAACAAGATATAATTGCAATTTTTTGCATGTTTGAAATTTTTAAAACTCACTTTATGGTAAACCAATCAGATCTCGTCATTTCCATTATTTTTGTTGGGTTCATTTTATTAGAATTTTCCGAAAAAAGTATTTTTTAAATTAGCAAATTGTCCTCAGTTCCTTAAAAATTGCTATAAATTTATTTATATACCTAAAGGTATATTGCTATAAAATAATTTAAATTAAAGTCATTAATTTTAAAGATGTGATTCTAAATGCTAAAGACACGTTAGTTACGTCATAATTATTTTACGTCATAATTTTAAGATTTTATGTTACGATAAAACTAAAACAAACCAACCAACCCATCCCAACACTTTTTAACAAAGGAACAGCAAATTTATGAAATAAAAAAATAAAAAAAGTTCAACAACTTCTAGTAGATTTTATGTTACGATAAAACTAAAACAAACCAACCCAACTCAACACTTTTTATCAAAGAAACAACAAATTTATGAAATAAAAAAAGTTCGCCAACTTCTGAGTATCGAACCCGGTACCTCTCGCCGAGGGGTCAACCACCCAAAGGGAAAACGTCCAGGGATTCCCATGTATTCCCATTATATTTTATTGTATTCCTATGGTATTCCCCCTCTAAAATGTCCAGGGATTCCCAGGTGTGGGTGACCCCTCGCCTCTCGCATGCTAAATTTATTTATATACCTAAAGGTATATTGCTATAAAATAATTTAAATGAAAGTCATTAATTTTAAAGATGTGATTCGAAATGCTAAAGACACGTCAGTTACGTCATAATAATTTTTCGTCATAATTTTAAGATTTTATGATATGATAAAACTAAAACAAAACAACCAACCAACCCAACACTTTTTAACAAAGCAACAGCAAATTTATGAAATAAAAAAATAAAAAAAGTTCAACAACTTCTAGTAGATTTTATGATACGATAAAACTAAGTCAAACCAACCAAACCCAACACTTTTTATCAAAGAAACAGCAAATTTATGAAATAAAAAAAGTTCGACACCTTCTGAGTATCGAACCCGGTACCTCTCGCATGCTAAGCGACCGCCCTACCATCTGAGCCATCTAAGCTTGACATACATTTTATAACGCTCGGATTATTATTATGACGTAACTAAATTGCCTTTAACATTTCGAATCGCGGCACGTTAAGTAAGTATTTAAGGCATATTTGGGACGTGATGTTTTGCATTTCAGATCCACACACATAGTGACTCCGCTATGGTGTGCGGCAGTATCGGGGATGCTCCCCGTAGTAGAAGTGCTACTACAACACAAAGCCGACATAAACGCTGTGTCGGACACAGGCTCAACCCCCGTAAGATCGGCATGTTTCATGACGCACCTGGAGATAGTGAAATACCTGGTGATGCACGGGGCCGACATAAACCGGCCCAACTACAACGGCGGAACGTGCTTGATAAACTCCGTTCAAAGCGCCCCACTGTGTTTTTTCCTGCTGGAGAGCGGGGCGGACGTTAACGCGAGGGACATACAGAACAAAACGGCCCTGCACTACGCGATACAGGAACACAGACTCGAAACCACGCAGCTATTGTTGATGAACAATGCCGACTACGAAGCCAAGTCGCGGTACGGCGATGACGCCCTGCAAATGGCGTGTCTCAAAGGGGCTGTGCAGATTTTCAAGTATCTAGAAACCGAAATACGTTACCCCCCGGAAAAACTAGCCAACGCGTACGAACTAATGGGGGCCACGTACCTAGACGAACACAACGACTTAGTCGAAGCTTTATATTACTGGAAAATGGGTTTGGCTATCAGACAACGACACAATTTAATGAAAAAGAGGCCCGTGATGCCCCCCAGAGAGGGCTACAGGTACAAAAAGGAGTTCGAGACTTTCGAAGAGCTCGAGAATATTTCCACCGACCTGGATGCCATAAGAACGCAAAGTTTGATGATTGCCGAAAGAATTTTGGGGCCCCATCACAAAGACACCATTTTTAGGTGAGTAAAGGGCCAAAGAAGCAAAACTTACAAAAATTGAGGTTAAGTCAAAACGTCAATTTTTAGGTTAATGTACAGAGGCGCCGCGTACGCTGACGTGATGCGCTACCAGCACAGCATCGACCTCTGGCGGCGTGCGCTGGAAATTCGAATAGAAAAAGACTCCATACTATATACTGACACGTGTTTCACAGCGCAGGCAATAGTGCGTTTGATGATCGATTTTAACGAGAAATCGTCGATATCGCAATCCGACAACAACGCGCAACGGTTCCAGGACATCGTGGCAACGTTTAAAATAATGACGAGAGATCTGGAAGGTTTGTAACTTGGCACTTTATACGCTAAAGAAGTATCGCTAGTAGCGCCACCATCGTAACAAAAGTATAACTGTGAAACGCTTATGTTACAATTTAGTGTTTTTGAGAATAAAGACGGAAAATGTTAAAAAATATCGAAAAAAAAAACCTTGTCTCGATTTGTTGTGTTGTTGGGTGTATTTCGAGAGGAAATCCTGGGTTGAGTTTTTACCGGTTTTCCAATAAACAGTGTTAATCTGAATGAAGAAATAAATTGCATACAGTCTCTGTAAATACAAATTGTACCTATTATATACAATAAATACACATTTTAGTAGGGATTAACGTGAAAATTCAGTAAAAATCGTCAAACAAATAAGTCGTCTAAATTTAAACAGCATTTAGCATTATTAAAAGAAAGTCTCCACTCAACGGTAAAATACCATTATATTATGTATTATGAATTTGTAGGTATATTTTGTTGTTTAAAATGCAGTTGTCGGCGTTTTTTAGAGAACTCAAACATAAAAATGGTTGATTTCAAGGTTATGTTTGTGCAAAAATTATTTTTTACTAATTTCTTAAAAATGTCAAAACTTAAATATAAATTATATTAGATAATGTTATCATTAGTTAATTCTGCACCAACAAATGTATTTACCGAATTGGATCCTTTGGCAAAACATGAAAATGCAACGATTTAGTTCTTGAATTTTATTTACAATTAAAAACACAATAATTCACCGTGATCCCTTAGATAAAATACACACACTAACGTAACTATATAAGCATTCAAGCGTTGAGTTTCTTAATCAATGATATAAGGAATAATCAATCGAAATCGAGTACTAAAAGTTTTTTATTTTTTTCCTTGCAACGTAAAACACAAATAACGTGTGCAATTGAACAAAATTTGTCGAGTTAGACTTCCGGCTTCCTCTCTTTTGTGAAAAAACTACCTATTTATTTAAAAATAATGTATAATCGGTATAGATGGCGCGCGCGTGGCGCAAACCCCATACTTCTTTAGCGTTTATAAATATATTAATATCCGAAAAAGTACAATACATATCGACCTAAAACTTACATACATTACAAAGTATAAGGTAAATAATAATTGTTTAAAATTGCAGCCCTCAATCTACAACAATTTTTAAATTAAAGCAAAACACGTATTTTTTAGAAATGCGCCGTCTGTTGACAATAAGGCCGGTCTACAAAAGACAGGCGGAATTTTTCGATAAAGTTTTAAAATGCATCACGCACTTGATTTATCTGATGATAGACACCGCTAAAACGGAAGAGCAAAAAAAGACCGTCAACAATTTGATCACCGATTTGGTCAGGAAAAACATCAAAAGCGTCACCAACGAGGATTCAATAATGCATTTGTGCGTCTCAATAATGAACACCATCAGATCCAGCTATTTTACCGACGAAGAACCCATTGTAAGTTTTTAGGTTAGGTAAACGTCAAAATTGACGTTTGCGTGGACCACTCGATGTAATCGTCATGTTTTGTGGTTTTAGATGATTTTCCCGCACAGGGGCGTAATTAAGACCCTTTTGGACATTGGGGCCCCAATAAACGCTAAAAACGATCACGGGTCAACTCCCTTGCACGTCGCGTCTGCGCCTTGGAATTATTCGGAATGGGTAAGTGCGTTTTTTAATCAGATGCACCATTAATTAGTTATTAACAAAATAAAGTAGCCAATCACAGGCGTGTTTTAGCAGAATGATTAGAGGTGGGAGAACTATAATGTGCAGCTTAATATTACACAACATTGTCACTGTCAGTGTTTTAGTTTCTAGGTTAGTTTTAGCTTGAGACATTCTTTTTTTAGGGAAAATTGCTAAGAACAACCGTTTTACTCCTCTTTTGGTAAAAATAAACCTTATTCTCAGGGCTGTCATTAAACTGTCAAATTTCAATTTTAAGGTTAATTTACCATAACCAACAAATTTAAATTTGATAGTTTGATGACAGCCCTGATAGAATAAGGTTTAAAATGGTTGTTCTTAGCACTTAAAGGCCTCATTTGAGGCTTACAAGTGCCTCTGTGAGAAACGCAACGTTTAAAACAATTTTTAATCTGTATAAACATAAAAATGGCCGCCGTTAGATTCTGCGCAGTGTTGCAGTGATTTTTAGTGTGCGCGAAACAAGATAAAACAGGGTTTGTTGTATATATATCTAATTGAATAATAATGTTAAAATTAATTATTATTAACATTAATAAAATAATTATTTTAACTTATATAAAAAAGGTAAAGTAAAGTATATCACCATCAACCTTGTATTAACTTATTTATTAAGTCGCAAGTTAAAAAAAATAAGAAAAAGAAAAGGTAGGTCTATTTGTCCCACACAAAAAAAAATAAACATTTCTCCTGAACCTAAAAAACCAAAACACTGACAGTGACAGTGAAAAAATAAAATTAAGGTCATTTCACAATATAATACGTTCAAAATGTAAAACTGCCTTTAGTGACCACTAACCTTACTTTCTGAAAGTTGTCAGTTTGACGTATTTCATTGTTGATTGTGTTGTTTTAAGGTTAGATTCTCTATCTACTTTTTGAAACTGCTTGCCATCTTGTCAAAAATGGTTTGCACAGACATTTTTTTAAATGACAGAAGTTGATGTTCGAAATTTTTTGTCCGCCATTGTACCTAAACTCTTGTTTCTTTACTCCATCTGTTGAATGAATAGACTTAATTAAGTGTGGAAAATTCTTTTTTAGTTGATAAAGCTGCTGTTGAGTTATGGCGCCCACATAGATCAGCCGAATGTGTCTGGCAATACTGCAGCTTCGGAAATATTAAAAAACGCTAAGAATAATGAGTCTGACATTCAAATTTTGGATTATATTAAGTTGTCTTGTTTATGTGCAACTGTAATCACGAAATATCAGATTCCTTATAAGAATCAACTGCCGAAAACTTTAGAGCAATTCGTTCAATTGCACGAAGCCAAATAGTTGTTTCTGACTGCGTTCATATTACTATTTTTTATCACAGAAAGACTGTATTATTTTCACATTAAAGCTTTAAACAGTCATTATTTTATTGGACAGCTGTATTATACATATATAATTTTTTATCACCCAATTTATTGAACTAAATTACTACAAAAGTGATATTGTTTCAATTTTCTTGCCTTTTAACCATTAACTGCATTTTTTGTACATTGTAAATTTGTTCATTCTGATTTAATTTTTTTAGTATTTATTTTTATGTTTAGATATATAGAATTTATAATTAATTATGTATCCAATTTATATAAAGGATTTCAAATTTACCTTGTGTTTTATTTATTTATGCTATTTTATCTATTTTGCAAAAATTCTATAAAAAAAATAATTTTTTACCTTAAATTTAATTTGGTCGAATTTTACTTTAGATAGTTGGTATCACAGTCATTGGTTTGACAGTTAATGTCAAATTTATTGCCATAAAAGACTCGAAAGTACTAGAAAAATCATAAAAATATTATAACCAATATGCAAAATATTAAGCTGTTTAAAGTATAGCCAACCTATAAAATCAAAATTTTGGGTGGGATAAAGTATCTCATTACAGCACCGAAAGCGGTGTTATAATGAAGTCATTATGAACGCAAAATTGATAAAATATTATCACAAACCATTAAAAATTCTTACACGGGAAATGTTAAACGTACAGTTGTATTTATTGGAATTCCCGTTAGAATTTATCCCTTGAAAATAATCCAGCAATCGATATAGAAGCAGTTTTTCACAATAAAAAAGAAGAGAATGGATTTTGGGCACTGTAGGCAACATTTTTAACGCTTTATCAGTTAAATCTAGTTAGCTGCACTACTACGGCGAAATCAAAAGGTCACAAACGTTCATATATACTTTTAAAACTGTATGCAGGCAACCAACATTACACATGGATGTAAAATGGGTTGCGTTATGCGTTTTTTTGCACAGCATTTTTCCGGGTAAAAAAGATAAAATTACTCTATAAATAAAACACAGAAAATGTATTGACTGTTTATTCGTTTAGGTAGGTATATAAAAATCTGTAATTAATAAATACGAGTTGACACATAATATATATTATACATATTATGAATTTCTTAAAAATCATACAAGAAAAGAAATAATTATCCTAATCTTCATAGAAATTTAGCGCCCAAAAATATTAGCGTCATATTTAACAACAAAAAAAAACAATTAAGCACTGTCAAATACTAAAAATGACATGATGGTTTTAAGGTTAAAAGTTGACATTTGGAATGTCAAAGAATTAGGTGAATGGGCACTTGATAAAAAACGTCTAGAAAACTGGCTGATACCATTTAATTTCGCTGCCAAGGCAACCGCTAACGAACTGCAGATGATTCGGGCTGAACTTGCAAGACACTACAACGTCCTTGTGGTAATCGTTGAGCTCGAGCAACGTTTGCAACTCCTTCGGTTCTTCGGGCACGCAATACGACAACTCCTGCATACTTTCGTTGAAACCGAGCAGCCTCACACCTTTACCGTAGGGCGAGCATATTATTCTGCCGTCGGATGAAAAACACAGCTCCTTTATGTAACCCTTGCCGACGTTCTTTTCTTTCACGTAATGCGTCATACGCTTCAAATTTTTAATTATCTTATTCCTTTGTTCGGGGTGATGTTGGAAGTAAGCTTGATACGAGTTTCTACCTATTAATCCGCTGTTTATTATACCCATAGCCAACTGGTAGTTTTCGTATAAGTTCTGCAGCACCATACGATCTCTATTTTCTCGGTAACCCATCCATAAGTCCGTAGGTCTTTGATTAGTTTCTTCCTCGACATCCTCCTCTTCTTCAATGTATTTAAAAGCATTTTCATAATCACTCGGGTTCCGTTTTTGAATGTCATGCACGCTGGTCCACTAAAAAAATGTTATGGTATTTTGACAGATAATTTTAGTTGTTTTTACATTCTTAGAGTTTAAATAAAAAAACAAAATTTAGGTTGTCATTTTATTACATTTGATTTAAAAATCAGCCGGTTATTTTTTCAAATTCTAAAGACTTGATTATGTCATTTTTGTAATTTCAAACAAAATCTGGCAACTTATATGACAGAATCCAGTGCATTTGCAATTTTAGGTTATGTGCTCAAATTGTAAATATCTTAACTAAGGTAAGTGCGTTTGGATTTATTTACACAAATTGAATGTTAAAGTTTAACCTGTGAATTTGTTTTAAGTTCATCTGAGTAAACAGAAAGAAAAAAAACGATGAAAAAATTTATTTTGTGGTTATGGAGTTTTTAATGCCTAGTTTATGCAGACTTAAAACTTAAGACTTAACATTTAACATTTAAGAAGTTAAAAGTTAGGTTATTCCATTGATTTCCTTTAAGGTCGTTTATGCACCATTTAGGACTTAAGAGTTAAGACAACTAAGAAAAATGACCTTGAAAGATAATAAAATTTTATCTTTTTTAATTCTTAATTATCAATTCTTAAATAAAATCGCATTTGTGCAAGCGTTAACCAGGGAATTTTAAATTAAACGGTTGTCTTCTTTTTCTATGGTTGTTGTTACTGAAAATTTGGATCCATTTTAGATTAAACTAGTAAACACAGATTATAAAAGAAGTAAATCTCTATAAAAACGTTGATAAACAAAAATATACGCATTCACAAAACACAACGGTAAAATTTCAATGTCAATTGTCATTTTAATGTTGGTATTACCAACGATTTTGATTGGTTATGCTGCATGAACGCCACATTGTTTTTGCTTAATTTTTATTTCTTAAATCTTAAATGTTAAGTTTTAAGTCTGCATAAACCCACCATAAAATAGGTAGGTACTAAATTTTCTAATCATTGCTTAAGCTAATAGCTGGATGAGTAAATAAATACAGAAGGGTATTAGAGCTTAAAGAACATAAAACTTTTGTATTTATTGAGTTTTTGTTTATTTGTTGCAAGAAAAATTGTAGGTAACAATTTTTTAAACTTCTAATGGATATTTTTTCTTTATCTTTGTAAAAACATTTTTTTTTAAATATTTTTCCGTTACACCTTATGTCAAAAGGTATTCAGTATTTTAATATAGCAGTATTATTTAAAAGCGAAAATGACAGATTGATAATTTTGGTTGGGCACAGTCAAAATTATCGTTTATTATTACAAAACTGCAATAATAAATTCTACTACAACCTAGAATTTTGATGATATTATTATTATCATTATTATTGAAGGATTTTTATTTGCATTTATTTTGTAATACTTAATATAAACAAATTGAAAATTTTCTAAATATGGCCGAATTTTATACAAATTGTACTTTTGTACTAGCAGATTAAAAACGTCTAAATTATTGTACTAAAACGGCATGACTCATATCACGTGACTTTCGCCGTTAACAGTAAACGATTTTTTTGATTTCAAGTTGATTTATAGATTACAAAGAGTGAAAGGTATACTTATGTTATAATATTATAATTATTAACATAATTGGTAAAAAATGAATACAATATTAAAACTTTATTGTAATATCAACATAACCAAGCCTATACTTGACCGCGAAACAAAGATTTTTAAATTTGATTGAAACCGTTATTGCAATTACGTTAAGTAAGTATATTAAAATGAATATTAATAGGTATTAAATAATAAATACCGTATTTAAGCAATATATTTTACATTTCCGCTATTCTTACAAAATCCTTATCACATAATAAGACGAAATTAGCTTGACACTGACAGAAAACTAACCTTAATTATCAGTCACGGGTAAACAGTCAAATTAAGGTTATGTCACATCTGTCAAATTCTTAAACTTCATGAAAAAACTTACCTCTTCAGTTTCTGTACAATCCAAATTTCTGGAGACGGCACACCAACCATGTGGGTGAATTTGCAGAGAACTAATTACTTCAGCATCATTCTGGAAGTCCTCAATAAATTCTATCCGATTTCTTTTACGGTTCGGATTGAATAAGTAGTTAAATATGGTTCCGACGGGGAAATTCTGGTCGCTGGTCTGCATTAGCCTGTACAAATTCGGCCTGAAAGATCGCAAATCCAGCGCCAAATTTTCCAAGTTTAAGTCGTGCACTATTATCATGTACCCATTGGTCGTGGATATAACCATTTTTGTACCGTCAGGCGACAACTTCGTCCTCATCAAGCCGTTCATAAGAAAGACTTTTTCGTACAGCATACTGTTTTCCGTGGGGCTTTTTAGGTTCCAGGCGTATATGCTGCCGTCGAAGGCAGAGGTCACCATAACGTTTTCTTTCTCTGAATATTCGATATTTTTCACCCAATTCGAATGGCCATGCAGCGTTTTTTTGGCCGATTTTAAGTACCTTGTGTCCCATAATTTAATCGAAGTGTCATCAGAACACGTAGCAAATGTCTTATCATCTAAAAACCTTTAAAAAATGTGAGACATTTTAAAAATAATGCTGTAGAATTGAATACCTTATGCAGTTGACACAGTTTTTATGGGCATTTTCTATAGTGTGCATCATTCTTTGATTGGCAGCATCATAAAGAAGCACTTGTTTGCCTTCACATGCTGCCACTAATATTCGACTAAAATAGTTCACATAAATTATAAAAAAAAATATTGAAGATACTAAACATACCCATCAAGGCTGAATTCCAAATTAAATATGCCTCCCAAACAGTTACTGCTTTTATTTCTCTCACTTTTCACCACATAATTATTAAACTTGCTATACAACTTAAAACTTAAATCGTCATTAAACCCTATCCTACACTTATTCCCTAAGCTCCTTTGCACGAGATAATCCCGAATGAAAACATTATTTTTGTTTTTCGCACACAAAATTCTAGACGGCGATTTCGTCTCCTCCATCTCAACACAATATTTTTCTAATTAACTTGTCATAATAATAAGCAACAATTGCCAGTTTTGTCACATAATAGTCTTGTTGATGTAGAAGGTCTTCTAGTATTGTAATAAAACCATTCTTGATTTGACGTTTTTAATGTTTATTTTTTCACTGTTTTATACGTCAAATGGCAATGCTGCCAACCTGAGAAACCGTGGTGCGAAGCACGAGGTGCAGTCACCCGCCAAATTCAAAATTAGAAAGGAAAGCGTTCAGTTCAATAAGCAAATATGATTTATTTAATTGGTACATATACAGAATAACGTAAAACATGATATTCTTATCCTAAAGTTAAATATTTCTTATAATCCATACCACTTTTACTCTTAATAGTTGTATCACACCCATTGTCCATCAAAATTTTGTGAATATCAGATGAACATTTTAGATTAGCTAAAAATATTTGAAATATATAGAAAAGCTACGTCACGAATATTAATAATGTTTTATGTGCTACCTGCTCTTATTAGAGGAGTCCATCCTTTGGAAGTTTGGCAATTTATATGTGCACCAGATTTAATAGCAAACTCAACATTTATCTTATTATTAGAATCTACAGCATAATGAATAATATTTGAGCCGTTAATGTCCACATCATTGACATTAGCACCTTTAAAAAGTATTTATATTATTATTTATAAGTATTTATATTATTATTATTTATAAATTTTATAAATAATATTTACTTAAGTAATCGATTTTAAATAACTTTTACCCTTGCTAATTAAAAACTGTGCTATATCAAGATAGCCCAGGTATACGGAAATCATGAGTGGCGTGCGTTGGGCTAAACTTATGTGATTGTTAACATTAACGCCTAAATTATGAAGGCACTGTACCATTTGAAAATCGTTGTTGTCGATTGCTTGAACTAAAGGGGTTCTAAGTTCTTTATTTTCCGTCTCCAACAAGCGTGGACTAAAAAATTATTTTTATTATTATAATATTAAAACTATAAATGGGTATGTTTCACTTATTTTGTGCGATTTTTTTGACGGTGTTTGTGTTTTTCATTTTTATAGCTCTGGCCATGTGCGAGCTGTTTTCCAAATCTTCTGAGGTGGCTGATTTGAATTCCAGCCAATTGGAGGTGTCCTTTAACGATACGCGGAAGCTGTATACAGAACATGGCGCCAAATTTGTAACCTTAAAAGTTGTTTGCGGACCTCTAATTGCCAACAAAAATATTATTAAAAGTAACTAAATAAAAATTTATTTTCTTACGAGTAAATTTTTTTCCATTCCTTAAATTCGTCGAGGATCTGTAAAGTATATTCAGCGTTATTGTGTTTGGGGAAAATTTTCTCCCAGTTCAAAGAAATTTCGTTTCTTGTTCTTGCTATTGTTTGTGGTTTTAATGTTTTGTTTTGGATTTCTAGCGCTCTTGATATTTGTAAAGAAGCCATTTTATAGGTATTATTATTGATCAAACAAGCATGTAAATGGTATTGCTATTTAACGGACTTATATGTAGAAGAATTGCAATAAAACAAGTTTGCAGTTTTTATGTTTATTATGAAAAAAATTAAAAAAGAATGAAATATTTGAGGAGACTTAACCCCGGCGCATTCGCCATTTTTGTAATTTTTATAAATTAAATTATAAAGGAAAGATAATTTAAATTATTAATGTAAATAATAAATAATTATTATTGATAATTATTATTGAATTATATCGATAATAACTTTTGAATGAATAAAATATAAAAAAGTAAAATAGGTTATGAAAACCTTGATATTCTGTGGTGGTTGGTGAGTAATATTTTTGTGATTTTTATATACTGTTTTTATTTAAAATAATTGATTTTTTTATTATGAATTTTACAAATATTTGTCTTATTTTTCTGATTTATTTATTGATTCTGTTGAAAATTTTAAAATTAATAACTAATTAAAGGTAAGTCAAATGACTTTTCGTCTTTTTCTTCACTCAGAAAAACGTACTAATTTTGTAAGCAAAAATATTTTAATGCTATAAAAAGACTTTTTTAATATTTACTATTGTTTTGCAATGGTAACAACATTTTTGTTATTTCCCTTAAAAAGAGGGGGAAAGGGCCAGCGCTGTCCTTGGTGAACATTACTTTATGATCCACACTCTGCGTTATAATCTTATTGATTTCACTTGTGCGAGTGAAGTGTGGTAAAATGTAGCATGATAAAAATATCAAAAAGATCACTAAGAAAATTAAAATTTCGACGTCTTCTAAAAGAAATATTTAAGGTCTATTCTATTAACGAAGCAGACTTGTTGTTTAAAAAGTGAGTTCATATATTTTTAATTTTGTACATCATAATATGAGTTAATTTTTATGTTATAATAAATAATTTGTTTTAATGCCTTGCAATTATTTAAAAAAAAACTACCCAAAACCCAATGGTAGGTTAAAATGTGACCAATGTTTTTTTAACACCCTTTATATGTATTTTCAAAAATGGCGGATGCGCCGGGATGAACATTTTTTCCCGAAAAAAATCTAGCTAGAATTGTTAAGAATAACGACAATATTAAATAATGATTAAAAAATATCCCAAAAATTATTTTGATAATACATACTTAATATCTTTGAATTTTGTTCTATTAAAAACACCTAGCCAATATTTTGTCTTTTTAAGTTTAGTTTGAAATAAACAAGTTGCCATTTTCCGTAAACCTTGTACCAACAACATATACACTGCTTTTTCGAATAATACCATATTTTAAATAAAACGTTTTATAAAATTAAAACGCATATAAATTTTGACACAAGTACCGTACACAAACAGTACGGCACAAACCACAGTACCCTCCCATCATAGATGACTAATATGGCATGGGCATTGGCACCATCATGTCCCATTAAAAATTCCACGAGCGTCTACCATCGTGGTAGTACCATGGCAGGCATAGCCGCCTTCATCTAGTCTCGGCGGTTGTCCGTAGTGGTTATTCAACCTTGTAAACTTAGAAATCGTGGCAACAAGAGAAAGTACCATACGTCGTCCATTCCCAGCAAAATCAAGCTAACATAAAAAAGTGCAAGATTTAGCCCGAATTATGTGCAGAACTAAGACTAACAACTAATATTATTACTTTATTTTATAGGAAAATGCGTTAAAAGTGTTAATAATGAAGTGTTTATCGGTGGTTTTATGTTTGGTATTTACCTTCTCTCCAGGTGAGTTCTTTTATTACTGTGTTATTGGGTTAATTTTTCCATACGTTGCACCCATATGAAAACAAAAACGAATGCTTATAATTCGTTTACTGTTGTTTGAGTCATTTAGTTATGTATTAAAAATTGCAGAATATACCTATGACTAATTTTTTATTGCAATTGTGAATAACTTATTCAATTTTAATGTAGAACTATAATAAAACGTATTTTTTCTTGTATGTAGATATTGTTATATAATTTATTTTGTCCAAAAAAGTGGTTTTAATCTAAGATTAATAAAACAAGTTTTTTTAATGTCAAAATAACAATTAACATATTCTTTATTAATATGATATGTGCTTGATATTATTGTTAAAAATGTATTACACAAAACTTGTAGATATTAAAGAAACAAAAGCTCAAATTAAAATATTTATTAAAAAAAAGTGAAGATGTAAAATCTACAACCTCCATCAAATTATCGACCTTATTTTGTTACATTACATGTCCCCCAAAAGAATGTCAGAAAACTTAACCAAAAACTAAATACACTGACAACTATGCAATTAATCAAGGTCGAATTTCTACAAACATGTGTTTTTTAAATTTTTATTCAAATTAGGTTCTAAAAATATGTTCAGCACCTAATTTGATCATATTACGAGCTCCCCACATTTTTTTTTATTGTTAAGGCATTGATGCTAGTTAATAAAAACATTGCATTTTCGAATACTGAAAATAAAACAGACTAAACTAGTTAAAAATGTAATTATAATGTAATTGAGGTTATGTTTAAATTATTGTAGGTAACATTGAAAGGTTGTCAAGTTGAGTTGTCAAAATTCGTAGTTAAAAATGCACTTAATTTGGCTTTGGTGGTGCGTAGATGAGTAAAATCATATAAAAAGTAGTTAAATATAGGTGACTAGCGGATAATAATCTTCGCTTTGAAAAGAATTTTTATAAAAGAAATTAAAATTTTATGTGAACACACGTGAATGTTGACCAATCATTGGACTCCAATGGTGAATGGGTATTTTGTTAAAGTCACTGGACGTTAATACTTGTAGTGGCTTAATAAAAATTATTGTTTATATTGTCCAGGACTATTAATGATCAGTAACTTGTAAATTGAAAGAAGAAAAAGTTTCGTGATTATTGCTTATCTTTTTTAAACCAAATGGATGCTATTTTTAAAGACAGGAAAATTAACTACTAGATTTTTCACAAGAAGGTTGAACCCAACAGCAAATAATTTTTATTTTTTTATTTCCCCCTTATTTTTAACAATTTCAAAATTTTTTGATCTGCTTAGCTAAAAACAGTCGTAGTATGAACTGACCTTAATTGTATGTCGCACCTCTACTCATTCTACTAAAATATTAATATTTTAAATACGTAATTCATAAAATTTGCATATTTTAACAAAATTAGATAACTATATTTTTAGATCAAACGGTTTCCAAACTAAATATTGATAATATTTTAAATTAAAAGTCAAACCAATAACACACATCTTAATGCAGACTATTATCATTAAAAATAAATTAACTACTTACTAGGCTTTCACTGAACATTAAAATCACCACGCAAAAGTTAATTCTTCTTTTATATTAATGTTAATGATAATTACAAATAAAATTACTTCACTTTCTTTATTTAATATAGGTACTTAACTAACAATACGAATATTTGTTTTTATTACCTACCTACTTAGGTCAGTGGCGGCTGGTGGATTTTATGTATACCAATATCTCAGTTATTAGACATGGGACCCACACCAAATTTATAATAGTTTATAATGAAATTAAATAAACAAGTTCGGCGCAAACAGAATTTAAATTGAAGTTTGCGAAAAAAAGTTAGTTTTTCCTGTCGCCTCACCCGCCTCCAGGCCCCCCTATTTGAGATAATTCAAATTAAAGTGGTGCAATTTATTATCTTCTATAATTTATCGACAAATTTAAAATTTTATTTAAAAAATCCAATTATTACAGATTTTATTCGATTTTAAATTTTTATTATTTATTTTATTAAAATAAAAAAATATTTAAAATGGTATAAAACCAAAAATAAAAAATCCAAATATTACAGATTTTATTCGATTTTAAATTTTTATTATTTATTTTATTAAAATAAAAAAATATTTAAAATCGAATAAAATCTGTAATATTTGGATTTTTTGAATAAAATTTTAAATTTGTCGATAAATTATAGTAGATAATAAATTGCACCACTTTAATTTGAATTATCTTAAATAGGGGGGCCTGGAGGCGGGTGACGCGACAAGAAAAACTAACTTTTTTTCGCAAACTTCAATTTAAATTCTGTTTGCGCCGAACTTGTCTGTCTAATGTCATTATAAACCATTATAAATTTGGTGTGGGTCCCATGTCTAATAACTGAAATATTGGTATACCCAAAATCCACCAGTCGCCACTGACTTAGGTACACTTTAATTTATCTACTTCAGGGTCCACCCAGGAAGATGACGGGCCATATAAAGGAAAATTCTTGGGAAAATTAAATTCCTATCATCACCAAGTTTCCGGCGATGTCTATGCTGTCGACGAGTACACGTTACTTTTAAAATCGTTCAGTTACGATGGAAATGGGGCAGATACGTTTTTCTGGGCTGGAGCCGCCAACAGGCCCGGGCCACAGGGCTTCATTGTCACAGATGAACATGGAAAGTAAGCAAATCACCTAGTAAAAAAATTTCACCCAAAAACTTTTTCCTCTATCATTCCTAACACTCATTGAAAAATATGAACACCAAAAACCTTACTTATAGAACCAACGTCCTGGACCGTTACTTCAACAAAGACTTCACCCTGACCCTCCCAGACCAAAAAAAGATCACCGACATCAAATGGTTCGCCATTTACGACATATGGAGTCAAAACACCTTCGGAGATATTTACATCCCCGAAGAGTTTGAACCTCCGACAAAACAACGTATATCCCAACTAATTTCGAAGAAGAACAGCATCAGTTCCGACGTAGTGGAAATTCTCGACGCCAAAAGAATACAACTGAAAGATTTCATTTACGACGGCAAAGCCAAGGAGGCCTATTTCTGGGTAGGCGTTGGTCCACAGCCTGCTTCAAAGGGCTTCAAGGTCCCAGATGAATATGGATAGTGAGATCAACCAACACGAAATAAACATCACCTAACTGTTTTTGTGTGTTTTAGTCTGGACCCTCTAAGGCAGTACAAAAACGAAACCATCATAGTAGAAATCCCGGGAGATCTCACAATCTTCGATCTGGATTGGTTCAGCGTTTTCGATCTGGCTACCCATGAAAATTTGGGCTCCATATTGATCCCGGAAGCCCTGAATGTGCCCCCGTCCCTCATTAAAATCATCGTGAGGTGTTAACAATTTAAAAAACATTTTAACATCACATCTTTTGTAGCCTCACAAGAACGATTTGCCGAACTGCGTTCAACTCCACAAAGATTTACAAGTTTCGTGGGAAATTTTTGGGCCGGCTGTAACCATACAACTCGCCGGTCAAGTTGGCGAAGACGAATACATGGCATTCGGCCTATCAGGATCGCCTGATTCAAGTCAAATGATCGGTTCAGACGTCGCGGTTTCATACATCGATGGTTACAGAGGTTTTGCGACTGATTACAATATTACTGCGTTATCACCTGTAAGTACACTAGTAACATTAAAGATTTTAGCATTTAAAATGAGTTTTTAGTGTGTTAAAGTTCTTGGTCAGTATAAAGGAGTATGTAAGGATGATATGGTTGGAGGGCAAGACACCAATCAAATGAATACAGCTGTAAGAGAGAACGGCATTAATATTATCACATATAGAAGACAGCTTATATCACGTAAGTGTATTACCAGTGTTTCCTATTATTGCAACCTCATTTGTTATAGCTGACCATGGCGACAAAGAATACCCGACAGATGCCCCAGCTTACATCGTATGGGCGATAGGAAAACTAGATCAAAACAAAGAACCCGCCTTTCATGATTACTACCCAAAACACGACATAAAGATAGAGTTTATGCCCAAAGAGCCCATAAAAACTTGCTTCTCTTTCACGAAAACGGAAGAAATCGTTCAAGAACCGTGGCCAAAAGGTCAAATTTACGACAGGACCATACGGGTTTTTAACGCGTACATCGGTCCATCGGGTGGTAAGAGGGCTTATCAAGCCATCACCAAACATACCACCGCTGGTGTGTCGTGGTACATCAATGGTTTAATGGCACCTGAGCTTTGGTTGAGGCGCGGTTTGACCTACGGTTTTAGAGTGTTTGGAGGTAACAACCCTCATAGTGCCGAGTATTACCATCCCTTAATCATCACCGATGACCCTTATGGGGGTTTTGATAAGTTGACTGAAGAGCAACAGTCCAAAATCAGGGTTTTGGCTGGTGTAGAGTATACCAGGAGAGGACCCAGGGCTACAGTCAGTAAGTAGATTATTTTGGTCAACACTTCCCATTATAATATTCTAAACGGTTTAATTCATTTTAGCTGGACCTCTATGCGTATCATCTCACAAACCCACTGAAGACAGACGGTTGGATGATACTTTCCTGAACTTCAAAAAACTCAATCGTACTCTAATAACCACCTGCGAAAGTGGAGATCCGGGCATATTGGAAATAACTCCCAACTCATCATGGCCTGATACAGTTTACTACAACTCCTTCACGCAAAGCAACATGGGTTGGAAAATCCACATCGTCGATACGTATAGTCAGAGGAATGAAGCTCCCCAAATATTTATTACACTGAACGTAATTTCAACCATATTACTAGCATTTTGTGTTAAGCAATTCCTGTGAATTAGTAAACGACTGAACAAATTCTTGGTGTACATTATTTATTTTTAATTACGTAACAAAAATAAAATTTAGGTTTGTTGAAACGACTTTTATTGACTAAACACTACACGCGGTTTCTTCTGCGCTTTCTTATGGTTTTTCTATTCAATTTTGACACCACAACCTTAACTTCGAGATGGTCTTTGTACCATTCGTGCCAATTCGAGTAATGATATTCTAGTATTGACATCAACCATTCAAGGTACAGCATGTCTATAGCTCCGATTCCTTAAATATATACCCATTAAAAAAACTAACAACGTTAGAGCGAAAAACAATATACAATGGATATGTTATATTTAACAAGGAGTTCCACAAGGAACCCACCTAGGGCCGTTACGGTTTGAACTCTTCATCATTGACTTAACTCTTAACCACAACAAAAAAACAAATTTATTTTTGTTTAACGTTTTTATTAGTTATAAACGCGAGGACATCATGCTTTTCTGTTTCTTCTGCATTTTCTTTTTGTTTTGTCTTTTAATTTTGACACGACAACTCGGAGTTTAAGATTATTTTTATACCAATCGTTCCAGTTCGAGTAGTGCTTTTCTGTTAAAGACATTAACCATAGAGAATACATAAAGTCTATAGCTGCTATCCCTAAAGAACACAACAAACTTATAAACAGTTAAAAGAAATATCGCATGGATATGTTGTATTTACCAGCATGGCTTCAAATAGACTTATTACTTTTGTTCTTCAACACTTTCATCTTTAGATTCGATATAATTAACTTGATTTCGGCGTTCGACCGATACCAATCCCTCCAAGCGATATAATGCTTTTGCAGGCACGACATTAACCATGACGAGTAAGAAAAATCTATGGCAGCCATTCCTAAATATAACATATCCATATTTGATCCAAAAAACACTCCAAAATCTTACCGAAAACCGCCGAAAAAGCTATCAAGTGAGAAGACAAACTCCCACTGACTATGATGTTGTTTTTCATTAGCGCCTCGCAAATCATCATCAGCATATAAGTGGACGCCACTGCTGATGGCGTGTACAACGCGAATGCAACTAAATCGACCAAAATCTCCTTCAAATGTTCCCCAGGATGTCTCAAGAACACAAAAATCGATCTGGGTATGCTGTACCTGAAAAAAGTTCCTCAAGGTTCCAATCTAGGGGTGTTATAATGACACTTACTTCGGTTGCCTAATGATCTTATAGTGGTGCTGGCACAACTCGCAAGTGCTATGACTGGACTCTCTGAGCCATCTTTCCAGACATTTCAGATGCACCACAGCCACTGTCCCTCTACATCTGCATGGCTGTACTAGATCGTCCATACTCTCTCCACCGTGGCAGATGCGACAGATTAGATCGCTGGAGTATTTGGACTAAATTTGATATGTAATAAGTGTTAAATTTTTGTGTACCTACTATGTGTATTACCTCGGTTTCATTCATTCCTTTTTTCTTAGCCGCCAATTGGTCCTGTACGTATTTAGATAACGTTATACAGCTGTTTTTGGTGGTTAACTTGCTGTTTTTCGTTTTCAATTTATTCTCACTTCGAGTTACATCTGATATTTCATCGGATGAGGTCGTCAGAACCGACGTAAGAGAATCTTTTTGGTTCTCCTTCAGTAATTTCTTTTTGGGACCCATCAAGGATATCACTTTTTTCGATTCGCTTGTGCATGGTTTTTCCCTTGAATCTTTCCCAGCAAGTTGCGCGCTTTGTGAACGTATAAGCCGCGTGCATGTGGCTTGGCTCATGATATTTTTGGATACAAATAATTTGGGATGATGATGAATGACACAGAACAACAACAAATTTGACAGAAAATTGACAAAATCAACATTTGAAATAATACGGGCTGCCCCGAAATATACCACCATTTTTTTTTAAATGATATTGTTTTTATTTTTTTCAATACAGAAGCTGAAATTTTCAACTTTTGACCTCATTTTGTTTATATAGTTTTCGGAGAAAATTGAACATTATTTTGTTATGAGAACATAAATAATATAATAAATATACTGTTCCAGAACTGGCCAGTCACTTTTTCAAACAATTTCTGAAATATCTGTGTTTTCTAAATTTGAATACAAGGGAAGTGACGAGTATACCAGGGTACTAATTAAATACATAATTTATTGGAAAATATAAGATTTATTGCTACTTTGAGCATATTACACATTAAATATCTTAAAATCAAATAATACCACACATCAGTGGCGGCTGGTGGATTTTGGGTATACCGATATCTCAATTATTAGATATGGGACCCACACCAAATTTATATGAGTTTATAATATTATGACATTATGACATATGACATTAAATAAATAAGTTCTGCGCAAGCAGAATTTAAATTGAAGATAACCGAAACATCGAACATGGAACTGACGAAAATTTGAGATTATAATTCGGAATTAATTATTTTACTGATATTTTTGATTAGTGGATGCTACTTATCAACAAATCACATTTATACGTAAGAAAATAACTACTCACCACAGTACTGAAATTTTGACTTGAACTATACGTGCATTCACCACAACTTCGCCGCTTGCATTGTTTTCAAGATGACTGTCGTGCAAAGGGCGGCTCTGTAGGTAATTTTTTACCAACACTTGAGTTAAAACGAGGACGTTTAAACTTCAATATTTCGCAGGAATTTTAAATTTTAACATTGGACACTGACGGGTAAAAGTGAGTACAAAGATTATCAATTTTTAAAAATTGCTATTATTCGAATCTATGATAAAATATGAAAAATACATTATTTAATGTTTTATAGTTTGTAGTGAAATTGAAAAATTTAAGATAAATTGAATATATTTTTAAATAAAATCACTTAAATATTTGATTCAGGAGTTGTGACACGCCAAGGTACTGATGTTTTGAATATTTATTATGTTTTTCTACAAACGTGCTTTTAAAAAAATACATTAAAATTGTGTGGACAAGTTAAAAAAAACCTGGATCTTTTGTAATATACTAAAATATTTACAAAAAATATTAAAATACACACTATTTTGACTGATGACATGCTATTGTTATTTTGCGAGTTACAAACAAGCTGCGTGTTTTTTTAAGGTTATCTTTCGTCACGGCATTAACTCGGTAAGTATTTGCAGTATTAATTTTCTTTTTATGTAAAGTAAACCACTTTCTTTCTTTTTAGTTAATGCAATGGTTTATGTACATTTATTTTGTCACTTTACTGCTAAGATAACATTGGAATTACTTTTAGTTTGCCTAAATAAGAGTCACAATGGAAATAAAAATGTAAAATATTTATTTTTTATAGGTAGATGGGGCTAAAAAGTATAATAGACTAATGAAATGAAACTAATGAAACACCGTATAAAACTTTTTAGGGGCATTTTTTTCTTTATTCGTTTTTTCAAGATTTTTCTTTAAAGAATCATCAGTAGTAATTACTTCTTTAGGTTTTGGTTTTTCCACATTTTCCAGAGTATTTAATTTAGTATCTTTCATAATATCTTTGGTTTCTTCACTCATGTTTTTTTATATAGGTAATGACATTTAAATTTTGACACACATTGAAATAAAATAAATAAATAAATTGTAAAACTTTTAATAATATTTGTATCACATATAATAAACACAACATCCATCTGATGTGAACTTAAATAATAGTTAAAAAGATTTGATACTTTTTAACCTTTTTATAAATATGATAATGGGTAACATGAAATATATACAATTTTTAAATTTCATTATCTACTAAATTATAATAAAAAAATACAAAAATATATGATGGGCAAGTCCGGGTTTTTTTAATTCAATAGTAGTGCAAATAAAAAATTGAATTCATTCTGCGTTAAAAAACTATTTGCTATAGTCACGGCCAAATCTGTATGGGTGCACGTCATCAACGGCATATGACGTCAGCTATAAGGTCTATTCATACGTGCCCAGACACAATCTAACGCTCGTGTATTGTTGACTGTTTATAGCGGTGGGGGCTGTTATTAAGATGGAATTATAACGTCCTTGTTATAATCTTCTGCACTAACTAATTAGGAGTTTGTTACAGGCAAATTTTTATTAAATGTGTTTAAAGAGAAAACAAACGGAGTTTATTACATTTTTATTACATATGCACATAACAAAAAAATACTAAATTATCAGAAACACAAAAATAATAAATTACCAGTCGTCCTTGTCATCAGAGCAAACCAGGTCAGAATTGAAGTCTGATTATTTACCCAAATTTATTATTAAGGGCGCAATCTCTTCGAAATCTAATAACGGCTAGTTGCCAACAAGCCTTATATCATTGTTTGCACAATCCAGGGATAGAATCTTATAAACATAACGTATAATATTATTTATAATAATTTGCAACAAACGATGCTTCCGGACGAAATGTCACAATTACAAAAATACGTCAAATATAAAATGGCAGCGACCCATCAATAATATTGAACGGTGCGCGCCAGCCTTAAGCTATTACCAACTGGCACACACAAAAATTACTAAGTGAATGGTTTTATTTTGATAATTTCGTGAAAAAACGTTTTAAAACAAGGAAATTGTTACAGTTTTTGATAAACAATACGCAAATGAATGATTTCTTTTTAATAACACATCAGAATTACGCCTTAAAAAAGCAAATTTAACGGCAGTAACTTTACAATTCAAAGTTGGTAATGCTGACGTCATTATATCTCATTGATGACGTGCACCCATATAGATTTGGCCGTGACTATATTGTCAATTTTACTATTGAGAAAATATGTAACAAGATTTTTTCTAATTAGGTATTTAATTTAAAATTATTTTGTACGATTTTTATTAAGTATTTAATTCAATTAATCTACTTTGTTTTGTTTACATTCAACACTAAATTTTTGAGATTTAAAAAACGGCAAGAATATTGCACCTACGCCAATGAAGTCAAGCATGAAGTTAGCATCATTGCCAACCTTTAGACATTACACTTCGATAAAATTAAGAGTCCCATTTAATTTAAATGATTCAAAACAAGGAACTCCAGTTAATATGAATAAAAATCCGCGCGATTTTTTACGCTTTAAACGTTCTAACAACTCTAATGACGTATTGCCGGCAAATCGGGCATTCGGCAAGTTTTTTACCGCAGTCTATGCAAGTGGCTATGTGTCCACATTCCAACAGTACGCAGTCCAGTGGACCATCCATGCAAAGTTTACAAAGATCCTGGATATTTTCCGGGAGTTCTGAAAGAGTTTTGCATACGGTAAAAAAACCTTCAGAAGAGTTCATTCAACCAGGCAAAAAGGGGTAGGTCGTTTTACGCTAAAGAAGTATCGGGTTTTCGCAACGCGCGCGCCATCTGGTGGACTTCGAATGCATTGCGTGAATTTAAGAATTGTCAACAATACATTTAAAGCACAGATTATACATCATTTTTAAATAAATAGGTAGTCTTTTCACAAAAGAGAGGAAGGCAGAAGTCTTACTCGACAAATTTTGTTCAATTGCGCAGGTAAATCGCGCACGTTATTTGTGTTTTACGTTGCAAGGAAAAACTAAAAAACTGCTTTAGTACTCGATTTCGATTGATTATTCTTTATATCATTGATTAAGAAACTCAACGCTTAAATGCTTGTATAGTTACGTTAGTGTGTGTTTTTTATCAAAGGGATCATGGTGAATTATTGTGTTTTTAATTGTAAATAAAATTCAAGAACTAAATCGTTGCATTTTCATGTTTTGCCAAAGGATCCAATTCGGTAAGTACATTTGTTGGTGCAGAATTAACTAATGATAACTTTACCTAATATAATTTATATTTAAGCTTGGACATTTTTAAGAAATTAGTAAAAAATAATTTTTACAAACATAACCTTAAAATCAACCATTTTTATGTTTGAGTTCTCTAAAAACGCCGACAACTGCATTTTAAACAACAAAATATACCTACGAATTCATGGCAACATAATATTATATATAATACATAATACAATGGTATTTTACCGTTGAGTGGAGACTTTCTTAATCAACGCTTTTAATAATGCTAAATGCTGTATAAATTTAGACGACTTATTTGTTTGACGATTTTTCTGAATTGAAATGTTTACACTTTTCACGTAAATCACTACTAATTTAGTAGTACTAAAATGTGTATTTATTGTATCTAATAGGTACAATTTATATTTATACTATAAATTTTATAGAGACTGTATGCAATTTATTTCTTCATTCAGATTAACAATGTTTATTGGAAAACCGGTAAAAACTCAACCCAGGATTTTCAATCGAAATACACCCAACAACACAACAAATCGAGCCACGTTTGTAACATAAGCGTTTGACAGCTGATTATTAAAAGTGGTACTTTTGTTACGATGATAACAGCCGAGTGGTGGCGCTACTAGCGATATTTCTTTAGCGTATTTTTTAAAAATTTCCTACCGGCTAACAAAACAAATTGAAGCAAAAAGAAAAAATACGGGTCTTATCGATTTTGGTGGAGAAACTGTATAAAATAACGACCTACCTCCTTTTATGTACCATGTACATTGTACATGGTCGATTTAAGATGGAAGGTCCGTTCTTTGTGTTCCTAATGAAATAAAAAAACACTAACCTTTGTGAAGTTCATTGTTGTCCTGCCACAGCCGAGTTGCGCGCTCCAGTAATTCGTTCTTTTCCACACACCCCTTAAAATCCACTCTATTCAAAGTCAATAGCTGCTTCAGCTGTTTTGATGATAAACAATTTATCTCTTCTGCAGTTTCAAAATCACTTAGCTTGGGATACTTGTTGGGTAGAGGGCTGCCTTCCGGTGTTTCATCCTAAATGAGACATTTTGTAAAGTTTTACACCTCAATGGGGTAGTTAAATTTTTTCTGACCTATACTTTTTATGGTTTTATTCAAGGCGTTTTGTAATATTAAACATTTCTGTGAAATCGGAATTTCAATTGAGTTTACCGTTTTCGAGATATTTACAAAAAAAAATCTCCTAATTACGTCACTAGGCTATTGACAACGTTGCCAGCTTTTTCTATGGTTGCCAGTGTGTTTAGTTTAAGATTCTTACGATAGATGGCGCCATGTTATAATATTTTAGTTTTAAAACCACTTGATCTATAATTTTAGTTGAGAAGAAGAAGAAGAATTGATTTTTTGACGTTTCTTTTTTTCGGGTTATGTTTTTTTTTAAATTTAGATCATTGAAAATCAATGTTATTGTTATGTTATTTGTAATTGATATTAGATAAGTGATTTATTAATAACGGACTCCAAAGCAGAGGAATCTTGTGGAATGGTTGGTTACATTGAACATTGGAGCTTTTAAACAAATAAAGTAAGTACCTATAATTATAATCCTATTTTGTCGTAAATGCATTTCATTAGTATAATGCCTAGTTCTTTATATTCTTTTAGATATATCTTGGACTCTAAAATATCAAACAGTAATATGATACCTCGTAATAAGGAAGATAGGTACTTAATGAATTTGGTGACCATCTTTCACTCAACTGACAGTGACAGTATTTGTACATAACCTCTTCGGGTATTTTCTGACATAACCGAATGAAATCATTAACAAGACAACTTGACAACAGGGTAATTTTCAACCAATAGAAATCTTAGAATGTTGGTCACATGGCGAGGTTTGTGACGTCATAAAAATTTATATTTTTTGTAAATATCTCGAAAACGGTAAACTCAATTGAAATTCTGATTTCACAGAAATGTTTAATATTACAAAACGCCTTGAATAAAACCATAAAAAGTATAGGTCAGAAAAAATTTAACTACCCCATTTGCGTTATATATGAACCTTTTTCCCGTTAACCTCGATATTAACGCTCGAGGTGGTGGGTTGGGGTTCCGTTGTCGCTGTCTCGGGCATTTCCGCTGCAGGGGGCGGGGCCAACGGCTCCTCGGGAACTTCCGGGGGCGTTTCTTCCACGGGAGTGGGGGGAGGAGTTTGGCGCGAAAACCGCGGTATGTTTCGATAGATTGTTGTCGGTTCGTGGGGAACGTTTGGAGCTGCGGAGCCCTTGGGCCCGTTAGGTCGCTGCTCCGGAGCTATTATAGAATCTAAAAATCTTCTATATTGGATATTTTCATAAAAAAAAAATTTTTTTTAATTTAATTAAAAAACCCATTTTTTACAAGAACTTTAATAATTTTAAAATGTTTATTATACAGGGTAATTAATGTAATATATTAAAATACTAAATACCTTTAGACATAATAAAAACATGCATTTGAAGTTTTTTATATTTTTTGCGATACGCCTAGTGTTGCAAACAAGGAAAAGTTGTTGGAAAAGTTGGGGCACCCCCTATGAAAAGTTGGAAAAGTTATTAGGTGGGAGCCAATGAACAATGAGTTGACTTCTAACCAGTGTTTCCACTACCATAAATTTGAAGTGTTTTTAGTAAAACGTGCTAAAATCATTGTTTTTTTGGAATAACATTCTGTCAAACTTTATCAAAAATGGTGTCTGCTAACAGCATTTTCTATTATATAAAGATTGTTTTATTATAACGTATTTTAGTTGCTAAAATTTATCCAATAAGAATATTTGGGTCACGTATTTTGAATTATATCGTCATAATAAGATAAATATTTAAAATTGAAAAAAAGAACAAGAAATAAAACTCATTATTAAAAAAATTAACTAAAATGCACCGAAGTGAAAATCGGTAGAAAATAAGGTAAATTAAATATTAAATAATTAACCACTCATTATGATATTTGTGACCTCAGATTATAATAACTAAATATAAAAAAGACATACCTATTTAAATAAACAACACTTTCACAAAAACTGAATTTATATCAAATCAATGTATTATTGGTTAAATTCACTCCATTACAAAATTAAAGAATTCATCTAATCCCTTCAAATGGTAAATAAATAATTTCTATTCTTTTTTACTTAAAAAATATGATTTTTTTCACTCAAACCTAGTTTATTTTTGTTGTGATTATGTTGTCTGTTCATTTTATTTTGTTTGTTATTTTGTTATAAAACAACTTGTTACGTATGTATAAATACATAAGAAATAAATTATTTTAATACATTGACAAGCATTATTTATATTTTATACGTTTACATTACAAAAAACTCAACTTTTCCATCTTTTCCAACTTTTCCGAAAAATAAATCCCAACTTTTCAAAAATTTCAACTTTTCATGAAAAGTTGCAACTCTAGATACGCCACTGGTGACACACTTGTGTTCTGCGAGTACATAGATACCAACCAACAAAAATAAATAAAAACTCAATAAATACAAAAGTTTTATGCCCTTAAAGCTCTAATACCCTTCTGTATTTATTTACTCATCCAGCTATTAGCTTAAGCAACGATAAGAAAATTTAGTACCTATTTTAAAAACTCCATATCCACAAAATTAATTTTTTCATCGGCTTTTTTCTTTCTGTTTACTCAGATGAAATAAGGACAAGTTCACAGGTTAAACTTTAAACATTCAATTTGTGTAAATAAATCCAAAAGCACTTCCCTTTAGTTGAGATATTCTGAGTTATGTCATAAAAGTTGACAGATTTTGTTTGAATTTACCTTTATTACAAAAATGACATAATAAACAATTAATAAAAACGCAAAAGTTAACAATTTCCATTGTTAATTTTGTCATTTTTGTAATTAAGTTAAATTTAAACAAAATCTGGCAACTTTTTTGACAGAATCTGGAAACGCTGATTGTTACCAACCATAACAAAATAAATTAAATTAGCCTAAAGTTCCTAGTCGATCAGTGGCGTACATTTTGGTAGGATAAAGGTTATTATAAATTATTTTTAATCTTTGGAATTTAGAAAAAAAAAGTTTCAGGTGCTTCCCCTAAGGAACTACCCATTTTAATATATTACATTAATTACATAACACCCTGTATATCAAGATAACTCAAACAAAATTTTAAAAAATTTAAAATATCTTTTGACTATCAATTGTTTTGAAATTTCTGTTAAAAACATAGCTAAACTTTTATGTTTTAACTATTATCTAATAAATGCTAAAACAACGTAGGTACCTACCTGTTTTTCCACAGAAAGAAAAACAATCAAAAAACATTTTAAACCCACAATAAACAACATAAACCTTTATATTTTACGTTTCAAATCAAACTAACAAGTTTAAGTAGTTGATATCTTATCAATTTACACTACTTACTTTGAATTTGGATAAAAATGTTAGTCATTGAGGTACACTAAGTGTAAAAAACATCAAAAACATACTCACCAAAAAATTGGTTTATTTGCGTTGTCCCTGCTATGTTGGCTGTCACTTTACCGACGAAATTCTTTTTTGGTTTTTCTGGTAGATGTTTGTTAATGAATAAATCGACTAGTTCTTGTTTTTCTACAAAAAAAAAATGTTACATTAAAGTTACCTAGAAACAACACTTTTTACAATGCACAGTGGTGTTTTTAAATGATTTAAATTGATTGAAGTTTCTATAGATATATGAATAAATAAATCAATTAATGATAATAATTATGATAATATAATTAAATCCAAAAATATCAATTCTAGGAATTGATTATATACCTACAATATATTATAAATTTATAAAAACCAACACATGATAAACATTACTCATACATTCAGAATGCATTTGTTTTAAAAGGGTACTTTATCACTGTAATTTACTTACCCACCAAGCCATAAGTGGAAATGTTGTTTTTGTTCAAATAAGCTTGTAGGTCTTTTGGCTTTAGTTCCATTAATTTCACTCTATCTGGAGGTCTTTTTAAAAGTATCATACATTTTTCACAATAAAAAATACTACAAAAAAATCCTTGTCAGTTATAATACAGTTATGTTTATCTATATATATATATATATCTATATCTATATAGCTATGTTGACATTTTTAAGATAGCTATTTAAAGTTGACATATCTTAAGTTTATACATATCCATGGAAAATTTTTGGAAATTAACCATGGATAATATAATGTGTGAAAATTAAGCAAAAACTTTTACAAGAATAAATAAATTTTCTTGTAACCCCATTTGTGGGTAAACTGTATTATATATAAACTTACCCTTCCCTCTTTTTTAAACATTTACTACAATACTTTTCATCGCATTCTCCACACTTTAACTTCCAATTAAACAAGTTGAAGTCTGCTCTACATAAAGTGCAAGGCATTGCGACAAGAATAATACTAAACAACTAAACTAAAATTGAACACAGCAAACACTTATTATATATACATTTATTATCGAATAATGGTGCTTAATGATTATTTTTCCTTAACATTATCAAAGCGGAAGGGCCATTTTTATCACAAAAATTTGTAGATTATGGTTTGTTCTGTGATTAACAATAAAATATCATTTTAATGACAGAACAGCTGTTTTCCAAATTTTAACCTCACCGCAGCCACGTTGACAAATCTCCGAATAATGCCAACATTTTTGTGCACAAAAAACATAAATAAATGTTAAAAATGGTACCATAATTACTATTAAGAATAACCATATATTAAAATGGTAATTTACGCGGTAAAAATTGAAAAAAATTCAATTCAATAGTTAGACAAATTTAAACCTGGCAACGTTGTAAAGAAAATATCAGTGTTGCAAATATTAGTTATAGCCAGGGCCGCACTCTTCCAGGGGCGGTATAATGGAATTTTTATTATTATTTATTAATTTTTAGCTAAATTGTCGCTTTCTCTATTTTCCATGTTAAAATTCCTTATAATTAGTGCGAATCTATAGATTTCACATTGAAGAAAGTATACATTAATGTAGAATTCTATATTGACCTGATATTATAATGGGGTAGTTAAATTTTTTCTGACCTATACTTTTTATGGTTTTATTCAAGGCGTTTTGTAATATTTAACATTTTTGTGAATTTCAATTGAGTTTACCGTGTTCGAGATATTTACAAAAAATATAAATTTTTATGACGTCACAAACCTCGCCATGTGACCAACATTCTAAGATTTCTATTGGTTGAAAATTACCCTGTTATCAAGTTGTCTTGTTAATGATTTCATTCGGTTATGTCAGAAAATACCCGAAGAGGTTATGTACAAATACTGTCACTGTCAGTTGAGTGAAAGATGGTCACCAAATTCATTAAGTACTTATCTTCCTTATTACGAGGTATCATATTACTGTTTGATATTTTAGAGTCCAAGATATATCTAAAAGAATATCAAGAACTAGGCATTATACTAATGAAATGCATTTACGACAAAATATGATTATAATTATAGGTACTTACTTTATTTGTTTAAAAGCTCCAATGTTCAATGTAACCAACCATTCCACAAGATTCCTCTGCTTTGGAGTCCGTTATTAATAAATCACTTATCTAATATCAATTACAAATAACATAACAATAACATTGATTTTCAATAATCTAAATTTAAAAAAAAACATAACCCGAAAAAAAGAAACGTCAAAAAATCAATTCTTCTTCTTCTTCTCAACTAAAATTATAGATCAAGTGGTTTTAAAACTAAAATATTATAACGTGGCGCCGTCTATCGTAAGAATCTTAAACTAAACACACTGGCAACCATAGAAAAAGCTGGCAACGTTGTCAATAGCCTAGTGACGTAATTAGATTTTTTTGTAAATATCTCGAAAACGGTAAACTCAATTAAAATTCCGATTTCACAGAATTGTTTAAAATTACAAAACCATAAAAAGTATAGGTCAGAAAAAATTTAACTACCCCATTATTATTTTTGATAAAAAAATCCAATGAAACTGTTTATACATATATTTATTTACATTTTACCACTTAATATTTAAAGCATTTGTATTTTTTTGTACTTCATGGTATTGCGTGTGCAACACTGACTGGCATTTGTCGCTCTCTTGCCCGTTCAACCAATTTTCGTACAAATCCTTGACCAAAACATTTTCTTCCGGACTTTTGATCGGTAATTTTTCGTACATTTTCTCCAGCTGCATTGACAATTCTTTGACGGTGACGCCATCTTTTGGGCGCACCTGCGCACCACCGTTCAAGCAACCTAAAACATAAATGTTGGGGTTTTTCTTTTTGTTGTTTTTTTGGGTTGGTACCTGCAGGGCACGCCATGACTTCCACGTAGTGGTATGTCGATTTCCCGCGTTTTAGTTTTTGTACGAGGTTTTGGATGTTTCTAAAACCGTTCGCTATGGCGAATCTTAGAAGAACTTTGGAGTCTTTTTCCAAAATAACCTCTTTGAAATCTTGGTTTCTTAAAATAAATTATTAACAATTAATGTATTCACAGGTTTATGAATTTACCGTAATGTTTTGTACTCCAAATTGACGCCTTCAACGCCAAACAACTCTTTGGCAGCATATTTAAAAATGTGGTCGGAATAACCCCCGGATCCTGACCCTAAATGACAAGTGAGGTTAGGTTTAACCTCAGTGGGCTCTTGCTTTATCAACCAAGGTTCAGAAAAGGTTGACTCAGCCAAAGAATCTAGAGATATTCTATCTTTATCTAACATTTGTTCTAGCTCAACTAAAATTTAAAAAATAGATTTTTCCTATAGTAAAAACACACAAAAAATATTACTTGCAGTTATAACACAATCAACCTCTCTTGAATCAGTGTTGACATCGAAAAAATCCTCCCTAGCTGCCTCCAATTTTTTATCGTAACAAGGCATAACTGTGACGTGATAAATAGGCCTATCTCCCAAATTATGACCGACCCAATGCTTAATAATCGAACCCATAATCTGCTGCGGCGACTTTGTGGTCGAGATGTACGGTAAAATGTAACTCCCATGCGTTTTTTCGGCGTAGCAGACCCAGCCGGGGCAGCTTGAAGCCAGCATGGGCAAAACATTCTTAACGCCGTCATTTTCAGTCGACCTGTATCTCCTTACGAACTCCCGCTGACTCTCCAATAACGCAAAATCGTCCGCAATCGTCATGTCGACCACTAAATCTGCACCCAGCTGCTTAAAATACTGCGCAAGTCTGGCTGCGCATTCGTTCGGGGTCAGATTATAACGCACGGCGAGCGATAAAATAGGCTGTATCGATATGGACACTATTATCAACTTGGCCTCGCTTGTTTTACCCGCCTAAAACGTCAAAGTTGTGTTACGAGGCGACCTTTTCTAGTAGATACCTTGGACCACGCATTTTTGCTTATACGCTAAAGAAGTATCGAGTTTTCGAAACGCGGGCGCCATCTGGCGGACTTTAAAAGTATTGCGTGAATTTAAGAATTGTCAACAATACATTTAAAGCATACCAACTGTACATCATTTTTAAATAAATAGGTAATTTTTTCACAGAAGTCTTACTAGACAAATTTTGTTCAATTGCACAGCTAAATCGCGCACGTTATTTGTGTTTTATGTTGCAAGGAAAAACTAAAAACTGGTTTAGTACTTGATTTCGATTGATTATTCTTTATATCATTGATTAAGAAACTCAGCGCTTAAATGCTTATATAGTCACGTTAGTGTGTGTATTTTATCTAAGGGATCATGGTGAATTATTGTGTTTTCAATTGTAAATAAAATTCAAGAACTAAATCGTTGCATTTTCATGTTTTGCCAAAGGATCAAATTCGGTAAGTACATTAATTTGTTGGAGCAGAATTAACTAATGATAACTTTACCTAATATAATTTATATTTAAGTTTGGACATTTTAAGAAATTAGTAAAAAATAATTTTTGCACAAACATAACCTTAAAATCAACCATTTTTATATTTGAGTTCTCTAAAAAACGCCAACAACTGCATTTTAAACAATAAAATATACCTACGAATTCATGGCAACATAATATTATAGGTATATAATACATAATATAATGGTATTTTACCGTTGAGTGAAGACTTAATCAACGCTTTAATAATGCTAAATGCTGTTTAAATTTAGACGACTTATTTGTTTGACGATTTTTACTGAATTTACATTAATCACTACTAATATGTGTATTTATTGTATATAATTAGTACAATTTATATTTACAGGGACTAAACGAAATTTATTTCTTCCGATGTTTTTAACATTTCCCGGCTTTATTCTCAAAAACACTCGTTTGACAGCTGATTATCAAAAGTTGTACTTTTGTTACGTTGCCGAGTGGTGGCGCTACTAGCGATACTTCTTTAGCGTATATTATATAAAACATAGTTAACAAATAGGTATAGTTCTCTACCTTTTACTAAAATTGCAATATTTAAACTATTCTATTATAATTATAATAAATACCTTTAAAACTATTATATTATAATTTTAAAGATATTTATTATAACATCACAAACAACCTTTGGAAATTACATTTTGCTAGAAACATAAAATGAAATAAAAACACTCCCTCAACTTGTATTAAAATTTAAAGACCATTAAATTATAAAAGTTTAATAATAGCTTAATACAAAAATTTTTGTTTTGTAAAATACTCATTTTGCTGTTATACTTACCAATTTTAATGCCTTATTCTCCTCAAAAACTCTTATCAACTCCTCTTGACTTTGCTGCGTAACCAAAACACTTTCAGCCGACGTAATGCACCCAGAACATGCTAAACAATCGGATAAAGTTATTTCAACCTTTTGCAGTTTAAAAGCTGACCCATCCTAAAAATTCTTGATACATTAAGAAGTTACAATACACACCCTTACCTCTTCGACTTGATAATAATCACCATCTTCTTGTATGCGTATTTTCGCCCCTGTACTTGTTTTTGTCTTTTGTATTTGAACTGGTTTTATACATTCCTAAAGTTAGGTTAGATTCACGAAATTAAGGAAATTTTCAGAAATAATTACCTGAGAAGGGGTAATAAAGTCGTCTAAATCGGTTAACTGAAGAACACCGCTGAATCTCGACATTTTTAATGATATTTGTAAGATTTTTAACCATGAAATGACGTTTGCTTTGTTTTGACAGATATCATGTTTTTATAACCTAAAATTCGCATTTTAAAATCGAAAAACACACAGCCAATAAAAGTCCTTGAATGTTAAACATTTTACTTTTGGGTATCTTGATTATTACATTACATTACATTTTTTAATTAAACAAAAATTTCAAAACCCAATAAAGCAATCTACTCTTAGTCTAAGAGTCTCACATAGATGGCGCAGTTTTGATGTTTTGTTTCGCACAGTTGGCAACAGTTTGTTTGTTGAACCAATAGGATTGGGGCGGCAATTTCACAATTTGTTACAATTTGACGTTAAATTAAAGAGGTAAAAAGAGGTAAAAATATTTAAATACAGCCATGGCAGAGGAACCAAAACCAAGAGAGAACAAGGAGGAGAAAAAGATGGTTTACACGTATCCTTTATGCAGGGTAAGTGAGTCATGTTTTTGTGTTTATTGATTTCCATTTGGGGCTTCTTTATTTGCGTGTTTGAATGTTTTTAGCACTCTGATATGCCTGAAGAGACCAAGTTGGAGGTAATGGAGTACGTTGTAACAGCTTGTGAAAAATTTACTGGAAATAATGAGGTAGAATTTTGATTTTTATGTTATTTTTTTTAAATTAATTTTTAGGCAGCTGCAAAGATGATAAAAGAAGAAATGGATAAAAAATATGGTCCCCCTTTTCATGTTGTCGTGGGAGAAGGGTTTGGTTTTGAGTTATCCTATGAATTAAATAATTTACTGTATATGTTTTTTGGTGGTAATTTGGCTATCTGTATATGGAAATGTTAGGAATTATATAAGTATAGGAAAAAAAAAACAATAATTAACTTATTTATTTATTTATTAAAAAAGTATATTTTTAAGGGAATACAACTTTATAGACTATTTATATATTAGTTTTTGTATTATATTCAGTCATTTTTATAAAATAAATATAACAATACAATAAAAATGAAGTTTTAACAACCATTAAACTATCTTGTTAAAAATCAGTCAAATATGATTAAAGCTAATTTTACGATAAAATACGTGTTTCGTAAACGAATTCAGATGAAAAATTGCACAATATATAAAAACATTAACAATAAAATTTGATAAAAGCAGTAAAATTCAATACATTTAACGGTTAAAATACTTTTAAAACATGGAAAATTGACATGAACTGTCAATTTGTACATAAAAACCTAACCTAACAAAATTTGACGTTTACCCTCGTCAACCTAACAAAATGCTGCGTTGCCAATTAAACTTTTTCTTTCAACGTTGTCAATTTGACGTTTTTTATGCGTTCGTGGAATATTTCGTCACGATTTCCTTAGTGAACTTGGCGAGGTGGAAGGCAACCTCGCGGATCCTGTTGTAGTGCACGTCGAATGCGCTGTTGTCGTTGTTCATTTTCGACAACTGCAGTTCGGCGCATTCCGGTTCGAGTCGGTTAGCCAGCTCGATCATTTTCCTTATTAGGTCGGAATTCTAGGCGAAAATAGATATTTGTGTACCGAGGCCGAAAAGTAACATTTTTTTGGACGAGTCTGATTTTTATTTAGAATGTTGACGGAAAGCGGCCAAAAAAGTGACTTTTTCGGCTGCTTTTGATAATCGTCGATAGATGGCGCTACCATTAAACGGAATGAAAGCGGCAAAACCCCTTGGAATATTCGATTTTAACAGATTTTATTCTATAGGATCTATGGATCAAATTTTGGAAGTAGGAACAAAAAATGATTTTTAAAAATCCAGATATTTCGAAAATAAAAAAAATTATTTTTAAGCAACTCCAATTAATAAAAGTTGGAATAAAATTGGATTTTAAAAAAAATTTAAATTGTGAAATTTTGTAAATTTTCGAATTTTTGAAAATGCAAACTCCAATTATTAAGTTGGAAAAAATTTGGATATTTTAAAAATTTTGTAATTTTGGAATTTAATAAAATATCAGAGATTTTGAAAATTAAAAAAAAATGTAAATTTCGTAAATTTTTTAAATTTTAACTTAAATTATTGAAACTTGGATTGTAAATTTTGTAATTTTTAAAAATTTAGAGATTTTGAAAATTAAAAAAAATGTAAATTTGTGAAATTTTGGAATTTTTGTAAATGCAAACTCCAATTATTAAACATTGGAAAAATTTTGGATATTTAAAAAAATTCAGAGATCTTAAAAAAAAAAATGTAAATTTGTGAAATTTTGTAAACTTTGGAATTTTTGTAAATGCAAACTCCAATTAGTAAAAATTGGAAATTTTTTGTATATTTAAAAAAATGTAATTTTGGAATTTTTAAAAATCCAGAGATTTTGAAAATTAAAAAAAAAAAGTAAATTTGTGAAATTTTATAAAATTGGAACAATTTTGGATATTTTAAAAAATTCAGAGATTTTGAAAATTTTCGTAAATGCAAACTCAAATTAGTAAACATTGAAAAATTTTTGGATATATTAAAAAATGCAATTTTGGAATTTTTAAAAATCCAGAGATTTTGAAAATTTAAAAAAAACGTAAATTTGTGAAATTTTGGAATTTTTAAATGCAAACTCCAATTATTAAAAATTGGAAAAATTTTGGGTACTATTTTAAAAAATGTAATTTTGAAATTTTTTTGAAAATTAAAAAAAAATGTCATTTGTAAAATTTTGTAAATTTTGGAATTTTTGTAAATACAAACTCCAATTATTAAAAATTTGAAAAATTTTGTATATTAAAAAAACTGGAATTTTGCAATTTTTAAAAATCCAGAGATCTTGAAAATTAAAATAAAAATGTAAATATGTGAAATTTTGAAAATTTTGGAATTTTTGTAAATGCAAACTCCACTTATTAAACATTGGAAAAATTTTGGATATTTTAAAAAATGTAATTTTGGATTTTTAAAAATCCAGAGATCTTGAAAATAAAAAAATGTAAATTTGTGAAATTTTGTAAATTTTGGAATTTTTGTAAATGCAAACTCCAATTTAATTTTGGAATTTTTAAAAATCCAGAGATCTTGAAAATTAAAAAAAATGTAAATTTGTGAGTTTGTAAATTTTGGAATTTTTGTAAACGCAAACTCCAATTATTAAAAATTGTAAAAATTTTGGATATTTTAAAAAAAGTTGTAAATTTTGGAATTTTTAAAATCCAGACATTTTGAAAATAAAAAAATGTAAGTTTGTGAAATATCGTAAATTTTCGAATTTTTCAAGAATTATTAAAAGTTGGAAACTGCTTATTATATGGAACCCCACACTAATTTTATTATAAAAATGTTATTGCAAATTTATTACATACCTCAGGTAAATTTGATGACAATTTGACAATTGACAGTTTGACTTCCACGGCCTGCTCGGGGCACTCGCCCCTTTCCGGTTCCTGTATACTTTTGCACAAATTTTGAATACTTCTGGTTATTTGTTCGGTGCATTCCAAAACTTTTTTCCTATCGTCGCAATCGTAAAAGTTGTGCGGGTTTTTCGGTTGATTATTGTTCAGTTTGTTTTGCTGAAAAAACGTCAAGAATGCGCGCCATATAAAAAGTTACGTTGAGGTTAATTAAAACTTACCTGTTTGATATTGTGCCAATTTGAAAGTTTCCCTAGCCCCTCCCTGGGTTCAAACATGCTTGTAGGCCTTTGCACTTTATTAACTTTTTGTCTCAAGTCTGTTTCATCCTTTTGTCTTAAGTCTGTTTCGTCGTTATTATTGTCCAAACAATCGCCGTTGTTGTGGTTGGTGAAATTCTTGTTCTGTAAAGACAGCTGACTTTTCAGTTCGAAATTTTCGTTTTGCAATGTTTTCAGGCACTTCCTCAGCTGGGAAACCTCGCCTTTCAATTCTGTTATCGTGTTGTCGGAAGATCGGAGCTGATCTGTTAGCTCCGCGACTATTTGGCGACGTTTTTTCGCGTTCTCTAGTTCCATGGTGTCCAGTTCTTTGGATTTATCGTGAACCTAAAATAATAGTTTAACCGGAAATCATGTTTGATTTTTTTTATTTACGTCTCCATCCTCCGAACCTGGAACCAGTTCGTAATCGTCATCGGAAGCGACGGAATCGTACACAGGATCCTCATCGGGGACTTGGGAGTACTCCCTTAGATTTGGCATGAAACCTAACAAGACAACACGTATATTTTTCGTTTCGTATATTATTTCTTCTTCCGCTGTTACCTTTCACAGTCCGCAATTGCCTTCTCTGCGTGTCGATGAGGATATCGTAAACCAAGCTTTTGAAATCTGGCGTTGTGAAGCGCGCCAATTTTTGCCTACCCTGGTTTCTCGTCGACGAAAGGGTCGAATCGACGGGCAAAAACGGGATTTCGCTCAATTGCGTGGTGTCTGCGCAACCCAGCCATACTAAATTTCAGTGAAAAAAATTGTTGCTTGGATTTGGTATTTACGTGTTTAAACTACAAGGTGATATGTTATTAATGTAATACCTACATCAAAACACTGAATACCTTTTGACATAAGGTGTAACGGTAAATAATTTAAAAAATATTTTCCCAAAGATAAAGAAAAAATATGCATTAGAAGTTTTTACATTTTTTGCGATACGCCACTGGTTAAACACTTGTGTTCTGTGAGTACATAGATACCAACCAACAAACCAAAAATAAATAAGAACTCAACTTTAAACAGTCAATTTGTGTAAATAAATCATTTAGTACAAAAATGTCATAATAAACAATTAATAAAAACGCCACCTTAACAATTTTTTGCATTGTTGATTTTTTCATTTTTTTAATTAAAATAAATTTAAACAAAAGCTGGCAACTTTTTTTGACAGAATCTGGAAACGCTGGTGTTACCAACCATAACATAATAAATTATATTAGGCAACCAGATTAGCCCAAAGTTCCTAGTCGATCAGTGGCGTACTTTTTGATAGGATAAATGTTATTATAAATTTTAATATATTACATTAATTACATAACACCCTTTACATTTGTAACCGATTTGGTTCACTTACCACTCCTTTTAAAGGCAAAATTGCAACAAAAAATACAACTTTAATAACTGATATTTTATAGGTAGGTATGTAATTTTGAACTTTTAGTTTAAGAGCAATTTGCCCTATAAACAGTTACAAGAAGTTTTGAAAAATGAAGAAATAAACTAAGTTTCACTCTTAACATACACATTTCAATTATGCGTCGTTTTCACAATAAGTTATTATTCTTATTATTATTGTCAATAAACCAAAAAAAATGTAGATAACAGTAGCGAGATGTCGCTGCATAAATCTTCGTACATCGCCTTATGGACATTTTTGGATTAAATAGTAACGTTTTTGGTTTTACAAACATTAAATCAAACATTATTTTCAGCTAAGCAGATCAAACATTTTTGAAATTTTAAAAAGTAAGGGGGAAATAAAAACAACAAATAAAAATGACTTGCTGTTAGGTTCGACCTTTTTGTGAAAAATCTAGTAGTTAATTTTCCTGTCTTTGAAAATAGCATCAATCTGGTTTGAAAAAGATAAGCAGAAATCATGAAACTTTTTCTTCTTTCAATTTGCAAGTTACTGAATCAGTAATACTGATCATTAATAGTCCTGGACAATATATACGTTATAATGTAAACCAAGCTGTATAATTAATAATGTCAACGTGAAAAACTACTTACTGGCCTCAGTTTCTCTTCTATCTACTTCATCATAAACGTCCATAACCAGTTCTTCAAAAACGTTGTTTGAAAGCTAAAATTATCACAGGTTTAAACATTTCGTCAAAATATATTCCGTGAATATTTCATACTTTCTGCAACTTAGCCAACGAGGTGGGGTTGGACTTGAAGCCTATGGGCGGGATCAAGAAGTGTATCCCCGCCCCGTGGTCCGGTTTCTTCATGCACAGATAGTTGCTGAACGTGTCGGTGACGTCGTACTGCGCCTCCTGCAACCGCTTCGCCAAATCCTTCCAAGCCAGCTCCTTGGCCAGATCGAAGGGGGCGCTCCTGCGCGCGTCCGGGTAGCTGGGGTCGGCCCCGAACGCCAGCAACAGCTCGATCTGGAAGCGCTGCTGGTTTTTCACCGCCACGTGCAGAGGAGTGTTGCCCTTTTCGTCGTGAAAGTAGTTCGGATCTGCGCCGGAGGCCAACAGGCGAAAAGAGGCCTCCAAATTCGACGTGCGCACGCTGGCGTGCAACTGTTTTCCCAACTCGTTCTCCGCGCTCCCCGTCTCGTAGTTATCGCGAAACGCGTAAGCCAGTTGCTCGTGTTTGGCCTTTATGAACTCTTGTTTGACGTTCAAAGGGTCTTTGGCGGTTGGTTTGCGTTTTAATAATTTTGACCCGTTTTCCAACAAACTGTGCTCCCAAATGTTGTTCGCCCCGTTGTTATTTAACGCTTGTAACATCTGCGAACAATACCAATAATATTTATTTATCCATTAAGACCATGTCTATTTTTTGTATTTCTTTATTTGACATGTCCAATTTATGTATTTTCGAATATATTGGACATGTCAAATAAAAAAATACAAAAAATAGACATTAAATCTTAAAAAAAAACAAAATAATATTAAAATAATTAATACCTATACATGGTGTCTCAAAAGTTAAGGACAGCAGAAAAGGATTAAAGACTATTATAGTCTTTGCCGTATTATATTGTGAAATTACTTTAATTTTATTTTTTCAATGTCACTGATATACAGTGTGACCCATTTGTTTGCAAATCACCTTCGTAAAATCTTTATTTATTGTGCGATTTTAACCGGATTTGATTTATAGTGTAGATCTTGGTAAACTGTATTTTTGAAGTAAAAAACGCCATATTTTTACAAAATATATTTGTATACAAGTCCTACTATGTTAGTTTTTAAGAGTAAATTTTTATAAATTCATATTAGCGATTTTTTTAAACAAAATTTAAGCACGGCACTGGATTCACCACCCCTCAAAACGACCCTAAATTAAATTATATTGAAAAAATTTAACTAGAAAAATGCACAATAATAACTACAAAATTTTATTCTGTCAAGTTATCCATGAAAAAAACATTGAAATAAAATTAAACTTATAATAATAGTACCATGTTAATATTAGTTTAATTTTATTTCAATGTTTTTTCATGGATAACTTGACAAAATAAATTTTTGTAGTTATTTTTGTGCACTTTTTTTCTTAAAATTTTTCAATAAAATTTAGTATAGGGTCGTTTTGAGGGGTGGTGAATCGAGTGCGGTGCTTAGATTTTGTTTAAAAAAATCGCTATTATGAATTCTTAAAAATTTACTCTTAATAACTGACATACCAGGTCTTGTATTTTGTACTAATATGGCGTCTTTTGCTCCAAAAATACAGTTTATCAAGATCTACACTTTAAAACAAATCCGGTTAAAATCGCACAATAAATAAAGATTTTACAGGGGTGAGTCACAAACAAATGGGTCACGCTGTACTTTAAGCCTGAATTATAGATTGCCTTCCTTCCTTCCTTCCTTCCTTCCTCCCGTAGAAGATGAAAATTAGGAAACCCAATAAACCTTTTTGACGCAATTCTTAACATTTCCCGTGTAAGAATTTTTAATAATTTGTGATAATATTTTGCAAATATAGTAATATAAAAAATTATAGGATAAAATATTTTCTTAACAAAATCATATTTTGAAGTTATTTTAATATTTTAAAGTATCAATAATTGTTAAGTTTAATTAAAATTAATAACGGGCAATGTTAATGGTGACAATTACATCAAAAATGTTTATTTAAATCGTATTGCCATTTATAGATTCCCGTACCGTAAGGACGGCATTCCTTCCTCCCGTAGAATTTTTTAAGTTTTATCTTTCACCGTAAAGGTCTTTGACATGACCAATCACAGTGCTTGTTATGGACATGCGCTGTAGGGTGACAGCGCGTAGGCACAAAATATTTAAAATACATGATTGTTTAGTATTATTTAAGGTGTTCAGTTAATTAAATAATTTGTGCCTCTAAATAGAATATTTAGATATTGTTTATGATCAATGTCTTTCATATTTAGAAACGTTGCTTTGTAAAACCCCGTAGTTTCCCGGTCTTGGTAAAGTGGGCGAGTCTTCCAACGTCTTGTTCGATGTTTTTTTTTCATTATATTGCCCTACTATGGAGAAAGGCAGTAACTAAAAAAAAATTCTAAATGCGTTTTCTTGTGCTATGATAAAGGTATGGACATTTTGTATCTTAATTCAACAAAGAAATGCTTATAAGTTAAATAAATTAGTTAAATACCTACTGATTTTTATAAAAATGTAGTTTATGCTAATTTCCCACAAATTTCTTGTTTAGCAGTTAATGCCTTTCTCCATAGTTGGGCAGTATACAACAAGCTGCCAGGGCAATTAAAATTTTGATCACTGCACTAATATATAAATCGCACATGGGCGACAACAGTGTCATAAGTAGTAAAACCATAATTCCGAGATTAGTTAACGTAAAAGATTTTTGATTTTGAGAATTTTATTATTCAAAAATCTTTTACGTTAACTTATCTCGGAATTATGGTTTTACTACTTATGACACTGTTGTCGCCCATGTGCGAAATGTTTATCTTTCATATTTACACACAATGGGTAAAACGCAGAATATCAACAAAAACAAATGTCAACCATTTTAGGTGTCATCGCGCATGGAATTTTACACGGAAATCTATAAATTGACTTTTTACAAGACGCACAAATCGTACGGGCACGACTACGGGAGGAAGGAAGGAAGGCAATCTATAATTCAGGCTTTATAGTTCCCCCACCTCTAATCATTCTGCTAAAACACGCCTATGATTGGCTACTTTATTTTATTAATAACCAATTAATGGTGCGTCTGATCGAAAAACGGCAAAGACTATTCGACTGGTTGACAGTTTGTGTCAAAAATCATCATATTTTATTATTAACAAAATATAACTTTTCATTTTTGAAATCTGCGCCATTTTCGGTACACCCTGTATAAACTTATTTATTTATAAACTCATATAAAATTTTAACTTACGGCAGTCAACTTTAAATATCTATAACTGTCTTGAGAATGTCAACTTAAGCTAGATAGGTAGGTATAACTGTTTTAAGAATATGAACTAGACAAAACTGTCTCAAGTATTACAACATAAGCTAAAGTAGTTAAGTACTGTCTTGAAAATCTAGTTTTAAATTATAGGACATAGGTAAGTAATTTTAAGATAATCACACAAGTCATACATGACCTACGTGACATAAGTTTCCAAAAATGTTGTCAGTTTTGCCAACATTGTTGGATATGGATTTTACTAAATAACACAAATAAATGCTGTAAGTACCTGTAGTTGATATCCGGGCCAGTGGCTCTTAACTAGATGCTTAACCTGGGAAATTTGCCTGCCCAGACTGCGGTGCACGCTGCAACACTCGGTACACAACAAAATCCCTTTATTTATCGACGCCCACGACGCATCTAATCAAATTTAATCGTTTAATAAATTAAAAAAACAACCAATTATTTATTATGACTCACCTAGGGCTCCGCAATCGCCACACATGTCCACGTTGTTACGTGATTTTGCCCGAGGCATGCTGAATAACGAATTGCAACTTTAAAAACCCGGTTAAAATAGATTTAAACTAAAAATAATTAAGGGAAAACTAAACGTCTCGCTGTGTTTACTTGCAGCTGTCACTTTTGACGTTTGCATTTGTTATCCAGGTGCGCAAACCTTAAACAAACAAAACATAAAACAGGTTTTTCGCGTTTTATTTTAAAGCAAGGCTTGTAAATTAATGTGTTTTTAAATTTAATGCATTTAAAGTGCTTGTATTTTGTTTCTGTCACCTGTATTATGATAAATTTAAAGGTTTTATTTAATTTATTGCCAAGTGTTGCCAACTTTTAAGAATAAAATAAAATTTTCGATTACTTAACAACAAATCAAAATTCAGTCATTCAAAAGGCAAAATTGACGCGTGGTTAACAAAATCCATTAATTCTACATGTAAATACAATAAAACCAGGCGCATATCACCAATATCATTAAAATTATGTTGTGAATCAAGATATTATCGAAAAAATGGATTATTTAGCTGAAGGTATAGCTTTGGGGGTAGACTCCCTGATATTAGCAGCATGTATAAAGCAATACTACAAGCACAAAAATGCAATGTCGATGATACAGGGTGCTCCTTTCTTGGAGATCAACAAGGACCTCAAAGAAATTGTTCGCACTCACCCAGAATCAAAGTTGTCCTATGTTTCTATAAGGGGTACAGTGAAGCCCCTGGGGAATCCCATAGTTAGCAATAACAATCCCAATGTTACCGGTGTGGTGCAGCTGCTGAGAATCAAGGAGCATGTTATACAAAGGAGCACGACAGGGTTTTGGGCTGACTCGGAAAGGACAATACAAGAGGTTCACAATTTTATGCCTTTTGCCCTTCAAAGTGGCGGAATGCAAGTGGAAATCATCGACCCCTTGGCTGCGGATGTTTTGGGTAAGAGTTGTTGGTTTTTTGTTTCAATAAAATTTAAATTAAATTATGATTTTCCTAACATATAATAAAATGTGAAAAACAATATATAATTAGTTAATTATCATTAGATAACATTAGATAAACATTACAAAAAATAATTTAAAAAAATATTTTTTTTAACACCATTTTAATTTGGTTCAATTAGAACAAATAGGAAATTATAGCATACTAACAAATTTTCTCATCTTTCTTTAAATATACTAATCTCCATAAAAAAAAAAGAAAAAAAGCTAATCCATTTGGCAACACTGGTGACAAACTATGTAAATCAAGCTTTAGCCCTGATTGAACCACTCAGAAAATCTGGGGCCTTCAAAATAAATACCCGAATTCCTGTATTGCCTTTAGGTAATTTTACAAATTTTTTGTGCTTTTTGAGTTTTAAAAATATGTTATTTAGGTATTTAGATGTTTTTGGATTATTTATTTATTAAAAGTATTAAAAACAAATATCTAAATACCAAAAAAGGTAAAAGTGGTAGTAAAATGCACAAAATAAATTTGTCAACTGTTAGATGTGGGTTATTTTATGAGACATAATTATGCTTAGCTGAGTTTTTTTCAATTAAATAATTAATAACTTGAAAACTACAATAAAAAAGTAATTTTAATACTTCCATATTCTGCCCTACTATGGAGAAAGGCTTTAACTGCAAAAAAATGCAAAATGCAATGCAAAATGCTATGGTAAAGCTATGGACATTTTGTAACCGAATTTAACACAGAAATGCAGTCAAATATCTCATAAGTTAAAAAAATCAATTATTTACTGCTTTTTATAAAAATGTAGTTTATGCTAATTTTCCACAAATTTCTTGTTTAGCAGTTACTGCCTTTCTCCATAGTAGGACAGTATTGCTCCGATATTAAAATACTGAATATCAAAATTTTGACATAATAGGTGTAACAGAAAAATATTTAAAAAAATATTTTCCCAAAGATAAAGAAAAAATATGCATTAGAAGTTTTATATATTTTTTGTGATAAATAAATAAGAACTCTATAAATACAAAAGTTTTACGACCTTAAAGCTCTAATCCCCTTCTGTATTTACACATCAAAGAAGTTCTTTGCATGATTAGAAACTTTAGTACCTATTTTAAAAACTCCATAACCACAAAATTAATTTTTTCATCGTTTTTTTTCTTTCTGTTGACTCAGATGAAATTAGGACAAGTTCACAAATTAAACTTTAAACATTCAATTTGTGTAAATAAATCCAAAAGCACTTCCCTTGGTTAAGATATTTACAATTTGAGCACATAACCTAAAATTTGAAAGAAATGCACTAGATTCTGTCATAGAAGTTTGTATTTACCTTCAGTACAAAAATGATATAATGAATAATTATAAAAAACGCCAAATTTACAATTTGTTTATTGATTTTGCCATTTTTGTAATTTAGCTGAATTAAACAAAATCTTGTAACTTTTTGACAGAATCTGGAAACGCTGGTGTTACCAACCATAACATAATAAATTAAATTAGGCAACCAGATTAGCCTAAAGTTCCTAGTCGATCAGTGGCGTACTTTTTGGTAGGATAAAGGTTATTATAAATTTTTTTAGTCTAGAATTTTGAAAATATAACTTTAAAATGTTAATTAAAGGTATACCCTAAACCTGCAATTCAGTTCTGACAATAATGCTAATAATAATGCAGAACTGTTTTTGCTGCAGACATGGACGTAATATCGGACGAGTTTAAACCCACGGTGCCTAGCGTAATGGACCACATTTGGGGATTTTTTGCGGGGGTGAGACAACGGGGCGTACAATCGACAGAAAAAATGCTGCGAAAGGGGGCAATGATAACGGGTATCGGGGAAATAGTGCACACTAGCGACGGAAACCTCCGATTACAGCCCCCCTCAAACGGGGCCCCCTTCTACTTGACCAACATGCAAGTGACGTCGCTGGTGAAAAAGATCGACGGCTCTAAAAGGAACTACAGGTAGGTGGGGCCCAATCCATGCAATATAGTTAAAAAAAAAATGGGGTAGTTAAATTTTTTCTGACCTATACTTTTTATGGTTTTATTTAAGGCGTTTTGTAATATTAAACATTTCTGTGAAATCAGAATTTCAATTGGATTTACCGTTTTCGAGATATTTACAAAAAATATAAATTTTTATGACGTCACAAACCTCGCCATGTGACTAAGATTTCTATTGGTTGAAAATTACCCTGTTGTCAAGTTGTCTTGTTAATGATTTCATTCGGTTATGTCAGAAAATACCCGAAGAGGTTATGTACAAATACTGTCACTGTCAGTTGAGTGAAAGATGGTCACCAAATTCATTAAGTACCTATCTTCCTTATTACGAGGTATCATATTACTGTTTGATATTTTAGAGTCCAAGATATATCTAAAAGAATATAAAGAACTAGGCATTATACTAATGAAATGCATTTACGACAAAATATGATTATAATTATAGGTACTTACTTTATTTGTTTAAAAGCTCCAATGTTCAATGTAACCAACCATTCCACAAGATTCCTCTGCTTTGGAGTCCGTTATTAATAAATCACTTATCTAATATTATCAATTACAAATAACATAACAATAACATTGATTTTCAATAATCTAAATTAAAAAAAAACATAACCCCAAAAAAAAACGTCAAAAAATCAATTCTTCTTTTTCTCAACTAAAATTATAGATCAAGTGGTTTTAAAACTAAAATATTATAACGTGGCGCCATCTATCGTAAGAATCTTAAACTAAACACACTGGCAACCATAGAAAAAGCTGGCAACGTTGTCAATAGCCGAGTGACGTAATTAGGAGATTTTTTTTACTAAATATCTCGAAAACGGTAAACTCAATTAAAATTCCGATTTCACAGAAATGTTTAAAATTACAAAACGCCTTGAATAAAACCATAAAAAGTATAGGTCAGAAAAAATTTAACTAGGTACCCCATTCTTTTAAAAATAAAATCGGTTGAAATATGTTTTATGTGTTCAGGTTGTTGTGTATATTTTTCGGCGGGTTGGGTGTGGTGATTGTGGGGCTGTTGGTAAGAAAGTATTGGAAGTATAAGTTAAAATTAATTGAGGACGCAAAACGAAAGGAGAAAATTGAGGAGTCAAGGAGACTGAGGAGGAGGCAAATGAGGGACAACAATTTACCGGAAAGTCAGTTGTGTGTTGTTTGCAAAAGTAATCCCATTGAGGTAAGAGATTTAGGATGTATAAAAAAAAACAATTCGCACCCTAAATTTATTATATTTGGGTGAATCTCGCGAAATGTCCCCCGATGGTGTTACCCCGTGATATTTAATAAAACTAAATGAGTTTAACCTACACTTTTATTGTGTTTTGATCTTTCATAATTAATTAATTATTTTTTACAATGTTTTAAAAGTCTAAAACCTATCCTCCGTGACTGATACTCTTTCTAGGTTAACCTTTGTTTTCAAATATCTGAGGTAGTAAAAGCATACTAAAAATATCAGTTCACTAAGTAAATTAAACACATCCAAAGCAATCGAATCAAATATAAAATATTATTAAAAATTAAAAGAAATAATTTTTATAACCATTTATGTAGGTGTTACAAAAATTGATTCTATCCTCCGTGAATCTTTTTTTGCTTTAAATTTTATGCAACGGATGGCGCTTTAATCATTTTAAATAAGCAAAAACCTCTGTTTACGACATTATAGATGCATGTGATTCCTAAAGGTCAGTTAGAATTTATATGCAGATGAGAGTGTTGCTGTTTTATAATTCAAAAGTTTAAGTTCATTAATTTGCTATTTAAAAACATATCCACCGTGAAGTGTAATATCTCAGTAAAGAGATTTTTTTTATAAATATTTTATGTATGTACAATTGTATTTTTAATAAATATTAAGGTGTCAAAAGATACAATAACTTATTTCAAATATACAAAGGGATGTTAAAAAAAAACATACGAAATCCTAACCTCCGTGAAGCTCAAATATTCAAAATGTATAATTTCTTAAAATTCTTGCATTAGTGCAGAACCACTTATGATATGTTATTACTAGACCTGGTGGCTTCCCAAAAACCCCATTCTAGACTAACAGTGAAACAACCAAAAATAAAAAATAATCATTTTCACTTGGGGGACATCTCGATATATTCACCCATAAATATTAAAATTAATTTTGGGATTTTTTATCAAAAAAAAAAAATCTTTTTCAGATAATTCTTTTGCCCTGTGGACATGTGTGTTTGTGTGAGGACTGCCAGGCAGACATAAACGACAACTGTCCAGTATGTAGAGCACCAATCGATAAAAAATCGGTAGCATTTATAACGTGATAAATAATTTAACCCGCATAAATTAATTTAAAACGAAAACAAGTGGTGTTAATTGTGTATATATTTTATTTAATTAAATTAACTGAAGATAGTTTATCAGTGCATTTTTCCACACCTTCAATGTCCTTTTTGCAGTTGTTAGTCCTGCAACAACTTGTTGAATCACAATTTTTTTTTTCGTTTTCTTCCAGAATTCGTTTTACTTTGCTAGATTTTCCTATTCCTAACCTTGGTAGTCCTTTGTTGAGGCCTTCAAGAAGAACACAGGCCTTACAAACAGTTTGCGAGGAAACATAATTGCATCTCGAACATTTTGTCAGTGTTGGCATATTTGCTGTTTCATTTACCTTTAGAGATTCTCCTAAAATAATCATTTCTTCAATTTTCGATTTTACTCTCTATAGAAACAGATCTCCATAGAAAGTTTGCTTTCTTTAGAGATCAAAGTAAAGTCGCAAATTTGATTATTTTAAATTGAAAAAAACTTCAAAAAATTGTCCAAATTGTAAGTATTTTTTACCTGATTGTATAATATTCATTATAACTGAAGGATCAATTTTTTCTAAATCCTTCAGTAAAACTCTTGCATGCCCTCTATAGGCGTTTGGCGCAAATACACATTCTGTAGAAAAATAAATTAACTTTCTGAAATATGCATACATAACAATCTCTTTTTCGTATGTATACTTTAAAGGCTTGACTCTGGGAATCCCATCACCACTGTCCTAGAGAAATAAATAAAAAAATCACACAAAATAAAATGAAATTTATATCACAGTCTTTTTTCTTTATTTACAGCACAATCCACACAACAAGGTCTGTTCTATTTCGTACTAAAAATACAAAAAATCACTGCAACACTGCACAGTTTAACGGCGGCCATTTTTGTTGTTTACAATTTTTGTGCTTTGGGTTTGTGCTCTGTTTATACAGATTAATAATCGTTTTAAACGTTGTTTCTCATAGTAAGCCTTAAAAGAGTCCTTAAAGTGCTAAGAACAACCATTTTACTCCTCTATTGTAAAAAATAAACTTTATTCTATCAGGGCTGTCATAAAACTGTCAAATGTCAATTTTAAGGTTAAATTATAACCCACAAATTAACCTTCAAATTGTCATTTGACAGCCCTGATAGAATAGGTAGGTATATTTATTATAAAAGGAGTAAAATGGCTGTCCTTAGCACTTAAAGGCCTTATTTGAGGCTTACAAGTGCCTCTGTAAGAAACACAACGTTTAAAACAATTATTAAACAGCACAAACCCAAAGCACAAGAATTGTAAACAACAAAAATGGCCGCCGTTAAACTCTGTGCAGTGTTGCAGTGATTTTTAGTATTAGATTGTGTTTTACAGTATCTTTGGAAATAAAATATTTTTTAATTCACTATATTTACTTACTGTTATTATAGATGTACACCTATTTAACCTAGCCAAATCACCCCTTAATATATTCATTAAAACAGTTTCTGCTATATCATCAGCATTGTGCCCTGTTGCCAGGTAATCCACCTTTAATAAATTTGCCCCCCTATCCAAAGCTTGCCTCCTAAAAACGCCGCAAAACGTGCAATTGTTTTTTCTACCAATCTACAATAATACAAATAATTAAAAAAATATATAACCAACCAAAAAATCATAACTTACTTCTGCCACAATTTCATCCATGGTCCACCCATACAAATCCTTATATGACATAATTTTCAAAGGCATCTCATAATCATCCCTATTCTTCTTCACAGTATCCAAACTGTCATCCCTATACCCTGTAATACCCTCATCTATGGACAATAAAACCAACTTTAAATTGTACTTGAACTTCTCGTTTAAAAGCTTTAAAACGTACGCTAAAACAGTCGAATCTTTACCCCCCGATGCTGCAATCGCCACCGTTTTCCCCGGCTCAAATAATCTAGCTTTAGTTATAGTAAAATGCACTTCATTTTCAAACGCTTCAAAAAAACATTCCTTGCACAAAGCATCGCCGGTTTTGGGTCGCTACAACATAAATAAAACATAAAAATACCACTTTAACTTAAAATTAACGTTGCCATACTTTTAATATAGCGTTTGAGCCACAATTCGCCGAACATAAGGGCATATTTACAAATTCACGTGCGTTTGACAGCTACATTGACGTATGCATAACCTCAACACCAATGTTGCCAACACCATAGATATAAGTCGTATTTCTGAACGCACTTGACTGGGTCGGTAAAGTAGACGCCTGTGCATTGTTTATAATTGGTTTTCGCCATATTGTCATTTAAACTTTTGTTGTTGACAGTGCGAGTGTTTGTGCCGGTTCTTTTTGGGATTTAACAGTTAAAAAAGGTAAGTTTTGTTTGCTTTTAAGATTTAAAGCGCGCGCTGAGTGTTAATTAGTGTTTATTCGGTTGGAAAACGGGCGGGAATTGGTTTAGAATACCTTTGGCGTGATCGGTATTTTTTAAGAAGAGAAAACGGGTTTTATTTTATTTTCCGAAGAGATTTTCTATGAACTTAACGTTGTTTGGAATGTAAAGTAGGTAAATAGGTGATTGTGGTTGTTTACGGCGTTTTCCCAGCGAAAATTTGCGTTGAATGTTGTGTTTTTTTACCGCGTATTCAGCTTGCATGTAAATACTTAATACAAAGACATTTTATACTGTGTTTCATGCATGAGGGCATTTTAAAATTACTCAGATGACACTCCTTTAAAAGTACGTAATTATAGTACGACTACAGTGAGTAAGTCGATAATTTGAATAAATTTGATAACAAAGTGATAACCGTTTTGCGTAATACAGAAGTATTTGTTAAATGTACACACGTTTATATACTAATCAAATTACTCTAAATCTTATTACCTGCACTAATTACATCACAAACGGCGGTTATTTTCGAGGCGGAATTTATTTTAAAATATTTTCGGCAGACTAAAAATAATCCAAAGAGATTCTTAACGCAAAGCGGCCGTTTTAAAGATGCCCCGCAATTAAAATGTGTTTATCTTAAGGGGCAGACATAGGCACTTAAGTCAATAACCTTAGCGTGAAGGAATTTCTGTTTTAATCGCGGATTTACATTTACGATTAATTAGTCGTTATTAAGTAATGGGTTAGGTCTTTTGTTTGAAAACAATGGCCCATCTAAAAGTACAGGGTGTTTTATATAACTTAATAGGTATAAAAAACTATTATTATATATTTTGCGTTTATAATGACTTCATTATAACATCGCTTTCGGTGTTGTAATGAGATACTTTATCACACCCAAAATTTTGATTTTATAGGTTGGCTATACTTTAAACAGCATAATATTTTGCATATTGGTTATAATATTTTTATGATTTTTCTAGTACTTTTCTGGCAATAAATAAACACCAAAGAAAATCCTTTTTTTCTTCTTTAACATTAACAGCCGCTTATTGTAAATAAGTAAATTAAAGACGGCATGGCGAATCGATTTTGACATTAACTGTCAAACCAATGTTTGTGATACCAACTATCTAAAGTAAAATTCGACCAAATTAAATTTAAGGTATAAAATTAATTTTTTTTATAGAATTTTTGCAAAATAGATAAAATAGCATAAAGAACAAAACAAAATCCTTCTTCGCTCGTTTTATAAATTGTCTGCGTGCGACAAACTGACGTCTTATGAAATTAGTTGTTCTTTAATATACCATTTTTAAACTTGAGCTTTACTGTTTTTCGTTTTCAAGTTACAGGGAGTTAATAAAAGTAAACTGCAGGTATAATTTGTAAAACTAAAAAATCTAAAATCTTAGCAATTGTATTCTTTGGTAACAGGGTTCAAAAAATCATGATTTAAAAAAAAAATCAAAAATTAATGCTTTTTATTAAAAAAATAAAAAAACAACAAAAAAAGATTTTTTTGATTTTTTCTAATTTTTATTACGATTTTTTATAAAGTGTACGTTTAAAAAAAATACTAAAAATAAGTTAAATATAATGATATTATATTGGCACTACTTTATAAAGAAATAAACCACCGTCCATATTTTTTTTTTATATTCCTTTATTATTTATATTTTTATTATTTTATTTAAAAAAAGTTTTTCTATGAATATGAATTCATCAAGATAGTATTATGCTTAAGTTTTAGATCTTTTAATTGCTTTTTTTATTTTAGAAACTTTTTTAAAAACTGATTTAAAGGTTTTATACCTACAAAAAACATTTTTTGTTTATTTTTTAAAATTTGCTTATTATTTTAAACGAGAATTTCCTTTATCCAGTAATTAAATAAAGGTAACATAATTGAGACTGCCATAATCCAGTCTAGAAAATCGCATTAAAAACGCATTACCAAATAAAACAATATTAAATTTCGTTTATTTTTCTTAAATTATTCGAAAGTTATTATAAAAATTAAAACCCCTGTAAAAACTATACTATAACAAGAATGTCAAATAAAGCTAGATATATTATCATTTCTATTTAAGATCTTAAAAGCTTTATCAATTTTTTAACCCTAACCATATTTCCGGGTAGGTACTAACTTACTTATTTTTATCGGTCAGTATTTCCTGTGATACCGGTTTCTGTACGTCTGTAATGAATACAATAAATATCGAAGATATTTTTAATACCTTCAGGTAAACGAGTCAAAATTAAATGCAGGTATTTTCATGAGGTAGAAAAATTGTTAGATTATTAATATAAAATTGCAGTTAATAAAGTCATTAGTTAAATTGATGCTACTACAAGCATTTAAAATCGTTTAAGCGTCAGTGTAGTACATCAAATGTTTTTGTTAGAACATGTGTTCGTCGTATATCCGCTGAAAAGTTTTGTTCTGTGAGACAACAAAAGTTATCTGATTATTATTTTTTTTTTGAAGAAATTATCAGTGCTATTCGTTGTTTATTATCCTATTTATAGGTTTATAAGTTTTGAATATTGGATCATTTTTTCATCAGTTTGTTCTATTATAACGTAAGTTATTGATTTTAATTTTTTTTAGAGAAAATATTACAATATGATTTGGCTTAATAGTTGGTAATTTAATATATCCAACCTTGAATATAATCTTATAAACAAGATATCAATTTTAAACGTAGTTATGTATATTTAAAATAAATATTTCAACTTGTCTGGGAAGAAATTCTTACTTAAGTTATTGGTATAGATAGAGATGCGACTTGAAAAAACACGGTCCGTTTTTTTGTTTTTTTTTTCAGGTTTTTTTCATTGTTTTTTTTTCAAATGGTTTTTTTTTCACATTTTTGTTTTTTTTTCAAGATTAGTCCAATTTCCCTAATTTTTTATGTTTCCATGGACTAAAATTAGCCAATAAATGACAATTATTAAATGTAAATACAGTCTCGCGTTATGCACTCGCCACAACCACCGATTTGACCAATAAGGGCCGCGCTTGTTTTGATTTGGTCCTAAAAAAAGTAACTACATATAATATTTTTGATTCAGCGTTTGATTTTTTAAAAAGCTACCAAAAGCACTTTTTTCATGATTTTTCAAATTTATGTAAAGTATGGAATTTTTTTTTTCAAAAAACAATAGCAAATTCTTATAGAACATTTCTTTATTGGTGATCAGAACATTCCGTGGGCCATAAAAGAAATAAAAAAAATCGATTTTTTTTTATTACGGTATTTGTTAGAATTGAGCGTTGCACGTTTTTCATCTAAGCTTCAAATTGCTTTTTTTACGGCTCCAATACGACCATTTTTAACAAATATACAGCTATCCGAAAAATCGCAAAAAAAATGTATCCTTTAATTTTTTGTATTAGTGTAGAAGTTTTACATTGTCATTGGTTTTTAATGTGGAAACTACCAAATAATAAGAAATCAGAATATTTAGTCTTGGTCAAAATTTTCAATAATGAAAAATGTAATATACCTATTCTACATTTTACTCAAAATTTCATTTTGAAAAAAAACCCTTTTTTTTCTAGATTTTTTTTCATGTTTTTTTTCACATCTGAAAAAAAAACCGTTTTTTACATCTCTAGGTAAAGATAAGTTGAGAGGTTTTCGTGCACTTCTACAGCTCCGGGCTCCATATCCTTGTATTTTTTTTATCTAATACCGCACAATTTTCATATGAATAAAACATTATTGTTGTAACGATTGATTATGTACATAAATTCCTTACATTCTTCAACAACAATTACTTACAATTTATTTGTTTACGCAGCGATAAACAAATAAAAACGCAAATGGAGGTGGAGATTAAGACTCCTCCAAAGGAGAACGGAAAACCGAAGACGGACGAGCTGTCGCCGAAATTGGTCGAAGTTTCCGAAACCAACGGAAAATCGAACGAAGAATTGAAGCCGGCAAAACAGGAAGAAACAAAAACAAAGTCGCCGGAGCCGGTGAGAAGGTCGCGTCGCTCGCGATCCAAGACGCCTACCACGCAAAAAAAGAACAAACAGAAGAAGGTAGGTTTAAGTTTAAACAAAATTGCAACAAAAATCATGACGGTAGTTTTTGAGTTAGTTATTTTTTTTTATTTGGACTCTTGTTTTTTTATTAAGTTGGTAGCTTATGCCAGTTTGATTTAGTATTTTTAGTACTTAAAAAATGGTACTTAATAGTAATTTCAATTTTTTTTATATAAATTCTTTTCAAAGCGATGATTATTATCCGCTAGGAATACTTTGTCTGTCCTGGGCTGAGTCACCTATATTTAGCTACTTTTTTATATGATTTTACTCATCTACGCACCACCAAAGCCAAATTAATTGCATTTTTAACTACGAATTTTAACAACTCAACTTGACAACCGTTCAATGTAACCTACAATAATTTAAACATAACCAAAATTTCATTTATAGTTTGTTTTAACCAATATAACCAATTTTGGTTCCGTATGAGTACATTAGATGCAAAACTCGGGTTTTGCAATTTTTTTAAAAATATATATTTTATCCTATTTATGTACTATGCTCCACATCTCAAAGTTCCACCACGTGACCACGTACGGAACGCAGTCTTTTGAAAATTTGGCATTTAAGGTTTTTCAGGTTATGTATCTGTCAAAGTATAGTCAATGAAAGAAATAATATTTATAGTGTTACCGCTTATGTTTATGCGTTAAAAAATAATAAATCTTTATAGTATCACAATAACAATGGTTGGTTTAAGAATTTAGGAATATAAATACTGCATTTAACGAAATTCTAAAGTGTAAGGTACAATATAAGTGATATTTTTGTGCATTGGGTCTACATTTCCCCATAAAATAGTTTTAACTTTAGCATTTATTAAAAAAAATCTAACTTCTTCATTATGAAATAAGAATATCTGTATCAAAGGTAGGTTAATGTATTTGAACAAAAAATATCATCTAATTTTGTATTTCAAGGTTAGAAAAATCTATTTTGACCAAAATAAACAGCATTTATTAAAAAAAATCTAACTCCTTCATTATGAAATAAGAATATCTGTATCAAAGGTAGGTTAATGTATTAGAACAAAAAATATCACTTAATTTTGTATTTTAAGGTTAGAAAAATTATTTTGACCAAAATAAATAAGTGGATTATTTGGAGGAGTGTGTTAATATGGTCATAAATAAATATAGGCATACTAAATAATTGTTGAATATGGTTCAAATTAAATTGAAGCTTTTATACTTCTAACGACAAAACTTGTGCATACCTCTCGGCATACTTACTTTAAGTTAGATTATAAGAAAACAAACAATTTTTAGAGAAACTTGCAATGTGAAAATATTTAATACTCCCATGACATGTGATTTATTAAAAATTTTAAAGTTATAATGATTTTTCGATGTAAATCAAGTTCAGTTGAAGCTTTTTAACTATTTGTATTGACAAAACTTTATGTAGGTACACTTTAAGCTGGATAAGAAAAACTACCACATTTTTAAATACCATATTATACAGTCTTTTAAATAATCCGAAATACTTATTTATTTTGGTCAAAATAAATTTTTCTAACCTTAAAATTACAAAATTAGATGATATTTTTGTTATAATATATTAACCTACCTTTAAAACAGATATTCTTATTTCATAATAGAGAAGCTAGATTTTTTTAATAAATGCTTTTTAGTTAAAATTATTTTATGGAGAAAACCAGATATTTGGAACAAATGCACAAAAATATTACTTATTTGGCACCATACACTTTAGAATTTCATTAAATGTGGTATTTATATTCTTAAATTCTTAAACCATCCATTGTTATTGTAATGTTATAAAGATTTATACATTTTTAACGCCTACACATAATATTATTTCTTTCGTTGACTATACTTTGACAGATACATAACCTGAAAAGCCTTAAATGCCAAATTTTCAAAAGACTGCGTTCCATACGTGGTCACGTGGTGGGACTTTGAGGTGTGGAGCATAGTACATTACTGCACTGCCTACAGCATAACTAAGTAAACCAGATGCAAAACTGATTAATTGTTATTATTTGGTATTTGCACTTTTCACTTGCAAAACTTGGTCTTCGAACGAGGAAGATGCAAAACTTTGTTTTTAAATCTTTTGATTTCAATTATTTACTAAACTACCTAATTTTAAAGGATTTTTTTTTACTTTTTTGAATAAAAATGATGCTAAAGCACGTCTATTAAATTATTGCTATTTTTTTTAAATGATCTTATGAGCGGTTTTTCTTATAATCACTTATCCTGCAAACATTTGCCTTTAATAACGCGTTTTTTTTAAACAACCTTTTAAAAATGCGTTGTTTTAAATCTAAAAATTACCTAGGCGCCGAAAGAGAAGGAACCGGAAGTGATCGAGGAAAATCACGAGAGGGGGGATGAGGTTGCGGCGCCGGAAGTCGTCGAGTCGGTCAAGGAGAGCATCAACGGAAACAACGAGGAGCAGCTGAAGGAAGCGGAAGCGGAAGCGACGAATTCCGCTCCCGCCGCCGCCGCACCGGAAGCGGTTGACATGGAGCCGTTGGTCTTGAACGCGGACGAGCCGGATCCGGAGCTGGAGTTCGACGAGAACTCCGACAAGGAGTCGGGGAAAAGTTCGCCGATCATTTCCAGGTTAGTGGAAGGGGGGGAGGTCTGGTCGGAGGGGTGAAAAGTTCTTTTGATTTTTTGTTTCGTCTCTAAAACCAGGCGTTCCCCTTGACTCAAATGATCAGTATTTCTTACCAAAATCAGCTTGTCTCCCTTGAACTTCTTCAGATGCATGACCAGGCGGTCGCAAAACAGGAATATTCCCACCCCGAAAACCCCGAAACCGGTGGAGCAGGAACCGCAGGAGAAAAAAGATCACACGTACGATTCCATAGACTTGAACTTATCGACGAAGGTGGAGGTGGGCAGCGATGCCACGCGCTTGGACTTCGAGCTGGAAGAGTCGATGGGCGAGAGTTACCTGCAGAACTGCAGGAACCGCAGCCTGAGAGGTTTATCCTCGCGGAGATCCATCAGGCCTTCCAACGAGGAGTATCTGAAGAGGGCGATAAAGAACAACAGCGTGGGAGGGATCAAGCGCAAGAACCGCAGCGAGACGCCAGAGTATAGAAAGAAAATGCGCATGGAGTCCCCCGGAATCTTATCGAGACTGTCCAGTCCGCTGGCCAGCTTCCGGAACCGCTTCCGGGCGGAAGCGACCTCCAGCACGCCAAAACTAACCGGATACAAGGACAACAGCAACGGATTGAGCTGCGCGGGGAACCAAATCGAGGTGGAAAACGGCGCGGAGGACAAAAAGAGCTGGTGCACCGTCATGTAAGTCCTGCCACTGCCTTTTTTTATTTTACTTTGACACTTAGAGACTCCAGTACAAATTGTCATCTATCCCCCACCCAAAAGCTATATTGTATCAATATAAATTCAATTTTTTCGTTCCGGTTTACGCGCTAGGATTATGTACATAAATTAAGTCCCATTTATTAATCTCATTGGTTGACTGTTCTCTGAAACTTATAGACTTAATTGTATGTGAAGATTAAAATTTTTTAGATTTGTAACTTAATGATATTTGTTTGAAGTATTTACTCTGTATTTGTTTATATTTTTATCGATGTTTATTATCATTAAAGACTTTTCAATTGATGGCGTTTTTTATTACCTGCGTTTTTCACCCCGGCTGGCAAATCTCTCTTAAGAGGTCCGATTTAGGTTGGTGGAGTGCCGAACAAGGAGGGAATACATTTTGGGTTTTGGGGGACATTGGACCGACCCAAAACTAAGTACAACCCTGAATCAGTAATACCCCCATTCAATTGGGGTGCATGAATGGGGTTTGGATGGTTAGTTCGCTGCTTGGATGGTCTTAAAGTACTATCTGTCCGCTGAAAATTACTGTGCTGAAAGTTGGCATGTTTATTTTTGACGTCTAGGTGACCACTTGATTTTTGTTTATGTTAACGACTATTGCGTATCACGGCTGTTTGTTTACTTTTGGTTTTGTACCGATTTATACGAATAATTATGTTTGCAGTCTTGTGGGAATTCTCTTTTTCTTGTTTGGCTGTTTTGTTTTCATGGTTAAGATGCGTTGAAGACGCTCAACCTCTTCTAGAAAATGCAAGATTACTCTCTTAGTAGAGAATGCAAATTAAATCATGAGGATTAAAGCTATTATTGAACTTATCTTTTGTTGCAACTTGACCATCTTTTTGGTTCCTTCGCGAGACTGTACATTGATTTTATCTGTACAGGTAGTGTAACTGATTTCTTACATTCTTCACTTGTTGCACTACTGTATTGGCGCCTTGCTGATTCTGTAGAACATCGGAAGACATGTAGCTTGATTTACCTGCATAGGTAGTGGCCCTGGGCTCTAATTGCGCACTTAAGATTGCCTAACAAAGTATACTGTGACCGATTTATTGTCACTGATAGGCTGTTAAGAACCTTATGATGTCTCAATAAAACCCTTTGGAAAACGTAAAAATATATTGTATAAAACGACACTTTTATGCTTAGTTTTCTACCTCCCCTTTAACGGTATCGGTTGGTATATCATCAATTTCATCACCGGTTTCATTTTCACTCGCATTACCATCATTTTCCGTGTCCATAATATCCTCCGATAAATCTTCTAAACTGTAGTCAACATCGTTATCAAACAAATCGGTGAGGCCACTTACGTTTGAAAAAGAGGACTGCACTTCTTCAAAACTCTTCTGCGAATCATCGGTGGCATATTCTTCACTCACACCAACCTCTTTGGTGAACGGTATTAAGTATTTGTTCACCAAATACTCTTCAAAGTGATCGGTTACTTCTTGGTCTTCACCTTCTGCACTTACTTGTTCCTTGAAAAGCCTATCCCATATGGAGCTTCTGCTGGATTCTTCGGAAATAGTGGGAACTATAGTGCTCAAATCGTCGGAATCTTCGTAAGCGCATAAAGCATTGTACGATTTGATCGCTTTGTTTACGCCGCTCAATATATCGTCAAAATTTTGATGCGAGTGTTTCTTTTTATTGATATTTTCGGAGAGGTCTTCACTCCAGTAGCTCAAAACGTCAAAATCTACGGAATCAACCGAAGTGGATTCGGACTTGTCTCTTTTTCTTCCAGTGTCCCATTTCTGCAATAAATTTAATATATTCTTGAAGTTGCGGGTGCGTTAATTTACCTCGTAAAGTGATTTATTCGGACCTACAGCATCATCGTGGCCGTGTCTGTAGGTTTCCTTAATATATTTAATTTCTTGCTCAGTTGGAATTCTATAGAATACATTTGAAATAAAATTAATGCACCACTTTTGAGTAAAATGGTCTGGAAAGTTCTCCTTTGGATATTTTGAAGCCTAAACTTTAGGCCCTAAAGTTGACTTAATAAGTTTGCAAAACGTCTGACAATAATTTCCATGTGCTTTATAAATATATAAAATATTGGCAGACCTTTCTTAACCCTTTTTGAATTTGAACTGTGTGTAATGAAAAATCTAAATAGAATTGGATCCTAAATTATTGTTCAAGGACTTACCTGATGCGGTTACCGCTAAAAATGAAATATAAATACCATTTATGAAAATATATTTTGGTGGTTAAACTTACACCAAGTATGGATCTTCCTCGACAATATCTTTTTTTTCATAATAAATTCCGGTACCAGTGTCGTACCCGTCTGGAGGCAATTTAGGGGGGTTTGGATTGCTTGTTAAATGTTCTTCAGTGACAGGATTTAAACCGTTTTTTATTTCGACGAAATACCTAAAGAAATAAGTAATAAATGTTTGTATTTGGAAATATACAAGTCATTATTTATTTTATACAACTTCTGTTTGCATTTTTACTATACAGTGCTTGCAATATCAAGTCCGACCGGGCTGGGAAGGACGGTTGTTATTATTACTATATTGTGGTGCGTAAAAACTTCCCAAACATTTTTAGTAAAATTACATTATTTGTTCACCTTCTATCTGGCATTTTGCAATATTTAGCAAGGTTAAATATTGGGCCTTGAAGAGAGGTAATGGTTGCTGAATTTTCGATTATTTCACCGTGCGCAAATCTTGCGGATATAATTTTGTTGTTTGAAAATTTGAACACGCCATTTCCATGAAACAGGCCATCAAAAAATTCGCCTTTATAAATTGTGCCTAAAACTGCATTTTAGAGCCTCTAGCGATTTCCGAAAAACTTACCATTTGTAAAAACGTATTCTCCAACTCCAGTGAACCCCAACGCGCTGTAGAAGCCCTCGTAAGAACTTCCCGTGCAAAAAATGTTCTTCCCTCCAAAAACTTCCTTAAACCCGACATGCGAGTGGTTTGGTAAGCAGTTTAAATCGTTGAAATATGTTTTGGATGTCAAAGATTCTCTAAAAGTACTAACTTCTGGAGGTAGGGTAAATGTTGAAAATTTTGTATTTTTTTTGCTCCCAGCGGAACTTCTCAGCGAATATTGACTCTGGGGTTTGCTAGCTATATAAAATATAGTTAAAATTTGTTTTTATTTAAAAATGTGCATAATTACGATAGTATACAACCATTTTGTATAAAGTGTTAAAATCTTGACATTTATACAGCAGTTTGTCATATTTGATAGGTACACCCACAATCCACACAACAAGGTCTGTTCTATCTCATGCTAAAAATACTAAAAATCACTGCAACACTGCACAGAGTTTAACGGCGGCCATTTTTGTTGTTTACAATTCTTGTGCTTTGGGTTTGTGCTGTTTAATAATTGTTTTACACGTTGTGTTTCTTACAAAGGCACTTGTAAGCCTCAAATAAGGCCTTTAAGTGCTTTTTACTCCTCTTTTATAATAAATATACCTTATTCTATCAGGACTGTCAAATGACAATTTGAAGGTTAATTTGTGGGTTATAATTTAACCTTAAAATTGACATTTGACAGTTTTATGACAGCCCTGATATAACAAAGTTTATTTTTTACAACAGAGGAGTAAAATGGTTGTTCTTAGCACATTAAGGACTCTTTTAAGGCTTACTATGAGAAACACAACGTTTAAAACGATTATTAATCTGTATAAACAGAGCACAAACCCAAAGCACAAAAATTGTAAACAACAAAAATGGCCGCCGTTAAACTGTGCAGTGTTGCAGTGATTTTTTGTATTTTTAGTACGAGATAAAACAGACCTTGTTGTGTGGATTGTGGGTACACCCTTTATGCTATACAGAGTTCTAGAATGAGAAGTACACAATCATTTATTAAGATTTTTTATATTAATATTAAAATCAAAGTTCTTTCAGTTTAACGCCAATTTGGTCTTATTTTACTAAAATAGTACACGGAATATTTTGAAAACGTTTATTTATTATGTCACATTTAACTAATAAGTGCAAATTTTTAATGCTATAACGTGCTACAGACTTACGAATCAAATAACATTTTAACATTTTTTTTCATATTAATTATGAGACCACATTTAATACTATAATAGGCATATTTTAAGCATAAATTATTTTCAGCAAAAATTTTTCATTATTACTGAGTCAGTAATACACGTAATTTTACAGATATAAACAAAATAGTTAAACAAATATAATATATTTTCGTGTAAATAAATGTAGGAATACTTTAGTAGTAAATATAATTATTGTAAAAATTAGGACAACGGGCTGTTTCTTTCATAAGACTTACGCTTCAACTAAGTATTGTCTTAAATAAGTTCATTTGGCTCAGTTATAATAAGAATACTTTTTTTTATTTATTCAGAGGTGCACAATACTCAAGTTCTAGTAATTTTATGTATTAGGTACTTAGTACAGTGAGAATATATATTTTAAAAACTGTTTTTTATGTTTATAGAAAAAGTACTTATTAGTACTGTACTTTAACTCGAGTATTAGAAACAGCTCTGTTACTTTTTGGTGAAGAAACTCTTGAAGAGTTTTTAGTTATTATTAAAACGTTTATTTTAGTACTAGTACTATTCTAGGTCTACGATAGGATAATATACAAGGAACTCCAAGAAGTATAGTATAGAATTTTTTTGGAAGTAAAATTATTTTTTGGTAAATAAAATATGCCATAATTTTGAGTGTGTTTACATTTTGCTGTATTATATTATACAGAGTGTACATTTTTATTTAAAGACCTTGTATCTTTAAATAAAAAAGATACCATACATAGACACTCTGTATATTTGGACGACTATATTAATTAATTTTTATGGCAAATTTTATTTTAATTTTTGACAATTGACAATCAACAGTAAAATGTAGATGGACAAAAAATATAATGCCAGTCTTGTCTGAATGATTTTTGCTGCCAGTTGGCAAACTTTTCGCAAAATCAGAAATTTTCAATTGATTTTATTTTTCATTAATACTAGGTAGCCTATATTAACCATAAGGCGGTTTTATTGTCGTAGGTTACACTATAATCTAGTTTAAAAAATATTGAAAATATATTATTGTAAATTTAAAGTAAATAATTATCAAAATATAAATATATACCTATAAAGTAACTTATTTTAACAAATTATTTAGAAGATTGTTAACATACTCTATAAATACAAAAACAAGTAAATAAAGACTTATTTTTAATAATAATCGATGTTTTTTTATTAATATTTTTAAACACTCAGTTATATAGTACGGTATATAAATATTACATTTAAAAGCTTCTTTAATGGACTAGTTTTAAAGGATTGACTATAAATAATTGATGCTTTTAGTGGGCGTAGAAAATTTAAAAATATTGACCGTTTTGTCAAAAATGGCGGATGCGCCGGGTTATTTGAGATTTTTAATAATATTAAAATCTTAAATAACCCGATACAAAATTACATTATTTTGTAAACTATTTAATGTATCTTTGGCCATTGTAAATATTTTCAAATTCTTGCCCTAACATTTAATGCAGCGATAATTTAAAAAACGGGTTTATATTTACATACATAGTACTTATTTCTCTCACGTTCAAAATTTCGATAAAATACATATATATATTTATTTCAGTAATATAAGCAATAGGTACATTTTTTTTAAACAATCAACACCTAATTTGTTTATTCATAACACATTTGAAAAATGTGTTGTAAATAGGGATATAACAGATAACATCTAAGTTTTATAACATTCATTATTCGATTAATAATAAGGGAGTATCTAGTACAAATTAAGGAATCTAAAACCAAAAATTATATATTTTGGTCCTTGTTCAAAACTCAATATACATTTTTCAATTCCTATTAACAATTACAATGCACAATTAAGCCGAGGGGATATGGGGCATTCCATGCCAAGTTCCCCCTAGTTTTAGGCCATGTTTGGTAATATAATTATTTTAATACAGTCACCTTGAACTAACTAAGGCTCGATTTTAGATTCTTTAAAATACAAAACACGTAACTGTTTGAGCATATATTCTTAATACATTTAATTGTTTACCAATCCGTTGCGCATTCAGGCGGATTCATCGGGCCAAACACGTTCAGTTCGTACATGCTGGCAAACGTAATAAATATTAAATACCAAATCATGAGGATCACGCCGAATCTCTTGTCCAACTTCCAGCCGTTCATATGGGTGGCCACGACCAGAAACACGACAGTGGACAGAAGCGATAAAGTTGAGTAGGTTAGACCTGAACAAAGGAGGAGTTATCAGGAGGTGTAGAACACCCTTTAGGTTATGTGTGTTTTACGCACCCTGTGACGTCATGTGTAACCTTTAAATCTGGTTCGCACCTGACATCACATGCCGGTGTTTGTGTATCTTGGTTTTACCTTTACTGATAACTCTGACTGTGGATCCTGGTTTGATGATGGCGGTCTTTATAAACCACGGTAGACCAAGACATATTAAAATGTCAAACACGTTCGATCCTACTGCGTTTGATACAGCCATATCTCCATACCTACAAACACAAAACGGTTTGGGATCGCATCACGATTCCTACTTTTTGGTTATAATCAGGTTCTGAGGTCTCACCCTTCTTTAATGACAGCTATACTGGACAAAGCATCAGGGACGGATACTCCTGCAGCCACGAAAGTAAGACCCATCACGGTGTCGGGAATGCCCATGGTGTAACCTATGATGGTGATCATCCAGACCATGAAATAGGAGTAAAACGATATCCAGACCATGGATACGAAAAACGTGAACGGGTACCAGTTTCTGTATCTTTCGCTGCGGCAATCGGGCATTGTTTTGCGACACAAGTAGTGTATCGGGTAGACCACTGCCCAAGATATTACGGCATACAGACCGCCCTCTAAGAAGAATATTGTTAAAACAAGTCTGTCACAAAATTACGTGATCTATGTAACAGAGGTTTAGAACTAAAACTAGATTAATATATTACCGTTGCAATCAAATAATGGAACAAGATTTTGTAATATAGATTCACATAGAAATATTTTCCAACCTAAAGTAAAATGAAAGCGAAAAACATGCAAAAGCCAGTAGTATCGTCTAGCTTACCGGTGGGTTTTATTAAAGGATCGATGGCGGTTTCAGGGTTCCATTCCTTGGGTTTATAGTAATCCTGCTGGGTTGGTCCTTGCGGAACTCCAGCAGGATTGGAATCATTGGTGGCCTGGTTGAGAGCAGGTCCGCTGAGCTGTCCACCGAAACCTGAGAGGATGAAGCGAGCCTAGCACTAAAGCTTTTGGAAGCGTCTCATTTCAATTCAGGCAGTCATTTAGTTTTTAATCGATCCACTTAATGACCAGTCCAACTTTGTTAAACCCCGTTTTAAAGCTCATTCACATCCACTTAATATGCGTAACTTAACTTAACTTAAGAAACCTACGTCTGTTAAGTTGTCTGTTTACATTAACTTAATACACGCAAAGAACGCAATATACAAGCACGCGCAATGTAGACATGGATGTAGACTGGGTTGCCTATCTATCTATAAAAGTGAAACAACAAGATAGCGCTATATCGTTTTACTGGGCATGTGATTGGCTCACGTAAGAAACGTATTCCCTTAAGTTGAGCCGGACCCAACTTTTGGATACGTTAAGTTACGTGTGATAAGTTTTCTACGAATGTAAACAGCTGCATTGGTTTCAATGTAATTCAACTTACGTCTATCACGTACGTTAAGTTAAGTTACGCGTATTAAGTGGATGTGAATGAGCTTTAATTACTCTTGCCTGAACTGAAATGCGTCTTGTACAACCGGAGGTACTCACTTTGTTCACCGTTGTCTTGCACTTGCTCCGGCGTGATTCCGTAGTTCGGAACTTTGCCGTTGTCGTCCAAGGTTTTGTAGCTGACGAGGCCGGATTGTTCGCACGGGGCCTTTTGTTTGAAGGGGACTGGTAAAGTTTGCGCCCATCTTTCAATTTCGGTGTTGAAGTGTAGCACCACGCAGTATATTACGTAAGTGATTAGCATCACCAGCGATTCACCCCTTAAAAATGTCAAAAAACGTGAATGTCAAAATGATGAACCTTGTTTTTGCTGGTCACTGTATACACTGTTCAAAATTTCATGACCATTTTAACACCAAATTAACACCATACATGGTCTATATCGATACAAACCAAAATGGTGTTAAATATGGTCCGTTGGTCCAGTGTAAATTCAAATAGTAAAATGGTGTAAATTTAACTCCTTTTCAGTGTTAAATATTATGTGTTTTTGGTCAAATTAAATCATACTACACAGAAAAAAAGGAAACAGGAAGTTCCTTGACGCATTTCAATTATATTACCAGTGGTATTATTCCAGAAAATTGAACCTTCAACTCGCTAGAGATAATGTTTTTAGTGCGTTCCACCAACTCAAAATACTTCAAGTATTGACAGCTGTTTCCACCTATTCAAGGTCTCTTTAGTATCGAACAACTTGTAGTGTCACACCAAAGCAAAGGACTACCTGAGCTTATATACTCTTTATGTAAGTCAACAGAGGCGAGATTTAAGAACATCACGTGATCCACACCGCCTTTGCCGCGATCGGTACACACTATGCAACCAGGAATGCACGGCAAATTGTTTTAATCGTTTTAACAGAGTGCTTTAAGTTATTTCACAAACAACATATTAGTAAACTGAACCATACAGCGGGTTGGTTTCACTAAAGTTTTCTGGGTGAATTTAACCAATTTAAAAATAAATAAAATAACTATCTGGTTTAGTACCGTCAAACTAATCTTTGTTTACATTAACCTTCCCACAGTTGATTTAATAAATACTTATGGGTCAACTAAATTAATATAGTTAAATGAACTATTCCTTTTTTTCTGTGTAGGTGCACTTCTCAAATATTTTTAGATAAACACCGTTTTGGTGTTTGCTGTATACAACCATAATTCATGGTGTTATATTAACACCACTTGGTGTTGGATTTTAACACCATTTTAAGATTACTCTTCACACCACAGATATTTTAAACTGTGTAACTGATATCTAAAGAAAAGAAGTACTCACCATGTGATGTACTTATCGTAAATAACAAAAAGCATAACCAATATCGACAAGGCGTAGAAAAAACAGTCCCTGCATAGCGGATACCAATTTAAATAGACCACGGCTCCGGAACATAATGCGCAAGTAGAAATAACAAACATAATGTTAAAAACGGCCGAGCCAATCACGCCGGAAATCCCTACAAAATTTATTTTCGATTAAAATTCAATTAAAAGCTTAATCGAACGATACTTTGTTGCAAAGTTTTCGATTTTGTCGTTTTAACGGAGCCAAATTTAAACTTGTTAATGAAAATGCAACTATAAAAATAGATTGCATAATAAAAACATTTTTTTTAGTCTCCTATGAAAATATGTTGTTAGGTAATCATTAGGGTGTTTCAAAAAAATCGACTTTTTCTTTTTCTTCAAATGGTCGGCAAATTCTTTCAGAGGATGTCAACACAAAGACCTCGTCAAAATTTGAGCTTTTAATTTGAAGATTTAGAGGTCTCGGATCGCAATTTTCTATTTCCCATTTAAATAACATGGGATTTTTTTTTTAACTTTGAAATTTTATACGTCTGAATCGAATCAACTTAATATGTCAAGGATCATCTTAGATTTTCATAGTAAATTTAACGCTCTACAAAAAAGGTCTCCTATCATTTTTCTATAAATTGATTCCTTCCAGAGTTATTCGAGGCCAAAGTTTGATTTCCATCGAATTTTCGCGTTTTTTTTAACATTTTTGGTACAATTATACACATTATACGGGTGTCCCGAAATTAGAGGGCAAAACTTAAACAGTGCATTATTCGTATAAAAATAACACTTTTTTTGTTTAATAAACATGTATCAAAAAATGCTCCCTAAAGGAGCTACGGCCCCCTGAATAGGAGCCTAAGAGGATAATTTTTTTAAAACTATTCCTAGAGGGTTGAACATGAACAAATGAATTTTCGGTACTTTGGTAATTTTGACATGCTGAATCTAGATCTATGATAAAAACTGTTAAAATTTAATCATAGGCGTAACATTTGGAGGGGGCAAAGTTACAAAAATAGCCCCAACTTTTTTCTGGGTTAATAATTTAATTTTTTTTATGAAATTATGAGAATTTATAGTTTTTTACGAAAAATAGGTACTCTTGATTTGAATTGCTCAGATGCACCATTTTCGAGAAAAATGCATTTATATATAAATTACTCTGCATATTATACACATCTCATATTTTCATTAAAACTTTGTAGTAGGCTTTGGAAAAAAGTGACGTTTTTTTGTTTTTTTGTTTTTTTACAACACTTCCTATGTTTCAGATATAAATATGTGATTTTTTTACTACATGATGCTAAAAGTTGAAAAAACGAGAAAATTCGATGGAAATCAAACTTTGGCCTCGAATAACTCTGGAAGAAATCAATTTATAGAAAAATTATAAGAGACATTTTTTATAGAGCGTTAAATTTACTATAAAAATCTAAGATATTCCTTGCCATAAGTTGATTCGATATAGACGTATAAAATTCCAAAGTAAAAAAAAAAAATTTCCTATGTTATTTAAATGGGAAAATTGCGATCCGCGACCTCTAAATCTTCAAATTAAAAGCTCAAATTTTAACGAGGTCTTTGTTTTGACATTCTCTGAAAGAATTTGCTGACCATTTAAAGAAAAAGAAAAAGTCGATTTTTTTGAAACACCCTAGTAATCATGGTTTAGGAGCTCTCTCCAAAAAGCGACTTTAAAATAATAATATTATAATTAAGTTAACTTTTGATTTATATTATAGTGAACAAAAAATTCACCACGAGATTAAATTAAAAAAAAATTGAAAACTGTAGAAAGCAGAAAAATTAAAGCAAAAAAATATTTGTTTACCTATGTCATCTTTTGCAAAAAAAACACCAATTATCACGGTAGCCAGTTCGGGGGCGGAGCTCCCCGCCGCCATAAATGTAGCTCCAGCAACATCCGGGGACATTTTTAATTCTGTAAAAAAAATACATTTTTAAATTGGAGTGAATTTGCGTAATTGTACAAGTCCTACATATAAAGTTCATTTTTTATCTGGACTGCGGCAACGTTGCATTGATTAAAACAAACTAAACTAGTTATAAATGTAATTGTGGTTATGTTTAAACTATTGTAGGTTACATTGAACGGTTGTCAAGTTGAGTTGTCAAAATTCGTAATTAAAAATGCAATTAATTTGGCTTTGATAAAATTAAATAAAAAAGTAGTTATAGTTGAATTTTTAAGTCATGAGCCCTACGGCAACAATGTCAAGCAACTGAATCAAATCGAGGGCAAAATCAGTGGCGTGTCGTGGAGTTTTATTTGGGGTTCGAAATGTTGTATACGTATGCAGTCCATTATACACGTTTGTACTTTGGGTTGCGAATCAAAATATGAGAATTGTATTTTGCCTGGCTTAAACCATATTATGATTCGTTTTAACTTAAATCCTTCATTTGAACGTGCAAATTTATTAAAACAGTAACTCTTATGTAATTATATTATTAAATGAAACGTTGTAATTTATATATATTAAATTATTGCAATTTTAAATTAGTTTGCGTTACCCATTCTGCGTGGAGAAAATTAAGGGTACCTATTCTACTACTAAAAAATTCCCTATACTTTGCAAATTTTCAAAATATGTATGTTAATTAATTTGGAAATATTAATATTTGTATAATGCACAATGGTTAAGATATTATTTTATATAATCATTTAGTTGTGGAGATTGCACACACCAATAAGCTCAAATGGAGACAAAAATGGGACGTCTAATTTTTGTTTAATAGTAAAATGCAATATACTCTGAAAAAAATTAGTTTATTTAATAATTTAATGATAAATGCTCTTAACTGCATTAAAAGGATCTATTTTCATCTATTAATATGTTAATATTTATATAAGATATCTTAATCGCTATCATCTTCCGATTCATCGTCGTTGACGTTACCAATGTGGATTATCATTTCATGACCATGATCATCGTCCAAGATTCTTTCTTTATTGTACCATTCCTCTATAATTTTTTCAGTGTGTGCTATTTTTGACTTCCATGATTCTGGAGTAACTTTTTGTAATGCCCGTTCTCACATAGTAAGCACTTTATCATTGCCATAGCCATCTTCACCAATATGTTTATTATAATAATCCTTTGCATCGGCCCATACCATTTCAATGGCGTTAAATTGACAATGGTACGGAGGCAATCTTAAAGCTTCATGTCCATTTTCTTGTAGCAATTCATCAACCTTATATCGTATTGGTTTTTTATGTTTCTTGGCTAAATTTAAAAGATCTACTTTGAACATATCATTATTTAATGGTATATTATTTTCTTCCAACCATTCCTTAATTTTGTTTTTAGTCCATGAAACCGTTTGTTGTTGTTCCAGACGCTATGGTAAGACGCGTTGTCCATTATAATTAGAGAAGCTTCTCTAACCTAGGTTCCTGTAAATTTGGGATTAATTGTTCTTGCAACCATTTCAAAAAAATTTCTGAGTTCATATCACCATGATAATCCGCCAGTTTGGACCTCGTGGAGTAAGCCAATGCGGCATCGCGAATAAAACCTTTTTCATTACCAGCATGCAACACAATGAAACGTTTTCCATCATAACCTTCTGGTTTGCGTACACTTTTTGTGGATGAGTCTTGCCAGGATCTTGTATGGCTTCCTTTAGCAAATATCCAAGTTTCATCTAAATTTAAATACGCAAATTATGGAAAATATTAAAAAATTCAAGTACACCAATGATGACAGGCTGTCAAAGTTTTGTAGACATTTGTGCATTTAGCTATCTTTGTCGATCCCATTATTATAAAAATATAAACATAAAGAACGTATGTTGTGGTATTATTAGACATACGTTTATCTATCGCTATATGCTACGTCCCAGTGGTCCTGCGGCGTGGAAATACAATACGAATGTCTGAGCTATATCCTTACATATGTCACGTGAGGGTCATGATTAAAAAACCAAACTATAAATCTAGGTTACTACAACAAAGGAGAGACAAAGTATTCCTAGCGGATAATAATCTTCGCTTTGATAAGAATTTATATAAAAGAAATTAAAATTTTGTGACACACGTGAATGTTGTCCAATCATTGGACTCCAATGCTGCCGTGCTTAATGAAAACGCCGTAACCAACAATTGTGCGATTTTTGTTTTACGGCATTTTCTACTAGAAAAAATCATCCTGCGTCTATCCCCGGTACTCAAAAAACCGTATATATATAGATAAGGTTTTTTGAGTACCGGGGATAGACGCAGGATGAATTTTTCTAGTAGAAAATGCCGTAAAACAAAAATCGCACAATTGTTGGTTACGGCGTTTTCATTAAGCACGGCAGAATGGGTATTTTGTTAAAGCCACTGGACGTTAATACTAGTAGTGGCTTAATAATAATTATAGATATGTACGAGGTGTGTTCAGGAAATAACGGGAATTGTTAAATTTCGCGGGTGCGGAGGGTCCGGTTTTCATAAAATTTTCTTTATTATGTTGGTATGATAAAAACTTTAGCTGTTTTCATTGTTTACTTTGTGTGTGGCAGCCGCTAAGGTTAGACGTGTTTTATGAGCTCGGCGATTTTTCGTTCGTTAAAAGAAATGGATCAAAGAATTTGTATCCAATTTTGCTTAAAAAATGAAATAAATTCTGTGAAATGTTAACAAAGGCCTTTAGTGAGTCTGCTATAAGTAAAACAAGAGTTTACAAGTGGTATAAGAGTTTCCAAGATGGCCGTGAAGACGTTGAAGATGACGAACGCCCCAAACGCACAAGCACATTAACAACCGATAAATACATAGAAAAAGTGGAAGAAATGGTTATAAACCATCAGAGAATTCGCTGATGATGTTGGTATATCGATTGGCTCATCCCATGAAGTTTTTTCGAATGTTTTGGGTATGAAACGCGTAGCAGCGAAATTTGTTAAATTTTGAACAAAATTTTTGGCCAAAAACAATACTGTAATGATGCCCCAGCCTCCATATTCACCAGACATATGTCGGTCTGACTTTTTCCTATTCCCAAAAATAAAGAAAACCTTAGAGGGCCGTCATTTTGCAAGCATAGATGATATTAAAAGCGCATCGCTGAAAGAACTAAAGGCTATCCCAAAGATCGAGTTTTAGAAGTGTTTCGAGAATTGGAAGAAGAGCTGGCACATGTGCATAGTATCCAATGGGGACTATTTTGAAGGCGACAACATTAATGAAGACGAATGAATAAATATTTGTTTCAAAAAACGAAAATTCCAGATATTTTCTGAACACACCACGTATATAAATATATTAATTTTTTTAAACGTATTTTTAATTTAATCATCTTAATTTAGTCTCTATAGAGACAAGCTATAGCTTGTAGATATATCTATATACGTACATATATGTACGTCATAACATAGGTAAAAGAAAACATTCCTTTTATTTAGGTAAAGATCAAGAAATATATTTAAAAGATGTCATATTGATTTGTCACTGCACAAAGCCCAAGCGCCGTCGAGTTGTCACGACAATATCACAAGGCTTATTTTTGACATCCATTGTGTAGCAAGTTGCTACGTAGTTATTCAAAAGAGACCAAGACCGCGAACTTTATAAACGTTATAAATATTTACCTTCGCATATTCTATCCAGGGAGGCGACGAAATACTCGTCGCAAACAATAGCTAATCCCAGAAACATGTACACAGCCACTGTGATGTGGACGATTAGGCCGCCGTGCTTTCTCGTTGTGGGGCCCATTATTGGATGGGGAAACTGGAATAAATCAGCAGTATAAATAACACAGTAAATAAATATTTGTTAATTTTAAACATTTTGTAGATTTAATAACAAAATCTTACATCAATAATTCAACCATAATTTTTCAAAAAGGACCTTATTTTTACAAACCTTTTTGTTGTTTGTTGGAAATTGGAAACTTAAATGAAAAGAATTTTGAAAAGAAATGTTGCTTTATTATTCAATTTCCTAAACACAGAAAATATCGGGAATTTTCGTTTTTTGAAACAAATATTTATTTATTCGTCTACATTAATGTGGTCGCCTTCAAAATAGTCCCCATTGGATATTATGCACATGTGCCAGCTCTTCTTCCAATACTCGAAACACTTCTAAAACTCGATCTTTGGGATAGCCTTTAGTTCTTTCAGCGATGCGCTTTTAATGTCATCTATGCTTGCAAAACGACGGCCCTTTAAGGTTCTCTTTATTTTTGGGAAGAGGAAAAAGTCAGACAGAGGCATGTCTGGCGAATATAGAGGCTGGGGCATCATTACAGTATTGTTTTTGACCAAAAATTTTGTTTAAAATTTAACAATTTTATAACAAATTTTGCTGCCACGCGTTTCATACCCAAAACATTCGAAAAAATTTCATGGGATGAGCCAATCGATATACCAACATCATCAGCGACTTATCTGATGGTTTATAACCATTTCTTCCACTTTTTTCATGTTTTTTATCGGTTGTTAATGTGTTTGTGCGTTCGGGGCTTTCGTCATCTTCAACGTCTTCACAGCCATCTTGGAAACTCTTATACCACTTGTAAACTCTTTTTTTACTTATAGCAGACTCACTATAGGCCTTTGTTAACATTTCACAGAATTTATTTCATTTTTTAAGCAAAATTGGATACAAATTCTTTGATCCATTTCTTTTAACGAACGAAAAATCGTCGAGCTCAAAAAACACGTCTAACCTTAGCGGCTGCCACAGACAAAGTAAACAATGAAAACATCTAAAGTTTTTATCATACTTCGGGGGCATGTATACCAACATAATAAAATATCTTATGACAACCGGACCCTCCGAACCCGCGAAATTTAACAATTCCCGTTATTTTCTGAACACGTAAATGAATACAAAAATAACATACATACAATTAAATAACAAACCATTCTGAAATCATCAAATTATAAAGAAATTTGGTACAATATAATTTTCACTATATTTCAACAATTTAAACTTTAATTAACTAAAAGGTTTGTTATAATAATGTTAATTGACCTAAATTGATATTTATACCCACATACATATAAAGACCCGATACCAAAGTTGTATTTTAACTCATCGAAAATCACACAATACTCCCGGGAATGCCAAACTTTATGTTCGTTTTGTGCATGGGAATAAATCAATTTTCTCGAAACGTTGATGCCGCGTCCCAAAGCGAAAACTTATTTTATATTGAGTAAAAGTTCGGAAACATCGAAAAATGGAAGGACAGGTGGAAAAATTTACACGCCTTATTTTCTTATATATTTTATTGTTCTCTAAGCTTTACTTCACGTTCTTTTATATAGAGTGATCGACATGGCAGAAGTTTTTTAGTACATTGGTTACATATTTTTTGAATTTTATTAAATTTTTTAGAAAAATATTTTATAATTGAGATGTCCCCCAAGTGAAAATGATTATTTTTGGTTGTTTCAATGTTATTCTAGAATGGGGTTTTTGGGAAGCCACCAGGTCTAGTAATAACATAACATAAGTGGTTCTGCACTAATGCAAGAATTTTAAGAAATCATACATTTTGAATATTGGAGCTTCACGGAAGATAGCTTCACGGAGGTTAGGATTTCGTATGTTTTTTTTTAAATATTCCTTTGTATATTTGAAATAGGTTATTGTATCTTTTGACAATTGTACATACATAAAATGTTTATAAAAAAATCTACTTACTGAGATATTACACTTCACGGATAGGTTTTTAAATAGCAAACTGATGAACTTAAACTTTTGAATTATAAAACAGCAACACTCTCATCTGCATATAAATTCTAACTGACCTTCAGGAATCACATGCATCTATAATGTCGTAAACAGAGATTTTTGCTTATTTAAAATGATTAAAGCCCATCCGTTGCATAAAATTTAAAGCAAAAACAGATTCGCGGAGGATAGAATCAATTTTTGTAACACCTACATAAATGGTTATAAAAATTATCTATTTTAATTTTTGATAATATTTTATATTTGATTCAATTGCTTTGGATGTGTTTGTTTAATTTACTTAGTGAACTGATAATTTTAGTATGCTTTTACTACCTCAGATATTTGAAAACATATAGGTTAACCTAGAAAGAGTAACAGTCACGGAGGATAGGTTTAGATTTTTAAAACATTGTAAAAAATAATTAATTGCGGTTAAAAATCTGGAATTTGAGCTGTAATATCTACTTAATTATGAAAGATCAAAACACAATAAAACTCATTCAGTTTTATTAAATATCATGGGGTAACACCATGGGGGGACATTTCGTGAGATTCACCCAAATAGAAATTTTGCGAAAAATTGAAAATACAAGACAACAAAAAATAATAAAAATATTGAATGGGCCATTAAATTTTATTTGTTAATATTTTATTTTTTTAATAAAATAAACTATGCATGGTTTATTGATTTATACGATTAAATTTTTGTATAAAATGACAATAACGAAAAACTAAAGGTAATTCAATCAGGTGATTGAACAATTAACATGAAGATTTTTGTGGTTGTACTGGCAGCTGTTGTTGTCTTGGGTTGCCAAGCTGGTAAGTAAACTATTTTTATTAAAAAATTGTTTATCCGAAATTGGCAGTAAAGTAGTCAACAATTGGCAGTAAAGTAAAAGAAATCTGCAGTAAAGTAGAAGTTTACCGCCGATTTAATACGAGTATTGTATGCAACGCATTATACATTTTAAGATGTGTCTACTGCCATTTTTTCTTTTTTTTATAATTATTACTTTTAGAACACTTGAGAAGATCACCGTATGCTAAACGTTATGGCTTTGATATGATGGAAAACAATCGTTATAATGGTAAATAAACTTTTACTAAAACATTTTTGTTTGATTGTTTATACAACTAAAACTGATAAAACAATTTAGTGCTGGTTTATTTTAATTATAGAACCTTCCCGTTATGGAAGATCATCAATGGATCACCAGCGTCGTTATTTCTCGTACCAAAATGCTCCAAGAGTACCCAGTAAGTAATAAATGAAACTAGTTTACAGCCATTTTAATTGCCCACCATGTCTCACTATGATTTTCTTGACATTGAAGATATTGAAAGTTTTATTTTGTTGTAATAAGCATAGGTTAAAAAAAATTCTGGCTGGTTTTTTGTTGCTTTCGTATTTTGTTTCTCGTATGAGGGACCAAATGTAATCACCCATCGTGGCTGCATCCCAGAAGCCGTGATACCGCCGCTCCATAGCCTTCATTTGCTGGTGAAAACGTTCTCCGTGCTCATCACTTACGTCGCCCAGATTGTCCGGGTTATTTACGCACTCCAACTCTCTACTTCTTTTACTCATTTTACACTTTTTATTAACTAAATAAAACCATGATAAAAATACCTTGTTGAAATATCAAAAAATATCAGTAAAATGTCACTATGCCAACACGAGAAACAAAAGAATTCACGTTTGCGGAGTCATGTTAAATTTAAATTGTGAATAATGTTTTCTCAAAAAATTCCAATTATGCACTTTAATTAGGTTTTTATTAAAGAATAAACATATTACAAAATAAAATAAAAAAAAAATAAAATAAAAATTGTCAAAAAGCTGAATTTTGGTCTTTCACTAAAAAATTCATAACCGCCATTTTTCCATGTATTTTTATCAACATTAGCTTGTTTTTTTTGTAAAAATGTTAGCTTCGCAAAAAAAATCAAACTGGAGTTATCTGTTTGATTTAAACCTTTCCCAGGACGATATGTAAATTTACGACCTCAATTTTTGGCAGAAAAACGATTTTTTAAGTTATTAAAATCGCTAGCGTCAAAATACTTATCCGATATCAAAAGTATGTAAAAGAAAGTTTTAGAGGGCCTGTATTTTTACGTTTACGTTAATTTTTTTTTTTTAACTTTTTAGTGCCAAAACCTCTAAAAATAACAAAAAAAACGTGGTATGTCCAAGCTCCAAGTAGATACCATGTAACATGGCATCCTCGTAAGTATTGTTTATAAAACGTGTGTAGATGTACTATGCTCCACACCTCAAAGTCCCACCACGTGATCACGTACGGAACGCAGTCTTTTAAAAATTTGGCATTTAAGGCTTTTCAGGTTATGTATCTGTCAAAGTATAGTCAACGAAAGAAATAATATTATGTTTAGGAGTTAAAAATGTTTAAATCTTTATAACATTAAAATAACAATGGATGGTTTAAGATTTTAAGAATATAAATACTGCATTTAATGAAATTCTAAAGTGTATGGTGCCAAATAAGTAATATTTTTGTGCATTTGGTCCAAATATCTAGTTTTCTCCAAAAAATAATTTTAACTAAACAGCATTTATTAAAAAAAATCTAGCTTCTCTATTATGGAATAAGAATATCTGTTTTAAAGGTAGGTTAATATATTATAACAAAAATATCATCTAATTTTGTAATTTTAAGGTTAGAAAAATTTATTTTGACCAAAATCCAAAGTATTTTGGATTATTTAAAAGACTGTATAATATGGTATTTAAAAATGTGGTGGTTTTTCTTATCCAGCTCAAAGTGTACCTACATAAAGTTTTGTCAATACAAATAGTTAAAAGCTTCGACTGAACTTGATCTACATCGAAAAATCATTATAACTTTAAAAATTTTAATAAATCACATGTCATGGGAGTATTAAATATTTTCACATTGCAAGTTTCTCTAAAAATTGTTTGTTTTCTTATAATCTAACTTAAAGTAGGTATGCCGAGAGGTATGCACAAGTTTTCTCGTTAGAAGTATAAAAGCTTCAATTTAATTTGAACCATATTCAACAATTATTTAGTATACCTATATTTATTAATGACCATATTAACACACTCTTCCGAATAATCCACTTATTTATTTTGGTCAAAATAGATTTTTCCAACCTTAAAATACAAAATTAGGTGATTTTGTTCTAATACATTAACCTACCTTTGATACAGATATTCTTATTTCATAATAGAGAAGTTGTTTTTAATAAATGCTGTTTATATAGTTAAATATAAATATTATTTCTTTCATTGACTATACTTTGACGGATACATAACCTGAAAAGCCTTAAAGCCAAATTTTCAAAAGACTGCGTTCCGTACTTGTTCACGAGGTGGGACTTTGAGGTGTGGAGCATAGTAAAAAGTACCCATACGTTAGCTAAGTATGTCAGGTCAGATCTTTTACATTGATAATTTTATCTTATTATTCATAGAACTTGGCCGTCATGTGCAAAGCAACCCATGGTACTCCCAAGGTCATCGTCGCTATAACCCATACTATCAACCTTTAGATTCTGAATCTGTTGCTGCAAAGCAACCAGCTGATGCTCAATCGAATGACGAGGAAGTTCCATGGTGGGAAAAAGTTTTTCCAGACGTCGATTCTGACGCTTCAGATCAACCAAGCGATTCGCAATACGGACCTTACGTGGAGATTGCGAGCAGATCACCTCCCCAACATCCAGATTCTGATGTCCAACTCCACCGTGGTCAACCACTAGATGAAACATATTATCTACCATACCTTCAATCGTTTGATTCGCACCCGCTCGATCAACACGACGATTCTAAATGCGCAGGAGAAGAACAGGAAGATGATTCTGAATTCTATTAAGCCCAAATCTACCCGTGCTAATCCTGAACCAGCTGTTTATATGGTATTATATTTATATTATAAATACAATTAAAGTTTACTAAGACGATACATTGTTTTTTATATTACCTACCTCATTCATGGCGCTTTAGTCACGGGCTGAACTCAGCTTTTATACAAAAGTAATCCTTTTGAGGTTTTTATGAACGAAATCGTTAGGTAATTGAAGCATTTTATTTTAAATGCTATTTTAGTCTGCCCAGCTAAAAATCTTGTTTACATTGCAGTCGCACTTAAAAACTAATTGAAAGGATTTAAATGGGAAAAAAGCGCCGGTAAATTCCTTTCACGATATCAGACAGCAAACGGGGAAAATCTCTGTCGATTGGCCTCTTGAGTTGCAGCAGAAGTCCCATTGTCGTTTTTGTGGTTTTGTGCAATCGACAAGACTTTTACGGCCCTTGATGTCAATTAGCCGTTCAATAAAAAAATGAATTCCGCAAATAAATGTCTGTCTGTTATACAGATATTTCTACTGTGCTAGTTGGACTTGAGATAATGAAGCTTTATGATTAGGCTTTATGAGCGACTTTAAAGTAAAGTATTGAAGCCTTTTGGCAATTAGAACCGTTTGATCTTAACATTGATGATTTTAATGGTGCTCGGAAAGTTGGCTTGTTAAAGCCGACACATAGGAGCATTTGGTCTTAGGACTAGAAATGTTATAGAACCAAACAGTAAAAAGGTTTAATGATTGTTCCTAGAAGAGCAGCAATACGTCTTTAATATAACCAAGTTGCTTTCCAATTTGCAAATTTGAATGAGTGTAAACCATTTTGTTGCTATTATCTCTTTCTTGATACGCTTTTGTCTTGATAATCGCGAAGAAAATAACTCTTGTCAACATGTCGCCGCCATGCACGAGGAGTTTTTTTAGAGCGGTGGTTAAAAAGTTAAAAAAAAAACAAAGATGGCTTCTGTAAGAGCTGTTAAAAGTTGTTCTTCTGTTGTTGGTAATACTCATTGTATTCCTTCAACGTCCTGTTCCAATTTTTAGGTGTTATCGTCTGACAAAGCATTATAGCCCTGATGGCGATACTTTTGATGAAAATACTGCAAAGTTGTTTTAAAATGCTCGCACAAAATTCCAATTGGTTTTATGATTGCCTTGAAAAATGCAGTATTAGTTTTAACAAATAGTTGCAAACACTTTTTAAAGCAATTAAACTTTTTAGCAGTTGTTTCCAAGAGTATATTGTTTTATAACTGAACCCGCCATTTAAATTAGAAAATATATTTTTCCACAATGATGAAATAATTTTAATATTAAATACGAATAGATAATATTTTTCAGAAAATTTGGTTTTTACGAGCATGTTTATGCTCGTGTGTCACGTAGGCACTGAATATATAAGGAACAGCGCAGCATTGAGCTTTGGTACTCGCGACGAAATAAAATAAATATACGTGCAAATAAATACAGTAGTGATATATAAATAATTAGTAGTTAAGTGTTTGGTTAGTTTCTTAGTGTTTTAAGTGTAATTATAATTATAATTATAATACGGTTATAAAATAAATCGTTTAGTTCGTTAATAAACCAGTGCTTGTTTTAATTCACACTACAACAGTAAAAACGTTACAACACCAAACAAGTATTTGATTAAAGCAATATGGAATTTACAAAGTACAACAATAAAGTAAAAAGGTATATTAATAAATACAAATTGTCAGCTAAAATGTGTTTACGACAAAATAATACTACCTCCTTAAAACCTATTGCACTTAGCAGGTTTTATGTCAGGTAGGTTTTATAGCTACTGTAAAGTGTGCCTTAGGAGTAATACAATAAAGCAAAGTTGCTTTGTGGCTGACACACAAAATGCTCCCAAGGACAGCGATAGGATTCTCCTTTTTAGCCCTATTGTGGTTTTATTGAAGCTGTATAGCTGCTGTTAAAGCAAACAGGTTTAACTAAGCAATGCAAATTACCTATTTTGCTACTTGGGCAGGTTTTTGATAATAAAATCATAAAAATAATATTTTTGGTACTAACCTGTTTGATAGCAGGGGGAGTGCACTCCTCAGTCTCATTACCAGCTGTGGTAACATTATTGGGCTTCGCAGTACTATGAGGCTTCACAGTGGTGGCCTCGTGTGGAGGCTTCACGGTGGTGACCACGTGTGGAGGCTTCGTGGTGGTAGCCTCATGAGGCTTCACCGTGGTAACTTTTGTCGGGGGCTTCGTGGTGAAGCCCTGATGGGGCTTCGGCGTACTTTTGGGCTTCTCGACCGAGTCGGGGGCGTGTTTTTCTTCGGTGTTTTGGTGGGGCGGCGCGTCCGGTTTTTTCTCGTCGGCGGCGGCGGGCGCCGTTTGGTTGGGGGCGCTCATCACGTGGATCACCGAGTAGAGGAAGAAGAACACCGTGAGCCTTAGGAATTTGTGTCGACGGGTGCGTCGCATTTTCTGAAATAGTTTTTAGTTTCAGAATATTTTCCAATACGTCAAATACTCTTTAATATCAAGAAATACAATTTTATTTATCTCCACGCGGTCTATAATTTAAACTTTATTGTTGTCAACATTCGATAAAGAAATATCTTGTTATGGCCTAGGCCGATAAAAATTTTTATGAGGCAAGTAATTAGTTGCTATTTTTCTTGCTAGGGTATTGTTTTGAGAAATTAACGTACTAAACTGGTTTAATTTATTTACAATAAGCACTAATTTGTTTGTTTTACTGTTAATGTTTGATATTTTTCATTAAATTATTGTAAAATTAAATATGAATAATAAAACAAAAAGTGAGGTTAGGTAACCAAGAAAACGCACGATTCTTTTTCTACGATTTAAATTATCTAAGTGAAATTAAGTGAAATTAAATGTTAAACACAGCTTAAACATTCCAAACTACCTATTTTTAAATAAAAATCCAAACAAATTGAAATTAGATACCTACCTATTTATTAAACAATTAATTGAATTCAATGTAATAGCAAAAATCCATTTCTACTTAAATCATGTATCTAGGTATTGTCAAACTATTACTGCTTCTAAAAGCATTAATAATTATTGTACATTTAATGTAATCTTTAGCTAATAAATAAATGAGATTCTAAAAAAGTAAGGTTAGGCCGCTTTGATGTTGAATTAAATTGACCTATATAAAGTGCTTTGAAGATAAAATGTTGTATGCCATTCGGCCAAGAAGTGCCTTTTTGTGCTTCGCTCAATTGCTCAAACCTGGAGCTTAGCACAAAAAGCCTTACTTCTTAACCTAATGACATAAACAACTATAGTTATTTATATATTTTGGTTTACCAAAGAAAGAGAGAAAGTAAGTTAACCCTTTACTTCATTGTAAAATATAAGGACGCGAATAAGGTCAGTTCCACATAATATTTTTGAACTTTTGCCAAAAGATTTTCGGGGTCAATACTTATCTTAAACTCATGGACTTTAAGTGAATTCTTAAATAAGCGTTTATTCTATTTAAATTGTTTAGGCTTGGGATAAGGTTTATGTTGATGCATTCCTATTTCAGCAAATTTATAAATTATATAATTATTTTGTTGGAAATTTGATTATCGTAATCCTGGAAAATAAAACATTATGTTCAAGTAATGATAGGTTTACCTTAAATTTATTAAAAACTTGTTCCTTTGTATCATTTTAAAAGGATTTATAAATATAATATGTAAAAAAGTTTTTGGGTGACGTAAACTGTCATTTAATAGCCTAGTTAATGGAGGTTATTTGAAACATATTGCCAACTCAAGCTTAATAGTATCAAGTTTGATAAACGCCATTTTATACACGAATTTAATTTAGGCTCGATGCATACTATACTTTTTTTACGACAAATACTTATTATTATCTTAAAATGATTTAAATCAAAAAATTTTATAGAGCGCCATCTATTAAACAATAGTGGAATCTGTGTGTCACCGTCAAATTTCACATTTTTTATTTTATAAACACAGATTATAAAGGTTATAAATCGAATTGTATTTCTTGAAAATTGACAGTTTTTCACAGTGAAAGTAAAGAAAATGTTTTATGAGCAATTTACATTGGAGTCCGTTTCCGAATTTAAGTTATAGTTTACTGCCGGCGAAATTAAAAGGTCAGTACAATGTTCATATAAACTTTTCAAATATTGGCGTTGAGAAACTATTTAATACTTTTGTATTTTTGTATTGAGATAATAAAATAATTTTCACATTTAGTATTATTTTACAAGAAAGGCACTTTATTTTAACGATTGTATGACATTTGACAACTCTCAACTAACTTAAAACTAACTTCAGCCCGTGACTAAAAATCTGTTGCTATCTTCAGCCCGTGACTAAAGCGCCATACAGCCACAACTTGTCAATGTGTATTTAAAAGGTCACATAGTGTTATGGAAACATGTACAATAAAGGGCGTTTTAAAGGTGGGAGTAGAATGTTAAAAAGTTGACTTAGTCCCTTTTAATAAATAGTAAGTGAATCAATTATATACACATTAAATTGATATAACCTCATATAAATTACTTTTTAAAAGGGCAAACATTTTTTTAAATAAAGCGCAAAAGCTGAAGCTGAAACGGCATTTCTGCAAAAAGCCATTTCATTTCGAGTTATTTATTAGCTTTTAATCGAGGTATTTTTACTTTATGAAAAGTTGCTTACTTACTATTTATACAGGGTGTTTTACATTTGTGGTCCATTGGAAGTTTTTGGCGAACGGAACAAATTTTAAAGGCGTGTATAATCCATTTAAGTCTATTTTCTTAAAATATTTTGAACAAAATGGCACTTCCGGTTCAACCGAAAGTGACATCAACTTTGTTATTTTAAATGGATTTTTACATTTTTAGATTCTACATAAAATTCTAAGTAAAAGGACTATAACATGTCTTATACCTAAAGTGAATAGTTTTCGAGTTATTAATTTTTTTCAATAAAATTTGAGAAATCGATATCTTTTAATGGACCACGAATGTGAACCACCCTGTATAAGGAAGAGTTTGAAATTATTTTATCATTACATAAAGTTATTAAAAAAATAAAAAGTTGATTTTACGAGTATGTTCCCCCTATTTTACAAAGCCACTTTGTACATACCTATATAAATTTTAAACAAAAAAAAAACAAACCAATAAATTTAAAACTTTTAAAATACTATTTATGTTTTAATTTTTTTTAGTTCAAACTTGCACGACTAACTTTCAATTAAAAGATATTTACAAGCATTTTTAAAAATGGTAGTGCCATTAAACACTTTTTACTGGTTTAAAGGCCCCTATAAAACAAGCAATAAATGTTTTACATCGTTCAAAGTAGAGAATTTCTATAGAATGTATTTTATTTTTCTAAGTTTACAAGGGTTGCTATTTTTATTTCAATATAGGCAAAATGTCGATTTACGCATTAATGTTTGACATTTTTTAAAGTAATATAAAGTTCCTTTTTTAAACTGGACTGCGGCAACGTTGCAAATTTAGGGGTTAGGGGTTGGGTTGGTAAATACGTAACCAAAATCCCTGATAGCACACTTTACTCTAAGAATGTTTTTTAAATCTTCCAGTGAGAATATTCTTAGGATCATGTTATATTTCTTCTAAAAACATGCTTAAAAGACATATAGCATGATCCTAAGAATATTCTTACCGGCCTATAGGCAGGTTCTTAGAAGGTGTAAAGTTTTTGTGGTAAAAATTAGTCTACTCTAAACATATGCTTAGAATGTTAAGAAAGTAATTGCTATAGAAAGTTCATTTAGGAATATTCCTGTTAAGCATATTTAGTTCAGTAAAATATACCATAAACTACGTATAAAGGTATATACCTATACTTAAGTACCTAATTAGTAATTAAATAATAAGTAAAAAACACAATCCAAAATACTTTTTTATAGTTATTTGTCAAATTAAAAGAATATTCAATAACAAAAATACTTTTACTATAGATATTTTATTTTATGTTAAAAATAAATATTTATTAATTTGTATACCGATTTTTTATTTCTGAATTAACATTTTTATGTATAATAATCTTCAACTTCAATCTAATCTGACTTATCCCACACAATTTTCCAATATTACTTTTTATGAAATAATGTCATACAACTTATGGTTTAGAGGTGAAATTGTTTATTTAATATTTTTAAATAAATATATTTTAATATGTCGCAAATTTTTTAAGGGGACGACAAATACATTTCACTGTCATATTATGACAGTATTTGTCGTCTACTGAAGAATTTTACAAATGTAGAATACAACATATTAGAACGTGGGTATCTGACATATTTGGAAATATTCTCAAAAGCTTCCTAGAAGCTCCATAAGAAACCTTGTAAGAACATTCCAAAAACGTATTCTTAAAATGTTCTTAGGATGCTTTTTAGGAAGGTTTTAAGAAGGTTTTAAGAATCTAATTGCATCATTAGAAGGGTATCTATTGAATGTTTTAAAAGTCCCTAAGAACATTCTTAGCAATAAGGGAAGGTTCTAAGAATATTCCATTATTCCGAGTCATGTCTTCTTAAAATCAAATATTGCTATCAGGGTTAAAAGTATTGCTGACAGACACTGTTTTGGTAGTTTCCCTAAAGTAGGTCTATTTTTAGATGGGCAATGGTAAACAATGTTTTTTATGATGTATGTGGTTATTAATACAAAGCCCATTAAAGGATTAATTTAAGAGCTGTAAGCAAAGATTATATAGTCAACAGTGTCTCACATAGGACCTGGCCTTTCAGATCAATAATGTCCCTGTGCCAGTTAAAAGGATCTGCCTTGTATAACTCGCTGCCTAATCCGTTTTATTTTCGCGGATGATATTCGCGAAATTTCGGCGCATCCACCATTTTTGACAATCGAGAAATTACCATTTCTTGAGATTGTTCACAATTTGTTATTATTATTATTATTATAAATATTATCATTCTTATATAAAATGCGAAAGTATACTAATAAAACTGTTTAATTTAGTCAATAAACAAGAAAGAGTAACAAATTTAAAGTACAAAGTACTTAGTTAAGCTGTTTAATAAAAGTTAAATTAAAACATTTCTTGCCGAATGAGTCAACTAGATTACTTAAACAAGATCGTTTTCGAGTTGTAAATAATTTGGAATGAACTTTTTCAGCGTAAACTTCAACTGTGATTAGTAAATAAAGTAAATAAAAATTTGATTTGTCGTTTTAATATACAGTGACAGATAAAATTATTGAACAAAATCATTAAATTAGATTCGAATAAATTATGAAATATTGAATTTAGTAAAATGCCCATGTATCCCCTTTTGGGATGATAGTTTTGGGTATTATTAAATATAAAATTTGACCATGCTTTTTAATCATCCTGTATACAATTTTATACAAAATTATCGTTCAAGGCGTTTTTGGGTGTGCCAAATTCATAAAAGCTATACACGGTGCTGTTCTGAGAGGTGATTTTTGGACTTTCTGTGAAACCTAATTTTTTTATATTCTTGTTAATTAGGTCATAACTAAAATTTTAAGAGCAAAATAAAAAAAATTTGACCGTTAATTTTGTTTTAATTGGATGTTTATTAAAAATATGTATGCACACTTTCAATTCTCCAATTAAAACTTGCGATTTTATTTAAATATTATCATAACTTTTTAAATCATATTAAAGATTAGTTAATTTCCTAAAAAAAGGTTTATACATTTTTTATATCTTTTACTGTTTTGTTGTAATACACGTTTAAAGTTTTAATTTAAGGATAAATGTATAGTATACATTTATTAAACAATAATTCTAAGGGTGCCACATTTTATTTAGGGCCGATTTATTCATTTTTGATTTATTTGACGAATAATTTCTTTGGATACTAGATATTGCCAAGACATGAAAGTTATCGGCCCGATAAACTTTACTAAAGATGAATAAACCGGTCCTTAGTTAAATTTCATGAATTTCTTCTTAACTTTTACTACAATTTTTCATTTTTGTTTATAAAAAACACTTTAAAAAACTAAACAAAAATTATAGAATACGTATAGGTACTGAAAATGACAATTCAAACATCAAATAAATTTTTAATAGATCTAAGTTTCATGGCAACCTTTAAGGATATATTAATTAAGGGAACATAAATGTATACGTCAAAGGTTAGATTAAAAGTTTGAACGTTTATTGCAACAAAACAGTAAAATATATAAAAAAAAATTGTAAAAACCTTTTTTTTATTTATGCAAATATTAAATATTTAAATTAAATCGCTAGTTTTAATTGGATAATTAAAAGAGTGCATAATATTTTTAATAAACAGACAATTAAAACAATTCAAACCGTCAAATTTTTTTTATTTTGCTCTTAAAATTTTAGTTATGACCTAATTAACAAGAATATAAAAAAAAATTAGGTTTCACAGAAAGTCCAAAAATCACCTCTCAGAACAGCACCGTGTATATGTTTTTAAATTTTAACTAATAATCAAAGAGTCTCATAAAAATATATTTTTAAGCCAAAACTCGTTTAAATCAAAAGTACGATTGAGTAGGTTTTTAATTTTATCATTTGGACTTGCAATCAAGTTTACGCCCAAGGATTTATCAGGGCCCCACTTAATCTTTTCCAGCACTATTGCCTTGATTAACCGTCTGCCTTTTTCCTGCAGCGAGAACTTTATCCTTTACGGATTAAACACCTTCAATCCCGACGAAAATGCGCTTCTTTTTATTTCAAACCTTTCTTCTGCGGAATTGATATTGATAGTGATTTTGACATTTTTCAAGAGATATTGCTAGATGTGTTTTCTGAAAGTAAGTATAAAAGATTTAGGACTTTATATCGTCATAGTTACACTCAGAAAAATGTACATGCACTGATAATGAAACTAATTTTGTAAGCGATTAATAAAATTATATTATTTAACTTAAATTTAAAATTGTAATGGCTATAAAAAAATAGATTACGTTAAGAACAATAACAAAAATATTTTACTGCTATAAAAAGACTTTTGATATTTACTATTGTTTTGTAATGGTAACAAAATTTTTGCTATTTCCCTTAAAAAGAGGGAGAAAAGAAAATTAAAATTTCGATGTTTTCTAAAAGAAATATTTTAGTTCTATTCTATAAACGAAGCAGACTTGTTGTTTAAAAAGTGAGTTCATATTTTTTTTATTTTGTACATCATATAATATGAGTTAATTTTTTTGTTATAATAAATAATTTGTTTTAATGCCTTGCAATTATTTAAAAAAAACTACCCAACAGTAGGTTGAAAATGTGACCATTGTTACAATGAAAATTGTTTAATGAATTAACAATTAATTTGTCGTTAAATTTACATAAATTTTATTAATATTATAAAAAAAGTTTTATTTTAAACGAAAAGGGGTTTATAAACATAACGTAAATTTACTTTATAATTAATGCAAATGCTATTACTGAAAGCAGCGTTTGTAGATAAATAATTTTTATAAAAATGATCTTTTTGCCGTAACAAAAGTAATTGTTGGACGAATAGGGATCTTTACTTTATTAAGACAAACTACTTTTTTTGTTATACCTATTTATTTAAAAAAATGAGTGTCCAGTATAAAGAATTTTTTTTTAAAACATTAACTTTTCTAATTTGGTTAAATAACATGAATTTTATATTATTTAGATTTGACTGTTAAATAATTTGGAATAAACAAAAATTTATTAGGTAAATAGTTTTTTAATCCCCGCGCATTCGCCATTATTGAAATTTACATTGCATTCTTTATTATTTTTTATGGGCAAGAACCGGATGACATTTCAGTGGTGGCTCGTAGGTGTAAAGAAAAACCATTATAATAAAAAAATAAACTAAAAAAAAAACAAAACAAAAAAATATCAAAGCATATCTAAATATCTAAAACATTAAAATATATAAATGGAACTTAAAAATATATTTATATGGATGGATAAAAATATATAGATATATATACATTATTTTTTATTTTTGGTTGTTTCACTGTTAGTCTAGAATGGGGTTTTTGGGAAGCCACCAGGTCTAGTAATAACATAACATAAGTGGTTCTGCACTAATGCAAGAATTAAATATATTAATGAAATTTTTGGAGTTGGACCACTGCCCAATATCTTTGTTTTTTCAGTTTCGTTTTTTCTTAAAAAGGCGTCTCAATTATTGAGAGAATAATGAACATGAACAGGATTTATTTAAAAAATAGAAATATTTAACTAAAGAAAAAACCCTAACTAAAACTCACTTGCTGTTATTATGTACCCCCGTGCACCACAATAATAAAATAATAAATTGTACTAATCGAAACAAAAACTATAATATATTCAGACAACAATTTTAAGTAATTTAATATGAATCAAAACAAAAACACCCGCTCTACACACACTGCCATCCACCACATCTTCAGTCATGTAATATAAAACCACCAATTAGAGCAAACCCAAGCTGCAATAATTATTTTTATAGTATATTTAATTTGTTTATGGCTTTAAACGCAAACAATATTTTGCGTTACTCACAGAAAAACTATTTTAATCGATACTATTATCTAATAATAAAACAAGCAAATTTGATTTAACAATGGCAAAATAGGGTATATTGTTGGGTATTCTTTTATCTACAATGAATCGATAGGTTAATAAAGAAAATTATAATAATTGCAATATGTTAATGTAATTTGAGATACCTACACGTGATTTGTATATATCGTATTACAGATTATGAGAATTAATACAAAAATTTAATTATTGTTGTTGTTGGTATTTAATTTAACCTGTTGAGGCTTAAATAATTATATTTTTCTTGATTATTCTCATATTTTATGATACAGATGCTGTAGTATTTTCAATGGGAATACCATGTTTTCTATGGTACAAAAAAGACTTACATCTTTTGAACTCCCAAGTGGTCACTGAAACAGACACTGCCACGTACGCGTTACCGCAAAACAGTTTACGCCGAGGACAGGGGTGAAAATTGTGGCAGCAATCGAAACGTTTAGCGAAGCGATATACGCGGTGCGAGCTGCAAGAGCGTCCTGCAACGAGTCGGAAAAATTGACGGTCTTCGCTGTGTGGGCGACGCATGCGGGCCGACGTCGAACGCCGCGACGCGTCGCGACGGCCGTTAGCGTTGCCAACGCTCCGCTCCGGGCTCCGGCTCGTCTGAGTGGATGGATTTCTGCTGTGCGTGGGGGCTTTGCTGTATAAGTGGCTGTTACGTTTCAAGGATTCCCTACGCATTTTTATAACTTTTGCTCTTTTAATAATATTTCCTTTATATAGTTTTCTGTGTGAGAGTATCTTTTTTATTTGAAGAGCAACAAAAAAAGTGGTGTATTGTATTGGAACACACCAAAAACGAAAGACACCTGAGCTTATATACTTTCCACCTAAGTCAACCGAGGCGATATGTAATCATCACGCGATTGCGGCAACCCGTACATACTGTGCATTTTACATAACATTATAGCAAATCAAATTACAAACAACGTTTGTAAATCTGAGATGCTTTTTATTAGAAACTGTCAAACTGTTTAGTAAAATTACAATGCGTGTAGGATTTATACATATACATTGTAAAATTACAACTTATATTAGTAGATTTCCCAACATGTCTTGGAAGATTACTCAAATTGTATTATAATTTTGTATTGGAATACACTGATTTGTAATTTTACAAAAAAATTTAACAGTGTACATGAAATATAGTAAAAATGCAAACAGAAGTTGTATAACTAAAATAAATAATGATTTGTATATTTCCAAACACTTATTGTAATTCAAATAGTAAATTTTGGTTAGTAATTTTATTGATTATCTTAGTAAAATTAAATTCGGAATATGTATAGAAATTTTACAAAATTTCATTTTCAATTCTAAAATACCGAAAAAGTATCCGGCAAAAACAAAAACATTGTAAAATTTTAACCTGTTTAGTACTTTGGCTATAACAAAATGTAATATTACAACAAATGCTTATTAAAATTGCAATACAATACAACATTTTGAAATTTTACTATGCAACGTTGCATAGCAGTACTGCTTAGTAAAAATGTAGTAATTTTACAAACATTTTTACAGTGGCTTAATAATGGCATTTTTAGCCAAAACTCCTTTACAGAAGACCCATATATGGCAATTTCCAGTATCAAGATAACGGGACTTAAAAAATCATTGAAGTGCCAAATATTTTCTGTAGGTATATATATATAAAACTTACATTAACCTTTAATTATCCTTTGGTTAACGCCAAATAATAATAATTCCTATAGTTTTAATAGTTTAATGAATAGTAAGTAGGTGCATTTTGAATTTTACAAATTTTAGAACTCTTATTATAGACAAAATACCGCCAAAGAATTTAGTGGAAAGGTTTAATTGATAAGGTCAAAATTGGGGCAATTACGAATAATAGTATATATATTAGGGTGTCCCAAAAAAAAAGAATATATTTTTTTTTCTTGTCTCTTGTAAAAATATGTTAGTTTATCATGCTGTGAGAGCCCTTTCAAAATATCAGCTCGATTAAAAATTTTGTAGGGGTCGCTCAAGATTTTTAAAAATTTTCAAAATGGTCAAAAATTGAATTTTTGTTTTATTTTAATTCTTTTTCTCGTCTCGATATTATTTTTTAGGTTGAAAATAATAAAAATTCTGTAAATTTCAAATCAATATTTTGATTTCTAAAGGTTGCTAAAAGTTCGTTGATATTTATATTCAGAGGTCGCTCGAAACATTCAAAATACTCTACTTTGAAAGTTAAAAAAATCTTGAGCGACCTTTAGAAATTAAAATATCGATTTAAAATTTTCAGAATCATTATTATTTTTAAATTAAAAAATAATATCGGAACGAGAAAAAAAATTAAAATAAAAAAAAATCCAATTTTTGACGATTTTGGTAATTTTTAAAAATCTTGAGCGACCCCTAAAAATTTTTTAATGGTGCTGATCTTTTGACAGGGCTCTTAAAACATGACAAACCAACATATTTTCACAAGAGAAGAGAAGAAAAAAAATATTCTTTTTTTTTTGGGACACCCTAATATATATAAAAGTTTTATTTACTATTTTATCGGATCAGAAGAGTTCCTAATTTGTGATTTTTTAGTTATTAAAGCATAGCATAGTATAGTATTTAGGATTTAGCTCCGGGGGGGGTCCAAAAAAACTAACTAAATATGTATACATATTTAGTTAGTTTTTTTGGACCCCCCCCGGAGCTAAACCCTAAATACGCCACTGGTATCAAGTTTGATAAACGTCATTTTATACACTAATTTAATTTAGGCACGAGCGAGCTTGCGAGCGAGTGCTTAAGTTAATGAGTGTATAAAAAAGTTTATAAACGAGGTGCTTACTATACTTTTTTACGACAAATACTTATTATTATCTTAAAATGATTTTAATCAAAAATTTGTATAGAGCGCCATCTATGAAACAATAGGGGAAACTGTCAAATGTCACATTTTTACATTTTATAAACACAATTATAAAGGTTATAAATCGAAATATATCTTGAAAATTGACAGTTCTTCACAGTGAAAGTAAAGGAAATGTTTTATGAGGACTTTACAGTAGAGTCCGTGCCCGAATTTAAGTTATAGTTTTAAACTATAACTTAAATTCGGGTAATACTGCAGGCGAAATTAAAAGGTCAGTACAATGTTCATATAAACTTTTCAAATATTGGCGTTAAGAAACTATTTAGGTAATATTTTTGTATTGAGATAATAAAATAATTTTCACATTTAGTATTATTTTACAAGAAAGGCACTTTATTTAAACGATTTTATGACATTTGACAACTGTCAACTAACTTAAAACTAACTTCAGCCTGTGACTAAAAACCTGTTGCTAACTTCAGCCCGTGACTAAAGCGCCGTAAAGCCACAACTTGTCAATGTGTATTTAAAAGGTCACTTAGTGTCATGGAAACATGTACAATGAAGGGCGTTTTAAAGGTGGGAGTAGAAAAAATATATTAATATTGGCAAAAAAAACTTGGTTTTCTTTGTTATGTAACTTATTTGTAAATATATATTTTAATTTTAAATATTTTATATTTAGATAAAGGATTTTTTCTTATTTGAATATTATGCATTAAGGCAGTTTGGTATTTTTTCTATCTCATGGCAACACTGTACAGTGTTATATTAAATAAATATAATATATTATATATTTATTATACCTATATAATATACATGTATAAACTATTAGAAATTTAAAAAATACTCGTGCATAAAGCATATTATTACAAATACCTATTTTTAGTTAATTAAATTTAATAAAATTCATGTAAATTCTTATAATCATACTTACCTATCAATTAAATAAAAAACAAGAACCTTTTGATAACTAAATTGGTTGAAACCACGGTATTTTATAAAACTGTGGTTTACACCAATATTGATTAAAGTTCTCTTTATTAGTACATTAGAAAAACTACCGTTTCTTACAAAAACCTTTATTATACTTAAATGGTACTTAAAATTAAGTATTATTACATCCTTACAAACTAATCCTAAATCCTATCCAGTGCTTCCAACATAACAATGCTGTTACCTCGTATAACCTAAAAAAACACGAATATCAATAATTTGATAGTTTACGACATTGTTTATAACTTACCACCATCCCAATGTTGTTTTTGCTGCCGTCCCTGCATTCTTCAATCGATTCATCGACCACAAGATTCATGAAAGGATCGAACCCGCGCAAAATACCAGTAACCTGCCTACCCCCGTTGAGTTTTAAGGATAACTTTTTGTCCATGAATCTGGAATGCGTAAAATTTAGTAGGGGGGTTTTAGTATGCTTGTTGGAACTTACTTTTTCAACTCTGGTGGATGTGCTTTCGACATTATCGGAGATTATCGCTTCACAAACAACGCTAACAAACGTCTGAAAGTTGGGTTATGGAATTCGGTCGGTAAAGTAGTCCGCTTCAAATGGATAATAAAAAAGTAAACAGTTCGTTTTTGTATAGTAATGTTAATTATTGCTAATAAAGTTTGATTAGTGGAGTAAAAAGAAAAATGTTGTTTTATTAGTAAAATTGAGTGTTTTAAGCCGAGTTCATATAGATGCGAATTTACGAATTTGCGAAATACGAATATTCGCATTTCGCAGCTCCTATTCATATGCGAATTGTCGGAACCATTTTAGGGACATTGTTTTCTCACTAGGCGATATTTGCCATGGTATTTTAGGGACATTATTTTCTCTCAGGTGATATTTGCCATACATAGTTAACATTTTCTATAGGTAGGTACTTAAATAGTAAAGTTACTTCTAAAAAAATATGCTACTATAAGGTAAAATAAGAAACTAATGTACCTCCAAAAACTCTTTGTCCATTATAAAGAACAAAAAACAACTTTAGCAAGAAACATTTCAAATAAAACTCAACAACGATGCAATACAAATGAAATAAACACAGAACATAAACAAAAATGGCGCGGGTACATATAACAAATACGTATAATAGGCATCTGCATTAATGCGCATGCGCATCACGCCAAATTCGTGCGATTTTCGCAAAATATTGGGGGAGCAGCTCGTGACACCCAAACACGAGAGATCTAAACTCGATGGGTCTAAAATTTAAAAGCGCGGTGGGTCTAAAATGTGTGGCAACGTCGCACTTCAAATAAGGTTTGGTTCACATTTTTCTTAAATGAAATGTAAATTTTCGGTCGGTTTAGACCCCACGAGTTGCTCCCCTCTGATCAGGGTTGGGTATCTACCTACATTTTTGTTTTCGACATGTAGAAAACCTTTTTCGACGTTTTCGACGGTAGAAAACGTAAAAAAGTAGAATACTGTCAAATATCAAAAAATGTGAGGTTATGCAAGTTTGTTGTTTATTATGATTTGTTAAATGTTGTGAAAAATCAGACACCTACCATAAATTTGAAGTTATTTGGAGTTTTTTAACATTATTATGGTGGGAAAAAAAGGGCCACGTTTGGTTGGGAGACCCCAACATAATTTTTGGCATGAGGGCAAATTTTTATCAATTATAGAGAAGTGGAAGGAGAAGATCGAATAAGGTAATTAACGTAGGTAGAAAACCCTATAGGTTTTCGACGCAAGTCGAAAACAAGTTTTCTACCCTTTTCTACCAAGGTAAATTACCTAAGGTTTTCTACTGACCCAACCCTGCCTCTGATATACCCATAACCAACAAAATTTACAAAGTTACTGGTGCCATCATAAAGGTACATTGATAATATCAATTTGATATTGTTATTTATATACCAAAAAGCTTTATAACAATAACAAATGATCATAGATATATGTATGCAAGTGATGTATTCTTATTCTATGGTTGACTTCTAAGGAGTGATTTTGACAGTTTAAAAATATATTCAGAGATGAAAGCAGTAACAGTTGGTCAGTTTAGGATTGGTTTGTGACATGGCCATGAAATGGACTGGCGTCTGCCGGCAGTCCGCGTACGACCCGCGAATCATGTGTCATGTGACTGAGTAACCATAACCTATTTTTTAAAGACGTTATGTTTTAAATTATAACGACTGCATATTTGTTTATTGCTGCTTAAACAGAAGATATCAATATGAATAATGCTTTTAAAAACAGCAATTCAAATAGAGATTTTGCTATGACATTAGATGGTAAGTAGCCTGTTGGGATTAATTCTGTGTGGTTTAAGCCACATATATATTTATGTTTTAGATGATTTTCCATCTACCAGCATAAGCGATAACATAGTTCTTAGTAATATTTCCAACAATAACAATGATGAAATAATTGATATTAAATACATATGTGAAACATGTGGAGAATGTTTTCAGAAAGCAAGTGCAATATCGTCTCATAATAAATGGAAACATAGAAATATTGTTGCCAATTATAAATGTAAAATATGTGACAAGATATTTTTAAGAAAGTCACATCTTGAGAGACATGAAAAATCCATGAGTTGCAATAAAGATAAACACATTAATTGTTATTATTGTAATTTTAAAGCATCGAAGAAAAAAGATGGACTTATACATTATCAAGAAGATCATATGTTAAACATTATAAGTGAAAACTTATTTTTTGACTCATTTGAGAAGTTTCAAGCCTGGAAAGCAGAGTTAGAAAAAAAAACTAAGTCATGTTTTGTAAAACCAACTCGAACTCGGCTTGTAAATAATGTTAAAGTCACCAAGTATATTTGCCACAGGGATGGACTATTCTGCTCTAAAGGTAAAGGTATTCGACATCAAAAATTGGGTGGTTCCAATAAAATTAATTATTTTTGTCCAGCCAACATTACTGCCTATGTAACTACTGATAAGAATGTAAAAGTTGAATACATTAAAACCCATGTTGGACATGAATTAGACCTTAGACATTTAAATATATCCCAATGTGAGAAAGATATAATTGCACAAAAACTTGCTCTAAAAATACCGTTTGAAAATATTTTAGACGAAATTCGTGACTCAGTTATGAATGGTGTCCTTGAAAGAATTCATCTTATAACTAGAAAAGACCTGTGGAACATTGCAAGTTCCTATAATTTAAATCATGAAGAGATTTTAAATAAAAACGATTATTTAAGTGTAGAAACATGGATTATGCACATGCAAAAAACATCTAATGCTATTAGATTTTACAAACCACAAGGAGTTTATTTAGAACATTATCCTGTGCTTAAAAAAGAAGATTTTCTTTTAATCCTAATGAACGATGCACAAAAAACAATTTTGCAAAAGTTTGGTAATGACTGTGTATGCATTGACGGAACGCACGGCCTCAATGCATATGATTTTCAACTCTACACCCTTATGATTTTAGATGATTTGAGGCAAGGCTTCCCCTGCAGCTTTTTATTTTCAAATCGAGGAGATGCAGTTGTTATGGAAATATATTTTAAAATAATAAAAGTTTCTATTAATGATTCTCCTATACATCCCAAGGTATTTATGTCCGATATGGATGAAGCCTTCTATAATGCATGGATAACTATAATAGGCCCAGTTGAAAATCGATTGTATTGTAGCTGGCACGTTGATAGGGCTTGGAGACAAAATTTAAATAAAATATCAACTAAAGAAAAACAAGCCATAGTATATAAAAAAATAAAAATAATAATGTATGAGTTGGATATGCTCACATTTAAAGTAATGGTTGATAATTTATTACAGGAACTTAAGTCGGATCCTGACTGTTCAGAATTTGGTAAATATTTTGAAACTTATGTAAAAAATAATAAGTGCAGTACTTGGGCATATTGTTACCGCAAAAATACTGGCATAAATACAAATATGTGCTTAGAAAATATGCACAAAGTTATAAAGCATATTTATTTTGGGGGAAAAAAAGTTAAAAGGTTAGACAAAGCCATAATTATATTAATGAAATTTTTAAGAGATAAATTATTTGACAGACTATATGTCCTAAATAAAGGAAAACTTACAAAAAAACTGTCTATTATTAGACAAACCCACCAAAGATCATTGGGTCTTAAAAATACGCTGTTGGATATGGGGGATTTTTGGAATGTATCTTCTACCAAATGTGATGATATTTATACAGTGAAATTTCTCCAAACTGTGTGTACTTGTGGGCTATATTGTCAAGAATGCAATGCTTGCATTCATGCTTACTCATGTAGTTGCATTGATTATTCCATAAAATGGAATATGTGCAAACATATCCACATGGTGTGTATGCATTTAAGAAATAATGAACTAACAGCAGAAACTTCAACTACCAAAGAAAACTGTGATCTTAATCTTGAAGAACAGATACAGGAAATTAATGAAGAAAATGACATATTAAATGTTGTAAGCACAACAAAGACAGATGTGTTTGTTAAAAGGAAACAAGAGTTTTTGGACAATTTTATAAAAACATATAATAATATAGAAAATGAAACCCAGTTACATGCAGTCATAAAACAGCTAGCTCCTGTGGAGAGCATTATAAATGCACTTTCCAAAACAGATAAAATTTCCTTTGTATCCACAGAGTCTTCTTTGGAGCCACCCAACAAAAAAATAAAAAAACAACTTCGATTTGTGTCTACCAAAAATAAACCAAAACGAAAAGGGAAGAAATTTGTCAATCCATCCGAAAAAGAAAAGAAAGTTTTGTCACTAGAAATGGTTAAAAAGTGATTTTTTGTATTTTTTTAATTAAATAGTAAATAAATAACTTTGTCAAATGTTTTGTTTCCATTTACTTTTTCTAATATATTATGATTATTAATTAATTAATTATGGTTTTTACAAATGTAAAATACAAATATTTGTATGGCCGAAGCCAAATAATACTATTTGAATAATGGCGGGTACATACATATATATATATATATATATGTATACATATTTAAAGCAAAAATAGTTTTAGAGGTAGTCTAGTTTAAATTGTTAGACTGGTAGTTTTTAACTATTTTTTTAAATTCTCTTTTTAACTGTAATTAACTCTGTAAATAAAAAAAAATATATAGTTATATAGGTACCTATATATTTTTCACTTTTTCAATATTTTATTTTAATTTATTTAATGTCATTTAAAGCAAATATTTTTAACTCTAAAACTATTTTTTTTAATTCTATTTCTAACTTCTTACTTATAATTAACTCTGTAAATAAAAAAGTGAAAAATATATAGGTATATACCTATATATTTTTCACTTTTTCAATATTTTATTTTAATTTATTTAATATTTGCTTTAAATGACATATTAAATAAATTAAAATAAAATATTTAAATTGTTAGACTACCAGTTTTTACCTCTATTTTTGCTTTATTCAAATTATTCAAATAGTAGTATTTGGCTTCGGCAATTTTCGCGGGTCGTACGCGGACTGCCGGCAGACGCCAGTATGAAATGGTTCTT